ATCCCGCTTTATCACTACCCTAAGGAGTCTCAAAGCGGCTAACAATCTCCTTTCCCTTCCTCCCCCACAACAAACACTCTGTGAGGTGAGTGGGGCTGAGAGACTTCAGAGAAGTGTGACTAACCCAAGGTCACCCAGCAGCTGTAAGTGGAGGAGCAGGGAAGCGAACCCGGTTCACCAGATTACGAGTCCACCGTTCTTAACCACTACACCACACTCGCACTCAGAGGCTGGATGCAGCACCTCCCAGCTCAGCTGGCTGCTTCGTGCCGCGGTGGCCATGGCAGACGGAGACTCTGGGCACGGCGCTGCTTTGGCACGGCATGGCTGAGGCAGGGAAGGGCGGCGAGCTGGTTCCAGGAGGCGCCGCGTCCAGTCTCCGCCTCTTCCCTGGCGCCCTCCAGAACTTGGTGTCCTGGCGCCCCACGCCACTAGCCTCTATGGGTAAGACGGCCCTGCCATTACCTTCAGTAGCTTAGGGCCTCATCAAACCTAAATCTGGCCCTGCTCATATACAGTGGTACCTCGGGTTAAGTACTTAATTCGTTCTGGAGGTCCATACTTAACCTGAAACTGTTCTTAACCTGAAGCATCACTTTAGCTAATGGGGCCTCCTGCTGCTGCCGTGCCGCTGGAGCACGATTTCTGTTCTCATCCTGAAGCAAAGTTCTTAACCTGAAGCACTATTTCTGGCTTAGCGGAGTCTGTAACCTGAAGCGAATGTAACCAGAAGCGTATGTAACCCGAGGTACCACTGTATCTGAGTTTTTAACACTGCAGGCATCCCTTTGCTGGCCAGATGTTTTGGACGGCATCTCCCATCGGCCATGCTTGCTGGGGCAAATGGGAGCCATGGCATCTATAGGGTACCAGGCTGGCAAAGGCCTTCATTAGCATGGCACCTACGCAACCTCGCCTTCCTCCCTTTGCCACGGCGTTTCAAAAACTGCTCTGAAAGCTTCTCCTTCCTTTGGTCTGATCTCTGGGGCTTGGCTCCCTTCTCAGGCAATCAGATCTTCGCCAGAGAAGGGCACATCTGGAGGATGCAGGTTCATTATGCAGACAGCTGCCTGAGCCGTACTCCCCGCTCTGTCATCAACTATCAAGAAGTCTATTTTATCTGCAAGATAAAAAGGCAGGAGTATTGTTTCATGTTTCCTTGGCCTCCGCCGCCTGGGCAGCTCCTTCCTTGTACAATTAAGAACACAGCTTTCGAAGGAGACCTTGAGGATCGCGGCGCACGCGAAGAAAGGGACCCTTAATCGCTATCGACATTATTAGCCCGGGTTACAGGAAAGGGGACACAAACGTCACGGTTTGAAAGCTCTTCCACCCTGAAAGGCGCCAGATCTGTGAGCAAAACAACAACCGTCCCACAGAACAAAAGAGCATCTACTGCAGCAAACAGGATGTGGTAACCTGGAAGAATAAGGCACCAGAATGCAAAGAGAAGGGAGGTAGGGTTTTATTTCCTCTTTGTGGCCATCAACAGAAATGAATGGAGAATTTTTAGGGTGAACCCTCTTGTCTACACAGACTTAGGCACTGTTGCATCATACATTTTTTATTTTTTATTTTTAAAAATATTTTTTTAACCAACAACCAAAACAGTGAAACCTTCCAGGCAACTGATACATTGGATATACATAACCAATACAGTGGTAATAATAATAATAATAAATTTTATTTATATCCCGCCCTCCCCAGCTGAAGCCGGGCTCAGGGCGGCTAACAACACTAAAATAGTGCAACATTATAAAAACATTATAAAAATTAATTAAAATCAAAATTGATGGCAACCATAAACTAAAGTTTTGTAAAGATTGCCAAAGGAGGGAGTCAGGCTGCGCCCTGACCAAAGGCCTGGTGGAACAGCTCTGTCTTGCAGGCCCTGCGGAAATATGTCAAGTCTCTTGTGACAGAGCATTCCACCAGGTTGGAGCCGCAGCCGAAAAAGCCCTGGCTCTAGTTGAGGCCAGTCTAACCTCTCTGTGGCCTGGGACCATCAAGATGTTTTTATTTGAAGACCGTAAGTTCCTCTGTGGGGCATACCAGGAGAGGCGGTCCCGTAGGTACGAGGGTCCTAGGCCGTATAGGGCTTTGAAGGTTAAAACCAGCACCTTAAACCTGATCCTGTACTCCACCGGGAGCCAGTGCAGCTGGTATAGCACCGGATGAATGTGATCTCGCAGCGAAGACCCCGTAAGGAGTCTCGCTGCGGCATTCTGCACCCGCTGGAGTTTCTGGGTCAGTCTCAAGGGCAGCCCCACGTAGAGCAAGTTACAATAATCCAGTCTGGAGGTGACCGTCGCATGGATCACAGTGGCTAGGTCAGGGCAAGAGAGGTAAGGAGCCAACTGCTTAGCTTGGTGGAGATGAAAAAATGCCGCCTTTGTTATAGCTGCAATCTGTGCCTCCATGGAGAGGGAGGTATCGAAGATTACACCCAAACTCTTAACGGACGGTGCTGGCACTAATTGCACCCCCCCCCCCACAAGAGATGGGAGTTGCCCCCTCAATCACATATCGTCCCGTCCCAGCCAGAGGACCTCTGTCTTCGAAGGATTTAACTTCAACCGGCTCCCACATAACCATCCAGCCACAGCTTCCAAGCATCTGATCAGTGCGTCTGGGCCGAGTCAGGATGGCCATCCATCAACAGATAGAGTTGGGTGTCATCAGCATACTGATGGCAGCCCAGCCCAAAACTCCGGACAAGCTGGGCGAGGGGGCGCATAAAGATGTTAAAAAGCATCAGGGAGAGTATCGCACCCTGGGGCACTCCACACACCAAGGAGTGGCGGGATGACAATTCCCCCCCCCAAGCGCCACTCTCTGTCCCCGACCAGAGAGAAACGAGCGCAGCCATTGAAGGACTGTGCCCTGGATCCCCACGTCGGCAAGGCGGTGGTCCAGGAGTTCGTGACTGACCATGTCGAAGGCTGCTGACAGGTCTAGAAGAATCAGCAGCCCCGACCCGCTTCGATCCAGCTGCCTGCGGAGATCATCTGTTAGGGCGACCAGAGCCGTCTCGGTCCCATGACCAGCGCGGAAGCCGGACTGGAATGGATCCAGAGCCGATGTTTCATCCAGAAACCTACCAAGCTGTTCAGCAACCTCTCTCTCAATCACCTTACCCAGGAATGGAAGATTCGAAACCGGGCGGTAATTGGATAGATCTAAGGGATCTAATGATGTTTTCTTTAAAAGCGGGCGCACCTCAGGTTACATACGCTTCAGGTTACATATGCTTCAGGTTGCAGACTCTGCTAACCCAGAAATAGTGCTTCAGGTTAAGAACTTTGCTTCAGGATGAGAACAGAAATCGGGCTCCGGCGGCACGGCAGCAGCAGGAGGCCGCATTAGCTAAAGTGGTGCTTCAGGTTAAGAACGGTTTCAGGTTAAGTATGGATCTCCGGAACGAATTAAGTACTTAACCTGAGGTACCACTGTAATAACATATTCCAATCAACCATATGCACAATTCTATATACATTAACGCTCCTCCCTCCACAAGGTTTATTTAACTTTTAACATTTTAATTGCCTCAAATTGTTCAAACCTACCCAAATAATTCAATATCTTCTCAAACCAATCCTCCTCTTTCTCACTGACTGTTGCATCATACATTTAAGGCATATTTTGTCCTCCCTCAGGGTGCCATATTGCCCTGAGGCAGCTTGCTGCAGACCTTCCAAGTGTCCCTATTTTCCAGGGACAGTCCCAGATTTACAGTAGCCGCCCCGGTTTCTGAGTTGATCCCACAATGTCCTGCTTTTCACTAGAACATTCCTGAGAAATGTTGGAGGGTCTGGAGTTATGCAACCCCCAAGCCAAGGAGATAAGTAACTAGAGAACATTTAGAAGACATCTGAAGGCAGCCCTTTACAGGGAAGTTTTTAAATGTTTAATGTTTTATGATGTTTTTATATATGTTGGAAGCCACCCAGAGTGGCTGGCACAATCCAGTCAACAGGCAGGATATAATCATCATCATCATCATCATCCCTATTTTTATTGGAGCAATGTTGGAGGGTATGGCACTGGTGACTCAATTCACACATCTAGCGTGACAAAAATAATTTGCCTCATCTTAATCTTCAAACAATAGCATGGAACATATTGAAATGTAAGTCAGCAGTTTCACACTACATTTCCTTTCTTCAGTATGGCCATTTTAAGGTCACTTACAGAGTATCCTGGGTAGTTGAAGAGTTTTCCCACTCGTCTTTAGATATAGCCATTTCCAATGTTAGATTTGTGTCCATTTATTATTTTTCACGGAAACAGGCCGTTTGCTGCCTGCGACATTCCTAAGGCAACATTCATGAGTTCCTATCAATCCTCATTTCTTTCCTAGAATGCTATCTGTTTGTTTGTTTGTTTGTTTGTTTGTTTGTTTGCTTGCTTTTTGCTTGTTTCTCACAGTTGTCATTGCCAATTGACAACTTGCTGCCGCCATCTTTCATTTGCTCATTCAGTCACGCATTCATTATAGAGAGCCATCGGTGTACAGGGAACTTTAGATAACAACCTAAGCAAAATATGAAATAAAAAAAATGACAGGTTCCTGTCCTCAGGAATGTGCTAGGGAAATGACAGGTAATTTCTCCAGAAAGACTTGGAGATGATTGGATGAGATGACTCGTCCTCATTTGCCCTCCTCCAGCCAACAAATATAGAAAATCCAGTTTGGGGCTATAGGTTTCACGGCCTTTACCAAGAAAAATCAGAGTGACCCAAATCCATTGCTAAGGTATTGAAATAATTTAGAGAGAGCATGACTAAAAAGATGCAAAGCCCATAAAAATGTGAGGTGGAAAACTTTATTATTTAGGTTTCGCCTTGGTATCTTTACTTGGTATCTTCTGATCCTATCTTGAAAATTCCTGGAGAAAGTCATTCTTGACTGACTGGCAGAATGCTCCAAGTAGTTTGTCACCAAAAGAGGTCATATCATTTGCTTATTTGTCTGTGTCCTGAATTCCAGTTTGGACCCACAGTAAGCCGAGTAGTTTGAAACCTGCACCTAGGCTGGGCAAAGTGTACGCAGGGGCAGATACCATACCCTCCAACATTTCTCCGATGAAAATAGGGAGGTCCTGTTTCAAAATTGATAATTTTACTATTTATACCCCACACATCTTACTGGGTTGTCCCAGCCACTCAGGGTGGCTTCCAACATACATAAAAACATAATAAAATATAAAACATTTAAAAAGCTTCCCTATACAGGATTGCCTTTAGACGGCTCGGGGATCAGATAACTCCATACCCTCCAACATTTCTCCAATGAAAATAGAGACATCCTAAGGAAAAGTGGGACATTCCGGAATCAAATAAGAAACCGGGATGGCTTCTCTAAATCAGGGATGTCTCTGGAAAATAGGGGCACTTGGAGGGTCTGCCGTACTGCCTGTGCCACGATATTTTGTGAGGGTGCCACATTTAAAACGTCACCCCGTTGTTGTTTTTTTACACCGCTAAACTTCAAAAACACAGATAAAACTCAGCTTGTTCATTCACTCCTGTCCTAGCCGCCCCCCTCACACGTCGGAGGTGCACACACAATAAATTCCACAATACCTGCCAAGTCCATAGTCATTTCTACGGGCAATGCTAAATGGGCAGTTTTTGTTTTGGCACTGCATGCTGTTTGTTAAAATAAATCTAAAAAGACATGAAGATCACACAGACCTAGTCCCGCAAGTGCGCTTAGACATATGCATAGCCAGGTGGTTAATGTTGCCTCCTGGCCAAAAACAAGACCTCAAGGATTTTCTCTTTAACTCCAGACAGGTGGCCTTGCTCATTGTTGAGATCCATAGTGTCTGTTTACCAAAAATACTGACATGCATTTCAGATGAAATGATGGACTTTTTGGCATGCAAGGTAACCAGTCTCGGACTGAAGGGAGTCTCGTTTGCGTTTTAAAAAATGAAGGAGCGTGTAATAAGAATCTGGATGGAAGGTCCTGAAGACTAAAAAAACCTCATTCGGTTCCTTAATTTTTCCCGCAAGAAATTCCGTTGGGATCTATACATGTATAGAAAAATGCTGCGGAAATGCTTTTCTAAAAAACATTTTGAAAAACACATTGGATTTGGTGTGGCTCACTCTCGCCATCTAGTGTCCCATGTGTACATTGCACTTTACAATGCATTAAAAAAGTTTTATTTGCAGCTGTATAACTGAGTTCCCAGTATGCTTTTACCACAGTGATGTGTGTATTACCAAAATGCTTGTTTACAAAGCTATTGTACTACCAACCTTATTGAATGCTTGTGAAATATGGACCACTTATAAACGCCATCTCCAACTCCTTGAAAGATTCCATCAACGGAGTCTCCGGAAATTTTTACACGTTACTTGGGAAGACAGGTGAACTAATGCCAGTGTACTGGAAGAAGCAAAGATCACCAGTGTCAAAGCAATGATTCTTCAATGTCAACTTTGTTGGACTGGTCATGTTGTGAGGATGCCTGATAATTGTCTTCCAAAGCAACTACTCTATTCTGAACTTAAAAAAGGAAAGCATCATGCTGGTGGTCAACAAGAGGCTTAAAGACTCTCTCAAGGTAAATCTTTTTAAAAATGTAGCATAAACACCGACAACTGGGAAACACTGGCCTGCGAGCGCTCCAATTGGAGAACAGCCTTTACCAAAGGTGTCATGGGCTTTGAAGACACTCAAACACAGGACAAAAGGGAGAAACGTGCCAAGAGGAAGGCATGCTTGGCAAACCCTCATCGTGATCAACTCCCACCCGGAAACCTAAGTCCCCACTGTGGAAGGACGTGTGGATCCAGAATTGGCCTCCATGCTCACTTCTGAACACGTCATTAAGACCATATTCATGGAAGACAATCTTACTCGGCTACAAGTGATCGCCAGTGAAGAAGATGCTTTCACCACAATGATGTGTGTGTTTTTGTGTGTAGAGATTGGTGGGTGATACCTAACCAAGTCATACACAGAGTACACCCGTTGAAAGCAATGGACTTATGTGACTGGAGCCTGAACTCACTCTGTATTCCAGGGATGGCCAGCCCTGTAGGGGTTGTTGGACTACAGAATCCATTATGCCTGTCTGTGGACCATGTCGCCTGGGGCTGATGGAAGTTGTAGTCCGATGATATCCTGAGGGTGACACATCGACTACCCCTGCAGTATTTGACCTGTGGTCAGTCCATATCTCGGAGAGGAGTGGATGTTCAAGGGACAGCTCTTACTCAGGTGTGGTTCCCTCTGGAAGGAAACAAAACTGGGAACTGCCCTTTGTTATGGGTCCTGAGAATTGCTGGAAGAATTCTATTCCCCTCACAAAGCTACAATTCCCAGCCAGTCCTACTTCTCAGTGACTCCTAACAACTCTTGGCTCATCCCTATTTTATGGCCAAGGGAGCCAGCATTTGTCCACAGACAGCTTTCCGGGTCATTTGGCCAGCATGACTAAATCACTTCTGGCGCAATGGGGCATCGTGATAGAAACTAGAGCGCATGGAAATGCTGTTTACCTTCCCGCCACAGCGGTACCTATTTATCTACTTGCACTGGCGTGCTTTCTAACTGCTAGGTTGGCAGGAGTTGGGACAGAGCCACGGGCGCTCACCCTGTCGTAGGGATTCAAATTGCCAATCTTCTGATCGGCAAGCCAAAGAGGCTCAGCGGTTAAACCACAGCGGCACCCCTGCGCCCCCTGCCCTGCACAGTGGATGGGGAGGCAGATAACTGTACCAGTGTAGAGTTGGCATGATCAGGCCCGATGCTGTCAAATGACAGCAACTGGGCCGGCTGAAGATCCAATGGATTTTGGGACCAGCTCAATCCCACCCCTGGACAGAACCACTTCCCCTCCTCCCTGCCCCCAATTGAGTGGCTATAAGGAAGAGCTTCACAGCTGTTGAATGATCTCTCATGCTGCTGGAGATAGATGTCTGCCCAATTCGACCAGCAGCCAATAATAATAATAATAATAATAATAATAATAATAATAATAATAATAATAATTTATTTCTACCCCGCCCATCTGGCTGGGTTTCCCCAGCCACTCTGGGCGGCTTCCAACAAAAGATTAAAAATACATTAAAACATCAGTCACAGAAGGGACTTGGATTGCTCTCTTAAAGGTAAAGGGACCCCTGACCATTAGGTCCAGTTGCGGCACTGATCTCGCTTTATTGGTCAAGGGAGCTGGTGTACAGCTTCCGGATCATGTGGCCAGCATGACTAAGCCACTTCTGGCAAACCAGAGCAGCACACAGAAACGCCGTTTACCTTCCTGCCGGAGCGGTACCTATTTATCTACTTGCACTTTGATGTGCTTTCGAACTCATAGGTTGGCAGGAGCAGGGACCGAGCAATGGGAGCTCACTCTGTCGCAGGGATTCGAACCGCTGACCTTCTGATCGGCAAGACCTAGGCTCTGTGGTTTAACCCACAGCGCCACCTGCGTCCCTCTGGATTGCTCTCTTAACATGCTTTAATTACTACTTTGGCAGCAGGAAAACACTTTTAAAAATAGCTATTATTCATGGTAGGCAGGCAGAACATATCAGATCTACTCACGATGGTTAAATGAACTGCCTATTTTGAAGAAAACCAGTTTGAAAAGCTGATGGCAAAATCACATTGCGGGCACAACTGACAGAAACGATGGCTTTTACTATCCTATCCAGGTATTGTCTCATGTCTATGAACCATTTATAAGAAATATTTTCAATGCGTTGCTTTTTTTTTTTAATGCACATTAATAGAAAAATAACAGAAAAAGCCATCATTAATAAGTGGGGAAATGATTTTAAACTTCCGTGCCCCAGTCCTCAAGAGGCAGCTGAACCCTGGTACTCTGCTAAGCACAAAAAGTGGAAAGAGATTAAATTTTAGTAAAAATTGATGGGAAAGCTGCCATTGTAAATGGAAATTCCGACTCTCTCCTGTAGGGATTTTTATATTATTATTATTATTATTCATTGTCTTAGCATCCAAGTTGGTCTTTTCCTGTGCGCAGAATGTGTACGTTTATTGTGTTAAAAGTTCACTAAGCAGACTGTAAAAATGATCCGCTGCCAAACCCCTTGTTTCATCATGTTAAAAAGTAGTAACACTCTCTTATTTTCCCCCAACCATTTTTTCCTTTTTCATTTTTGAGCTTCTGTTGTTTTAGACCAAGGGATTAATCAAGTGACAGCATTAAATTAGCATAATGGTCTTTAAGGGGTTTTAGCACTTCACATTGATGGATTACGTGTTCATTTAGTGCAAATACTCAGATGCCTAAGGAGAATTATGACAGGTTTATTTTCTTGCAGGGGAAAAAAAAAAACCTTCCCCTTTTTAGCAGCTCAGCTGTCCAGTGCAAAGCGTGTTGTTGGCTTTTTTAAAAAAAGGATATCCAGCGTAAAGAACTACCTTTTACTGTGGCAGAATGACATTAAATGGATGTAAAACCTTGAAGTTAAAAGGCTTAGATTTACTTCGGAAGCATTACAGTAGGTGAATATTTTGCTTTAGAAAGTAGAATTCACGGGAGACCCCAGTTCTGTAGTGCTAGCCTTCCTTTTGGTGGGGAGAAAGGAGGGCGAGTCCTGGCTACAAGATAATAGCTAGGGACTGAGAATCGTGTAGGATTGTCTGCATCCCCATTCAACTTTCAAATCCATTGTCCGAGCGCATCTCTGATCTTTTGCCTTATGTCGTAAAGCAGATTGTGTGTGTGTGGGTGTGTATGCACATGAACAAAACATATAGGTGTTAAAATTTTCAAGCTGCTGGATCTCAGCAAGTAGGATGTTCCTTACGCTTCTAGTCTACCCCCCTCGCCCCCTGGTTTATCAAGCATGGTATTCTCACTCCTATCAAATTAAGTAACAAGCAATGTTTGGGTAGCCTGGTTCCTTTTTTTTAAATTAAGTTTTTATTAAATTTTCTATTTTACCATTTAGAGCATTCATTTATACAACCTTAAAATATCCATGACTTCCTGTCTTGTCTTTCCATGGTTCTTTTTACATAGCGTAAATCCCTGCATATTTTATATAAACTAAACCATTCAGTAATCCATTATTGCCTCCATCAAAACTTACACTGTTGAATTTATCTTAATGATGCCCACGTTTTCAAGTGTACACAATTTCCCCCCATATATTCAATGAACATTTTCCAATCTTCTTTGCACGTATGTTCTTCTTGTTCTCTTATTCTATACGTTAGATCCGCAAGCTGTGTATATTCCATGTTTAAGCTGCCATTCTTTTTTGGTTGGGACCTCACTCGTTTTCCATTTTTGGGCTAACCAAACATGGGCCGCCGTAGTGGCCCTTTTTTGACACCTGGGAATTTCCATCTGAATGATCCCCAACAAAAAGGACTCTGGGTTTTTTTGGGGAAAGGTGCTTTTAAACATTTTTTCCAATTCATTATACATTATTTCCCAATACAGTGGTACCTTGGGTTACATACGCTTCAGGTTACATACACTTCAGGTTACAGACTCTGCTAATCCAGAAATAGTACCTCGGGTTAAGAACTTTGCTTCAGGATGAGAACAGAAATTGTGCGGCGGCGGCACAGCAGCAGGCCCCATTAGCTAAAGTGGTGTTTGAGGTTAAGAAGAGTTTAAGAACGGACCTCCAGAACGAATTAAGTACTTAACCTGAGGTACCACTGTACTCTTTTACCCTTTTTCAGGTCCACCACATATGAAAGAGCATACCCTCAACCTTATTGCATCTCCAGCACTTATCTGCTTCAGTCTTATATTACTAAGCTTGAATGGGTAGTCTGTTCCCAGTGAAGCAACGGAGTCTTGTATAGTGGTACCTTTAGTTGCGGACACGATCCGTTCCAGGGTGCCGTTCGCACCCTGAAAAGTCTGCAACTAGAGTGGCACTTCTGGGCATGCGCGAAGCATGCAGAACGCTTCTGCGCATAAAACGCAACCCGGAAGTATACACTTCCGGGTTTGCCGCGTCCGCAACCTGAAAGGCTTCAACGTGAAGCAAATGCAACAAGAGGTATGACTGTACTCTCTTAGCTATGGTCCCAAAATTTCCATCTGTGTGAGCTTTCAGATCAGGCACCCCCAAACTCAGCCCTCCAGATGTTTTGGGACTACATTTCCCATCACCCCTGACCACTGGACCTGTTAGCTAGGGATGATGGGAGTTGTAGTCCCAAAACATCTGGAGGGCTGAGTTTGGGGATGCCTGCTTCAGATGGTTCTTGGACTCCAACTTCCCTCAATCCCAGCCAATCTGGCTAATGGAATTGAAGTCCTCACCCTATTTTCAACCCGGCACTGTGGCCACCCTCAGCTGTATGGCCTTTCAACTAATCTCCTCCATACTGATGTGCTTGCAGATGCATAATTATGAGATATCTCAGGGTTTGGTGCCACGTTGGGAGCCTCAAAGAGGTTCCCTCCTTTAGACAAACGCCCTCCAATGAGTGGAGAGAAGAACTACTGTGTTCCTCCCTGCCTGTGTGCCCTCTTCAGGTACATGTAAAGGTAAAGGGACCCCTGACCATTAGGTCCAGTCGTGACCGACTCGGGTTGCGGCGCTCATCTCGCTTTATTGGCCGAGGGAGCCAGACGTACAGCGTACGTCATGTGGCCAGCATGACTAAGCCGCTTCTGGCGATACCAGAGCAGTGCACGGAATCGCAGTTTACTTTCCCGCTGGAGCAGTACCTGTTTATCTATTTGCACTTTGACATGCTTTTGAACTGCTAGGTTGGCAGAAGCAGGGACCGAGCAACGGGAGCTCATCCCGTCGCGGGGATTCGAACCGCCAACCTTCTGGTCGGCAAGCCCTAGGCTCTGTGGTTTAACCCACAGCGCCACCCGCGTCAGGTACATGAGGATCTCCTTAATTTCTTGAGATTTTTATGAACCAAGACAAGGTGTGTCTCATATGAAGCTTTTGCGCTGCATTTATACCAGTGGTCAGCAAACTTTTTCAGCAGGGGGGTGGTCCACTGTCCCTCAGTTCTTGTGTGGGGCCAGACTATATTTTGAAAAAAAATAAAATAATGAACAAATTTCTATGCCCCATAAATAACCCAGAGATGCATTTTAAATAAAAGCACATATTCTACTCATGTAAAAACACCAGGCACACTTCACAAATAACCCAGAGATGCATTTTAAATAAAAGCACACATTCTACTCATGTAAAAACATGCTGATTCCTGAACCGTCCGTGGGCCGGATTTAGAAGGTAATTGGGCCGCATCCGGCCCCCGGGCCTTAGTTTGCATACCCATGATTTATACTCTGCCTTTCTCCAATGAAGCTTACAGAGCTCATGTCCACAGGACTTCCCAGTAAGCCTTAACCTTACTGCAAGACCACCACATATTTACATTCTCTTTACATTTCCAACACTTATTTGATTTGGATTTATACATTTTTGCCAGTTTACTCAGTGTTCAGAGAAAGCACCCTAACTTTCTAGCAGGTCTTATAGAAGCTTAAGGAGCTCAAAGCACACATTCACTCGCTCGCTTCCTTTCCGAGAAAACAAGAACCGAGTCACGCAGGCCAGAAGTCACTGCACTGTACAACTTCTCTTTCCTAACAGGTCAAAGGGATCAACTCTCACCTTTGTGACCCACGTTTCTGTTCCTTAAGCCACATTCCATCACTTCCAGCACTTTCAACAAACTCTCAAATGTTCCAATCTTATTGGAACTCCTGCAAATGGCAACCCCAAAATTATACAAGGTACTTACAGATCTAGAAGATGCACAATGAAGGAACTACTGATGTGAAGATAAATTTCCAATGTAGACCTCTTTTGGATATGTGACCTGTCCTATGCCTACTGCCGTTTATAGCATGATTAATGAAAAATCAACTGTGCAAAAGCACAGGAGCTATTTTTTCAATCAGCCCCAAATGCACATCCTTTTGTCCAGCGGTGACATCAGAGTTTACGTAGTTTTGGAGTCCTCACATTTAAGCTACCGCAACTTCAAATTTATTTGGGCTGCTCAGACGTTATGTTAAGTGCCCCTGCAGAGTTCTTCTTGTAACACAAACATAGAGAAGTTAAACTTTTGAGATCCTAGAAGTGTTCCTTAGCGATCACAAATATTGCTGCATATGAGATCTGTGAGCGGTTAGGTGGCTCGAAATGCAGCTCGGGGCAAAACTGAATCCTTTGTATAGCATTTGTAGTGATCTCTGTTGTGAGAAAGTGGTTAGGCGATTCTGGCTCTCTCATGTAGACATTCTAAGGGGCCAAATGCATGACAAAAGTATCACTTGAGAAAGGAAGTTTATTTCAAGCTTCTAAGGGGGTATTACAAACCATAGATAATAAAAAACATTAGAAACTATTCCAAAATTGGTTGTAGCTTTAAAATAAAAATCCAAGCAGGTTTTACAATGAAGAACGCTATTCAATGAAATTGTTTAAAAAGACTTTAAAAGTATTGGCTTTGCCATCTTTGCTAACCCATTTTAAAAAAAAGAAGCTGGGCATAAATATTTCGTGCATTCATATGCATTATTTGGTGTTGCATATTATATATCTCGGTACAGCATTTAAGTTATCACTGAAGAGTCCACCGCAGTGCACTTATAAATAGTGTAGTCATTATAAATCACATTGAAAACATACTTGCCATTTCCATTGTTACAAATTCAGTATTCCAGTGAACATAGAAATAAAGTAGCTACAACAATCAATAGTTTTACTTTATTTTTTAATATAAAAGTTATTACTCGAAACCCACCCTATCATTTTCCTTCCCTAAATGTAATGCTTTAATTCTTTGAAATAAAAATAAAGTACTAATTCTATATACATCACATGTACCATACAAAAATGTATCCAAAGTTTCTATTGCTACCAAAGTGTTCTAAAATTAAAAGTTACATAAATCCCCTTTGAAAGAAAGATTACAAGTTACAAAAAAGGTCAAATGACACACAACCCATCAAGTTATTTTGTACAACCATTTCCAAGACAGCTTTTTCTCCCAAAGCAAATTGTCTTATGTGCCTATATAAAAATGTATATCAATATACTTTCTCATTTATTTCTCTTTATAAAGCAAAGTAATACATTTTCTACAATAAATATAACACAGGGAGGCACATAAAATCCAGGGGAGATAGATGAGATATGGTTTGCAAGAAATAATATACTCACAGGCTTTAAGCCGGTTGTGTGTAAAACACAAATAATTTCTAAAGTGATATTTTGGGCAACAATGGAGTGTTTTTGGTGATTTTTCAAGTGATGTACATAGCATAATTTTTTTTACTTCTGTTGTCTTTCTCACAAAGTACCCTCCAAAATAATGTAATTTCTTCTCTTAAAATACACATTTGCTGTTGTAAATTTACATCTTAACTATGTGGTACTTTGTGCAAAGATTAATTGATTTATGCAAAATCAAACATTCAGAGGTCTTGTTAAAAAGCTACAGATCACATACAAGTTTCATAAGCAGCACCATATCATAATATATGATTTAGCCAAATCTATCTGATGTTACTTCAAGAAACACCTAGCACCTTAAGCTGGAAGGTGGCGCTGAAGTTTTTTTTTTAATTAAAAAAAAATGCGGAAAGAAATGGAAATGACAATCTATCCCTTTCCCAGCCAAAATAAAAGAAATAAAAAGGTACATCTAAAATCAGAATAAGTTAAGAGTTGAATATACATATATGTACACTTTATGAACACTATGAACAAGATATTTTAGTGGAAAAATCCTCCAAACAGCAACACAACGATAAAAAAAAAATTTAAATCAATATGGCAATGGTGATTCAGAGGATCTGCTGCAGAACGCTGCCACTGGATCAATGATTACGAAGTTGTATCTTCAATACATTCTTGTAGACGAAGAAGTTAATTTGTAGATCTCTATACAGGGTGGTTTTTTGTGTGCCTTGGCGGCACCTATGTTAGTCAATATCACTGAAGTCACTGACTGGTTCTCCGTGGACTCTACTGAGATGGTTCATAGCACGATCAAAAGCAACCCTTACGGCTTTGCGAATACTTGAGTTCCGACCTTCCATCATTTTTAACTTGTCTATTGTTTCATCAATCCCAAGTGGAATCATTTTGGATTTTGGAAGCCATTGCCTGGAAGAGGATAAGTCAACATCTCAGATACTTATCACTATTTTGGAAAATTAAAAAATACCCTGGTTCTCATGCAATTTTTGTTTTGTTTTAAGTCCTCCTTTCCACTCGAAACAATGCTCACAGCCGTCTACAACACACAATTAAAACCAACTTCCATTAAAAATTGCAAGGATAACTGTTGGAAATAAAAGAAACCTACACTTACAGATTACCGGTAATCAGAATAATGAAAAGCTAAAAACGCATGGTGGAACAAAAATGTTTGAGTCCAATGTTTAAAACCATACATTACCACCAGCCCCAAGTGGTCTTCAAACAGGGAAGTAAACCAAAATTTCATACAAATCTCATAATGGACAAATTCTCTAAGGAAGTGGTTTTAAAACTGTGGTCCATGGAAAAGATGTGCAGCAGTCAAGAACATCAGTATTAGGCCTGCACTTTATTTTTCAGACAACCAAGGCCATTTCAATGAGGACCATATTATCAAGCAGGCTAACAAGATTACTTTTTAAAAACATGGCATTTGTATGAGATGGCAATTTCATCATTTCTCAGCTGAAGGTCTAAATACACAATCAGGATGGATACTGAACAGGATCAGAGGCTAACAATGACAAACATTACAACAGAGTCTGCAGAGGATAAATTCATATGCAACGTTAAGCCAAGTTATGGCTACATGTGAATGATAGAGGCAGCTTTGCTACTCCTGCCACATGGTTGTTAATAAAATAATAATAATAATAATAATAATTTATACCACACCCATCCGGCTGGGTTTCCCCAGCCACTCTGGGCGGCTCCCAACAGGATATTAAAAACACAATAAAACATCAAACATTAAAAACTTCCCTAAACAGGGCTGCCTTCAGATGTCTTCTAAAAGTCAGTTGTTTATTTCCTTGACATCTGGTGGAAGGGCGTTCCACACGGCAGGCGCCACTACCGAGAAGGTTCCCTGTAACCTCACTTCTCGCAGTGAGGAACCACCAGAAAGCCCTCGGAGCTGGACCTCAGTGTCCAGGCTGAACGATGGGGGTGGAGACGCTCCTTCAGGTATACTGGACCGAGGCTGTTTTGGGCTTTAAAGGTCAGCACCAACACTTTGAATTGTGCTTGGAAACGTACTGGGAGGCAATATAGATTTTTCAAGACCGGTGTTATACGGTCTTGGTGGCCACTCCCAGTCACCAGTCTAGCTGCCGCATTCTGGATTAGTTGTAGTTTCCAGGTCACCTTCAAAGGTACCCCCATGTAGAATGCATTGCAGCAGTCCAAGCGGGAGATAACTAGAGCATGCACCACTCTGGCAAGACAGTTTGTGGGGAGGTAGGGTCTCAGCTTGTGTACCAGATGTAGTGTTACATCTGAACCCGAGCTTGTGGTTTATCTGTCCCAGATATGCCATGACTGGTAAAGCAATGAAATGAACCTTGGCCACAGGACATGCTTTGCTTGGAGGGACAAAAGCCCAGATAACACTAAGTCAAACTATGGCTTTAACTCACAGCAGGACCAGAGCAAAATGGTTCCAATTTTCACTCAATGCACTCAGTGTGTACTTGTTCAAACATGGCTTGGCATTGTGGTATGTGCAAATAAGGCCTTTGATTACGACTGGACGTCACAATAAATCATAGTTCATCATGGCAGGAACGTGCCTGCACAAATCTTGTGCTTGCATGCTCCCAATTTTCCTCTGGTGTTGCTATTGAGAAGTTCTGAAGCTTTCAATTCAGTTTCTGGTTCACTGTAGCTGATCATTACATCTGAACCTGAAAAAACCATGGTTACTCTTAAGTATGGTTTAAAACAAGCCAACTTCAAACCATGAATCATGAAGGTGGCCCGTTTCAAATAAAGTTCAAGTTAAGCTTCGCTTTTGCGCTGGAAGAGAGAAAGGGGAAGCCTTTAAGCCCAAGGCTAGCACAGCCTTATTCCTTTCAAAATAAACTATGGTTTATCATGATGTCTAAACACAGTTACTATAGGAGGAATCAGGTTTTTCAGAAGCTGGAGCTTTTATGCTTCCTAAAATTATTTGGATCACGCAAGTAACATTTTTATCTCCTCCTGCAAAATTCCATTTCTGAGCAAATAAGGAGCTGTGGAACCCAATTTATCACATATTCAGCTGCCCTTACAGTTAAAATATACAGGACTTTTTCATTTGAGAAAGAAGTTTACATACCAGCTCCTTTTATTGTCAAAAAATAAAACCAAGAAAAGCTTCTCATCCGATTTGGTCTGCATTTGTTCTCCAATTTTCAACACATCAAGGGGTGGCACTGGTATTGTAACCCCATTGTGATGACCAGCAACACGAGGCATTTTAGGGTCAATTATCTATAAAATGGAGGAGAAAGGATAATAATTTAGTAACTGTTCTTAAAGATTTTATTGTATATTAGGCAGCTATCTACTAACACAAACCTCAAACCAATGTACACAACATTAAACTCAATTCACAGGAGTCACGCTCTTAATAATGTGGTAACTTCCCATTCAGTTCCCACATGATGAAGCCCCAGGCTGCTACAGCAAGGATAACTAACTTGTGGTCCTCCAGTGGTTGCTCAATTCCAGCCAGCCTAATCAACAATCAGGGATGATGCGAGTTTGAATCCAGCTATCTCTGAAGGACCACAGCCCTGTGCTACAGTAACCTCTTTGAAATAACCAACTATTTACCCATTAAGTACACTTTGGTATCAAATACTTAAGACTTTAATTTGTTAGACATTGTGGTTATTACGGTTATTTATTAAATTCATACACCACCCTTTAACCAAAGATCATAGGCCATTTCATAGCATAACACTGCAGAATGGAAACACAAAATACATACAACAACCACCATCCCCAATAACTCCCCCTCATAAACAAAACTGAAAGTCCAGATTGTTTAATTAGTCAAAGGCCTGGTTATAGAGGAACATTTTTGCCTGGAGCCTAAAGATATGTAGCGAAGGCACCAGGAGAGCCTCTCTGGAGAGAGCATTCCACAGAGAGCCATGGCAGAAAAGGCCCATTTCCGTGTTGCCACCCTCTAGACCGCTTGTGGAGGAAGCACATGAAGAAGGACCTTGGATGATGATTTGAAGGCCTGGTTCAGACCTTCAGGTAAAAGATGAAAAGGTAAAGGACCCCTGGTCCAGTCAAAGGCGACTATGGGGTGTGGCGCTCATCTTGCTTTTCAGGCCGAGGTAGCAGGTGTTTGTCCACAGACAGCTTTCCGGGTCATGTGGCCAGCAGGACTAAACCGCTTCTGGCACAACGGAACACCATGATGGAAACCAGAGTGCATGGAAACACCATTTACCTTCCTGCCACAGGGGTACCTACTTATCTACTTGCACTGGTGTGCTTTTGAACTGCTAGGTTGGCAGAAGCTGGGACAGAGCAACGGGAGCTCACCCCTTTGTGCAGATTTGAACCACCAACCTTCTGATCGGCAAGCCCAAGAGGCTCAGTGGTTTGGACCACAGAGCAATACTGAGCCATTTAAGGCTTTATAGATCCAAACCAGCATTTTGAATTGGGCCTGGCAACGAATTGAGCAATGTGGCCGCCATTTTCTACACCAGCTGAAGTTTCCAAACCACCTTCAGAAGCAGCCACATGTTCAATGCATTGTATTAATCTACACTGGAGATTGCCAAAGCACAGGCAGCAGAAGCAAAGCTATCCCTGTCCAGATAGGGGCACAGCTGAGCTACCAGTCAAAGCTGAGGGAAGGAACTCTGTACCACCGAGGCCACCTGAGCCTCAAGTGACAGCAATGGATCCAGGAGTACCCCCAAGCTATGTACCCACTCCTTCAGCGGGAATGTGACCCCGTCAAGAGCAGGCAACTTCCCATGCATTCACTCTAGGGAACCACCCATTAACAGTGGCTTAGTCTTATCTGGACTGAGCTCCAGTTTGTTGGCTCTCATCCAGTCCCATTACCAGGCAAGACACTGGTCCAGCACTTCAACTGCCTCACCTGCAGATGCAAAGGAGAAGTAGAGCTGTGTGTCATCAGCATATTGCTGACAACATAGTCCCAAATTGTGGATAGCCCAACTCGGTGGTTTCTTGTCGATACTAAACAGCATGGGGGATAAAACTGAACCCACACTGACGACTTCACAGAGCTGAAGACCACTCCCCAAGCATCACTCTCTTGGAAATGGTTAAGGAAGACCAAGCAGTGCTGCCCACCCCTAACTCGGACAGCCGCTCCAGAAGGATACCGTGATTGATGGTATCAAAAGCCTCTGAGAAGTCAATGAGAAGTAACGGGAACGCATTCCCCACTCTCCCGATAGAGGTCATCATAAAAGGAGACCAAAACCATTTCTGTACCAAAACCAGGCATAAACTCTTATTGAAATGGATCTATTAAGATGTCCAGTATCAATTTATTCCATCAATTTATTGCTTGTTGTTGTTGTTGTTTAAGAACGTATTGGAGAGTTGACATCTCCAAACATGGATATGAAGGGACATATATACATACAAGTTGGAATAAATTAATGGGAAACTAATTAATGGGTATTACTTCCAAAATTGGGCTTACATGACACTTACATGGAAACTGACTCTGAAAGCATCAGAATATGACAACTACCACTTGCCATTTCATGAACTCAGATGCACCCATAATAAATTATGCAACTGGCATAAAAAAAGGTATGTTACTTCTAGTCACCTCTAATATAAATGACAAATAACTCACCAGTGCTGGATAGGAAGGATACCCACTGCATTTGGCCCACACAACTTTTAGAGGCTCAAGGACAGAATTGGAAGCATCCGTTGAAATCCACATGCTGCTGTGCCCAACTTCTAAAGGGTAAAAGAGAGAAAGAGAGAGTAACTCACTAACGGCCACAGTTGATGCAATGGTTGACACACTGAAAAGGTAAACTTTGTGTGTGCCCTTTGAGTAGGGCATTTGCATGAAGCAGCTCCTATGTTGTTTGGGCAATTTTAACCAGCTGTTAATCTTTGCTCTTCTACTTGCTCAAGCCTTTGGTGTGGTGAAAACCAGTCCATACCACATAGGTTTCGGAACAAAACATTCCATGCAGAAAAGTGGCTACGTTGTCAACATCAAGGTTGGAGGTGGCTCAATATATTGTTACACATTGTTCATTGGCTGACTGGGAGAACAGAGTAACATACTGACCAGTTTAACCAGTTAATATTATGCATGTGAAAGCCACAGATACGTTGAGCTAAGAGAATTTGTTGGCCGTGGCCTTTTAAGACTCTCGAGTGATCATTTCCACAAACTGAAACTGGCAGTCCTGTGATTCTGTTCTCCTGTTCTTTAGTGTAGATTTGAAGAAGAAAAATCAAACAGTAAGTCAACTAACTTTTAGTCACAGTAGACCCACTGAAATTAAGTTTGAGCCATGAACTTCAATGGGTCGACTCTGAGTAAAGGTTAGTTGAATAACGATGATGCTTTTGACTAGGCAACTCCTATAGCTTGTTCACAAGAATCAGCATTCCTGCAAAGGATAGTAATTAGTTTTACATGGCATGGAAACAAGTAGGACTGAAATAATTGATCACATTAGTTATAAGGCCACAGTCATGGTCCCACGTTAAGCCAGTTGACTCACATTCTGGAACTATAATAAGGAATCTGGAAGTGGGGATGCAAGTTCTATGGCTTGATTTGGAACTTCACAGGGTAGAAGAGTTAGGTCCATACTGAATTTGAGGTAGAAATGCTATAAAACGACTTGTTTTGAATGAGAAAAATGTTTGATGAGTGACTAGCACTTTTAAACCATTTTCCCCCCTTCCCAAAGACATTGATGGTTTGGTTTTATTTATGTACGGCATTTATTCCCCAACCCTTTTGCCAAAAAGACTCTTAAGAGCAGCTTACAAAAAATTATAATTAGATGGTCCTTGCCCTCAGACTTGCAATTAAGAAAAAGGAGAGTGGGAGTGGGTGGACTTTTTGGAAAGATTTTTGTTTTTACTGCATCTTTTGCAAAACTTTTTATTGCAATAGATCAAGGTGAATGTCTAACTCGTGCCATTACCCAGGAGTTGTTTAAAAAAAACCAAAAACATTTTCTGGTCCAAAGTTTGCCTAAGCTCCCATGAATGAGGAAATTTATGCACGTGCTCAGTATGAACCGGCGCTGCCCAGCAACAGTTTGAAAGGCAGCCCATTTTACGAGTCAGAGAAGTTTGCAAGTAAGAAAGGTCCTTCCACCACCCTGCCATTCTGTGCACACAGCAAACCCAATGTTCAAGAGAAAATCAATACGAAGTGTGAGTGAAATCTGGTCAAATTATACCCTACCTCAGTTACATTCTGTATGTCAGATTCCACATTGACACAACACATGGTTTTAATTTTCCAAAAGAATAGTTTATAAAGTGAACCAATGTAGGGTAAGGGTTAGTTTGGTGGATAAGGAATCCTCATCAGCCATGAGGGCTAAGGTACCACAGGGTTTTTGCGAGGATGAAATGGAAGAGGCAGAATTATGTACACTACCTCAAGCTCCTTGGAGGAAAGGAAGCATAGAAAATTATTTCAAGTTTATACAATGGAACCTTGGTTCTCGAACGCCTTGGTACTCAAACATTTCAGCTCCTAAACGCCAAAAACCCAGAAGTAAGTGTTCCAGTTTTAAAATGTTTTTCGGAAGCCAAACGTCCGATGTGGCTTTCAGCTATTGTTTCTTGGGTGCCAGTGCCAATCAGAAGCCGTGCCTTGGCTTTTGAACATTTCGGAAGTCGAAAGGACTTCCAGAACAGATTATGTTCAAGAACCAAGGTACCACTGTAATTTTAAATTACCAATACAAGTTCCGCTTTCCACTGCTGTAACTAGAAATGGATGCAGATGTGTGTTGTGTTTTAATCGTATCAAATGACTAGACTTCTCGACAACTCAGTTTCCCACAGGCTCTTCAGGAGCATCTCAGCTAAGTCTAACAGACTTGAGGCACTTACAGACTGAACTCCAGAAAAGCTGAAATATGGTTCAGGTATAATGATGGTATAAGTTTATGCCCAGGATCTCGTTCCACACAGTGTTGTGAATTATACATACAGTTTCTGAGCAGGTAATTTATTAAGAGGCCCCAGCACTCAAATACAGTACCATACCTATAAACAGAAGTTTAAAACCGACAATGGCCATTTTGTGGCGGAAGGCAAACCCTGGTTGTGTGTGTCTGTGTGCGTGTCAACTCCTCCTCCTCCCCTCTTAAACAGTCCCTTTCAACTCTTATCATTTGTGCCAGTTGTGTAGTTGTAACATGGAAGGGTAACTTCAGTTGCATGTTAGCTTCAGATGCATAGACCCCACATGTCTATTCCAGTGAACAGACAAATCTGTGAGTTAGGCTGATCCCTCTGCAATGGAAAGCCTTTGAGGAGAGAGGTTATTACCCCTCAAGTGCTATCTATACCAGGTCGCTCAACCTTTGCTACTGTGTCCTTTCTTCTAGCAGATCAAGATAATCGGGTGACAGCAAAAACTGCAAAAAATTTAGCAGGGGCAATTAGAATAAGATCTATTATTTGATCATTGATGTAAACCTCCAGAATGTATTTTGTATAGTTAAGTTTTTACCTCTATCTTCAGTACACTGTATTTTATTTTATTGCTACGGCTAGTGGCTGATGCAAATAAAGGTTCTTCTGATTCTGAACTGCAAGCCATTCTGCTCCAAGGTGGCGGCGAAGCTTGAACTAACCACAGCATGGATCCCGTACCATACTGCCTCAATAATGTGTCTTGTTCTCAGCTGCGATTTCCTGGCATTTTGGAGCAGAGTCAACATGGAAAGCCCTGAACACAACATGCAAACTAAGAGTTCTTTGTTAATTGAATTTATTTGCTTAGTGACACCAGTGTGTTAAGGCAATATATAGAACAGGGAAAATATAGTGCTCAAAGGGCTTACAGTTTATATTAGATGGACAAAAGAAGTAACGAGGGCGTGAACAAGAGACAACACAGCTGAGGGAAAGCAGATGAGGTGAAGTGAGGCTGGTGCAGGAAAGGCAATGCTAACAAGGCCTCGAGGTGGAGATGTGCTAAAGGGAATGGTTAAATAGTCATAAGGGACCAACTGCTATAATCACAAAGAGCAGAACACAAGACAAGACAAGGAAAGAGGAGTTTAAAGGTGTAACGGGTGTTCAAAGCAGATCAATTTTAACGATGAATTTAGAAAAGGGTGCATAGGAGGGAAATATGGATGGGAGAAGGTTTGTGTTTGTTATGTTCAACCTCAAAATGTCTGAGGCAGAGGAAATAAGAGACTGATTAGAAGGAGGCACATTGGGGGCAAGTTGGAAAACCTAACGGGTATCATCAAGAGGTAGACACAAATAGGCAAAGTCTCACATTCATCTAGCCACAGAGTAAGATGTCATGGGAAGGCATCACCCTTCATTTCTAGAGAGCAGGCAGGAGGAAACGCCAGATATTTTTTATAAACACATAGCGTAAATATATCAGTTACCAGCCGCAATTCTTGCTGCTTTTGCGTAGTTTCCATTTTCAATGCATGATATCAACTCACTTCGGTCTTCTAACGTGTGTCTTCGTATAAGCGCTGGTTTGCCTTTCCCACATTTTGGCAGACTAAAACTAGAAACATTTGAAGTGTCAGAAAACATAACAATAACAATAGCTTGCAGAAACACGTGAATTGTTATACTTCTTTACAAGGTTTCATGGACATGGCCATTTATATGCCAGAAGTCTCTCACCCCAGTAATTAATATTACTGTTGGGCTGCCCACTTCTGAAATCCAGTGAAGATTCTTGCTTGAGGAAGGGAAATGGGGATTTTTACCACTCCCCTCACTTTTCCAGAGGGTCCTGCAACCCTCCAGAGAATATTTTCAAGAGGCACAGGGCAAATGACAAACTGGAGTACCTCTGCTTATGGGAAGTCTAGATTCAAATAATTATATTTTGAACATACTTTAACTTTGGGCTAATAACACCACATTTTTTTACCTTGAATTACACAACAGGCTGTTACTTGATGATATACTAGACTCTGATGCACAACGGCGACGAGGTTCAACTTTTCTCCCTGGAGTATCATTTAACTCCGACTCTTTACTGCCATCTCCAAAACCATTTGAAAGACCTGGCAGGTTAACAAAAGAAAAATACACATAATGTGGAAGTGGATTGTATTTTCATACGTTTCAATATATACTTATGTGCATGTTTTAGTACCTCTGTTAATAGAGCTGTAACATGTGCAAGAAGAATGAGATTAAACGTTAAATAGTTAAGTGAAACATGCAGAAAGTGTAGACATCAGTGAAGATAGAGGAGGTAAAATCAAGGGACTGATACTTGTTGCAAGATATATCAAACTGTGCCGCTCCTAAAGCAATGCATGCAGAACGAAGTCTAGGCAAACATACAAAAGACAGGTCTACATTTTCATTAAATATCTAAAAATTAAAAGACTGTGAGTTAATACAGTACTTAAAGCATCTGAGTTGCAAGTGACAGCAAACTCAAATCGTCAGAAGAAAATGGAGAATGGCTGTCTCCAACCTCCCAGCAGCGTAAGGACCAGTCTGGTATCAAATAGGCGACTGCTAACTTTCAATAGAGCTCTAGAAAATGCTAACACTGTCTGCACATATTCAGTTTAGGATTCAGAACCTATGTACAGAAGCCTAATACAGCACTAAACTAGTCTAAAAGTCCACAACCCAAACAGCTTATCTGCCAACTTTGAAATTTGATCTTCTCTTATTTTAGAAACAGGAATGGTAGTGTCTCATATCGTAATAATAAATAAAACTGAAAGATGCTTCAATTGACCATGAATGAAAATTGCATGTAAGATTCAACAGATGCATAAAATACGTTGAGGACACGCAGGTGACTCGCAACTTACATACATTTTTACACTGCTGAAAACTGATTGGTTGAAATCCCATAAATTAAGAGCATGGAAGGCAGAGAGCTTTTTGTGCAGGGTTTTCCCAGGGCAAAAAGAGCTTTTAAGCTCTCTGCCTGGCTCTGGGAGCCTCTTGCGAGATCTCAGAAGACGCCTGTGAGCCCAGTAAGCAAGTCTGAGAGCTTAAAAGCTCTCTGCCTCGCTTGGGGGGGGGGAGGGGGGATAAGATCTGCTTAGCACACCAGCTGCAGAGGGTAAGATGGCTTGTATGGAGGCATGATTCCGCCAGTATACAAACACTTGTGGTGAACACAGCAACTCTAAAATTATGTTTTCTTGGAGTGTTTTAAATAACATGTTTCCAATCTTTCATTTTTCAAAAAAAAGAAAAAAAAAAAAAGAAACCTGCTCTAAGAAAGAACTTTTCCTAAAACTGGTACCGTGTGATGAACAAGTCAGACACTAGTCGATCCAACAAGATATGAACCTGTGGCAATACAAGCTGAAGACAACCAACTGCAATACAGAATGCAAGCAAATTGACATTACAATTTCCCTATACCCACATACGCTCCTTCTTGTTCAGTTAGTCATTCTGCCTTTTTACACCAGAATATACCGGGTACAGAGAAATCAAAATGAGAAGCAGTCAACAATAGCTTGTGTCGTATCAGCTTTGAAGGTTTCATGAAGCTTCCTTGTTTCATGGTGCATAGGCAAATATTATTGCATTACTGACATTGTACACAAATCTTACTGAAAAACTACTGTTAGAAAGAGCAGTTATAGGGCTGAATCCCCACGCAGGTAAGATCTTCATCCTCTTCCAAAACAGGACAACATGAATTGGGGGGAGGAATGCTAAATATAAGCTAAATGTAAATGCAGTAATATTTGCAAAGTGAATATTTTCAAGTAGTATGTACACACAGCAGGGCTTCAAAGGGCCAGCATCATTATTTCTAAGAGACCAGAGGATCAAATACTTAGAATTGAAACCACTGTAATACTGCGTGCTGATCTGTTTTGTGAGCCAAACAGCAAAATATTTCAGGCAAACTGGAAAGACAATTTAAAACTTTTGTACACAGACTTCTATATGAGCAGTTCAAGCACAGAAGTTCAAATACCATATCCAACCGAAGTCCATTCCTTACATCCCCAAACTATTCCACAACTAGTGCTAATAAATTGCAGAAATATGTGTAAAACATACAGGGCTGGTTCAAGAATGACACAAAAATGTAGTTTAGCATTACAAAAATGAGCTGCAGCATGTCTTGCAGATGTAAGCTAAACTATAGTTAATATTATTATTTTTTTAAAGAGCTTCCAGACTTCTCTTAGCCACTCTAGTAGAGAAAGGCAAGGGGGAAGCACTCCAAGGTTTGTTTGTGTAATGCTAAACCATAATTCACCATTAAATCCAAACACACCCATAGAAGTATACAAAAACATAAATGATAATTTAGCAATAACAGGGTGGAATCTACACGTATATAAAAATGCTGTGAAAATGCTTTTCTTTTAAAAAAAAAGTTTTTGAAAAATATATTGAATTTGCCATAGCTCACCATTGTCATCTAGCGCCACATTTGTATATTTCACTTTACAACACACACCAAACGTTTTATTTGCAGCAGTATAGCTGAGTCCCAGGTGTTGCCAGAAACAGATACAGTCGCATAAAACATTTTGGCTTGGCCTAACACAAACAATTAACCAAAAATAGAGAGTAACGAGGAAGAAGCACTTGGTAGCCGGATACTATCAATATCTCAAGCAATTTTAGAGACTCTGTTGGAGCAATGGTAAAATAGCTGAATCTGTTTTCATTTTCTTCTGCATTTGAGATGCTCTGTCAGATCCACACTGAAGTTTTCTGGAACCATTAGTACTCCATGGGAAGTTAACAGACCTTTACAATGATCTTTCTGTGTTTCTAAGTTTTCATTAGTTGTCCAAGCAACATTTCCCTAAGAACACACCATTCTTTGCTACAGCTATTTTGAGTACATTCAGAAGAAAAGCCATGTTAGTCTGTTTCAACAGGAAAGAGTGTGGCATTCTAGATGTTAACCACCAATGAAATGTCATTGTTCATAGTCCATTTCAGATCCTTTGCGCTTCTGATGAACAAGCTCTTGCCTACTCCAGCTCATACTGCAAGAAGCTAGTTAAGGGACAACAGAACACTTTACAATAGTAAAGAACTATTTGACTACTATTGATGAAGATATTCTATGTAACAACATGTACTTAAGATTTTCATACTGTGGAAAGAAAACCTTCCTTGCAAAAAATATTATTTTTAATAGGTGAAGAGAGAGCGAGCCTAGGGCTTGCCGATCAGAAGGTTGGCGGTTCGAATCTCCGCAACGGGGTGAGCTCCCGTTGCTCGGTCCCAGCTCCTGCCCACCTAGCAGTTCGAAAGCACGCAGTGCAAGTAAATGGGTACTGCTCCAGCGGGAAGGTAAACAGTGTTTCCGTGCGCTGCTCTGGTTCGCCAGAAGCAGCTTAGTCATGCTGGCCACATGACCCGAAAGTTGTACTCCGGCTCCCTCGACCAGTAAAGCGAGATGAGCGCCGCAACCCCAGAGTTGTCCACAACTGGACCTAATAGTCAGGGATCCCTTTACCTTTTACTTGAGTGTAAGTTGAAGCAGATATGTAACTGTCACAGTAGAAGCTACAACTACAACTACTCCTTGCTGTAACACAACTAACCATTTCATGGAAACACAGGATACACAAAACAATTTTAAAAATCATTATCTTGGAACTGAAGTTATACCCAATCTGTAAATATGGAGTCAAACTTATTGTGTCAAGAGTGTTTAAACTTTATGTAAAAAAGAAGCAGACCCGTGTCTACCATATAAGAATTCTCGACTGGACTCTGAAAAAAGTCAATGCAGTAGAAAGCAATCAGTTATGAAGAAACAGAAGAAAAAGGGAAGGAATTTTTTAAAAAAATGAGGAATACTAAAAGTTTGGAAAGTAAACATAAGATACTGCATTTAGGAATTCAAAATCCCTCTGGCTTAGGAAGTTAGAAAACCCTTGCCTAATTCCCTCTCTGTATAACGCAGGATTGGGTTTTCTAATCTAGGTGGTAATTGAGGGTGTCGGATGGCAAGTATTTTCAATAATCCATGAATGGCACCACTATATAGACCCTTTTTGCTGACCAGTGCTAGTGCAAAATCATGTTCAATTCCTATAGAGCCCTGTATTTTCTGCAACAAAATAAAGATGGAGAGAAATGTAGTTATTATATTTGGTGAATGTATTATGGCGTCTATATCCTGGCCAAGGGAAGATTAGATTGGCTTGCAGAGGAATGGCGATGGAAAGGAACATTCTTAACCAATCAACCCACAAGGAGCACGTTTGAGGTAAGACTTCTGGGGATTGGTAAAACTGCGACCAATTTATGTCACATAAGATTGCAACATACAACTTCATAACTTACGGAGATGGGGAAATATACTGAATGAAGAGCATAGGTTCATATATATCAAAGACTTCCTCCAACAGGGTTCAAGATATTGATTTTGTTTTAAGGATGGCTGGTGTCTCCAACATGATCCAAAATAATTACTTGAAATGTAATTGTCTTTCTGCGTTCCAAAATGATCATTACATTGAATTCCAGTCCGTGTTCAGGATAATAGAAAATAATTAGGATCCAAATAGATAAATACTCAGCATATTAGTTAATATGAGAACCTGGAAGACAGTGAAAAAGCCATTTAGTCTCACTGAAAGGGAAAAGAGCTTTAATTAAATAAGCCCTCCTCCCAGCAGTATCCAGAGCAAGATTAGCAAAAACTATGCAAACTATCAATGTCTTCTACTAGTCATATTTAATGTAATATTTGACAGTGGAAGACTGAAATATTCTCCACTTTGAATCAACTGCTCTGAAAGATGTAGCAGCAGAGAGCTTAGGGGCATTTTTCAAAAGAGATACCAAGATACCAAGAACAGGGGCTGCATTTTTGCAGAAATTCATTCCAATGAAAGAAGATGACAGATTAATTTATCCACCTATTTCTATATTTGGGGCATCAGTACCTCTAAAGATGCTTCAACAGTACAGTAAGACATTAGCAGACGAAGCCCAAGGAAGTATCTTGCACATGTGAATTTAGAAGGTGTATTGTGAGTTAGCAGAAGCATGTGCTAAGGGTCACAAGAGGCTACTGAATTGCTTTTCAGCACACATAATTTTTTAAAAAGGGAATCGTAGGCTTAGGGTGAAGGAACTACTAAATTGTTTATTCCAAATTTTGCTTTTACCATGTACAATAGTTAACTAGTTCAAAGAAAACAATATACGCTGCAGTTAATTGCTGGGTCCTCAGCTACTGTTTCCAGCTACTGCCAATTGCTCCACAAATAAGAAAACAGACTAGAGGGCATCAAGTTCCACAATTTCAGAAGTAAACTGAGCTTATTCTTTCCAAAATACTCTCACAGCATTTCCTTAATAATTACACAACACACACAATTAAAGAAAGGATCTTACTTTTCCACATTAGAGATATAGCTATAGAATTGTCCTGCTTACATTTTCAGTAAAGTACTGGAAACATTATCATTTCAATATTTCTAACAAAAACCGGGCAAGATATTCTAGTATAGTTGATAGTCTATTAGTTTTTTCCTGCCAATTTTATACTTAAGTTAAACTTGAGTTTTGATCAACAGTCATGAGAACACTTAGAGCTTTTTTTTTCTGCTAACAGATATCAAAGATTGCATGAACACTAGGGATCTAGAAAGACAGCTTTACGGAAGTTTTCTTAATAAGGCCAGCAACAAGTCATTTGCATCCACAATATACATTAGAAGAGTCTTGTAAGATGATTATTTGAAATAGTGTTGACACTCTGAAACAGTTTTATTCGACAAAAAAATACTGCACTGTGCCATCCTTCTACTCAAAGCACAACTGTATTTACAAAAGATCTATTTAAGTGCAAAGAAGAAAGATTTGCCAATTAACTAATACTGCCTGAATATTTTATAGGTTTATGAAGCTGGTTTAAAAAGTTCTATATAAGAGAGATGGGACAGAAACACACACAAATTAAAAAAAAAAAAAGCTTTACAGCATTTTCTTCTTCTTTCCCTCAGAAGGGAATATTCAGTTGATACCATCAGGGGAAAATTTATTTCTGGGTTAGGATTATAAACTCACCCCGCTTTCTAGATTTTGCAGCTATTTAAAATAGGTGATATAAAACATTTGCCAAGAAACATATATTAAACATTTACCTATACAGTCATACCTCGGGTTACAGACACTTCGGGTTGCACCATTTTGGGTTGTGCACTGCACCGAACCCGGAAGTACCGGAATGGGTTACTTCCGGGTTACGGCGCTTGCGCAGAAGCGCCAAATCGCAACCTGCGCGTGTGCAGACGCTGCGCTGCGGGTTGTGAACGTGCTTCCCGCACGGATCACGTTTGCAACTCGAGCATCCACTGTAATTTTTTTTAATTAAAAAAAAAATCAACAGTAAAAAATGGAGTTCTGAAAACAGGGGGACACCAACACTTCTCTCCCCCTGCTGCTTCTCAATTTTAGGGGTATTTTTGCTCTTTCATGTGTAGTAGTGAGGCGGGCGGCGGGGAGCCGAGAAAAGAAACAGCACTATGTGTCGTCACGTGTTCATTGACAAACTGGAACGGCACAACTGGAACTTCTTAAGAAAGCATGAGGAGGCTGGGCCGAGAAGAGGAAGGAAGAGAGAAACACACTGCTCCAATGGTAGGAAGGAAAGGGCATGATTCCTCGGATGTTGTCCTCACAACCCAAGTTCCAGGCAACTGATCAACAAGGGATCAAAAGGGATCAACAAGGCCACTCACCAGCAAGTGGCAAGAGACTCACACTGATCGCTACTCTCAAGTCTAATTTCCATTGCAGTTTTTGAGCAGGTAAGAAATAGCAGAAGTTCCTACCAAGCAAATGGTGACACTTCCACTATTTCTTACTGCCTGATCCCTTACCTCCACACAAATGCCTACCCACCCAGGCATTCTGTGAATGCCAGATGATGCAGGAGAGGGGATTGGTAGCAATTACATATGATAGCCGGCAAGTAAGCCAAGGAACGTTTGTGAACCTCTGGTTGACGGTCTTGTGCGCTTCTGGACCTTTGCTATAACCTCAGTAAAAAAGAGAAAACGTGTTCAGTAGGAAGATTCTGACGAATATGGAGAAAGTGGGGCGGGGGCTCTGCTATGAGTTCATAATGAGCTGCAAGAAACAAACTAGCAAGTGGCATACTCTTGCATTAGAGGTTCCGTAGGCGTGTAGAGGCATAATGAAACACAAAGGCACAGGTAAACTTTGTTCAGATGGCATTCTAGACACAAGGAAAAATGAGTTCCACTTGTAAAATATTGACTTTAAAGCTAAATCAAGCAGCTACTAGATCAGGCTTCCTCAACCTCGGCCCTCCAGATGTTTTTGAATTACAACTCCCATGATCCCTAGCTAGCAGGACCAGTGATCAGGGATGCTGGGAATTGTAGTCTCAAAAATATCTGGAGGGCCGAGGTTGAGGAAGCCTGTACTAGATGCTACTATTTGCTAAAACAAGTCAGGCTAATAACATGCTTCTGGTGGATATTCAGGTAAATGGGGTTTGTATCTATGTATACGTGTGTGTATATAAATGAAAAAATGAATAAGTAAATAAACACACATGGAAACGTACAGAGGCACCAACCACAAATGACATTTCTCTCTGCACCAAATGCTAGTCAACACAGTTTGATTTGACATTTCTAGAAACTGCAATGAGAAATGGTGGGGGTGGAAACTCAAAAAGAGACTTCGTGGGTAAAAACAGTGCATTCTATAGTGTGTGATAGTTGGGGCAGCCCATTAAACAGTTGTTCCTGTGACACATTCCCCATCGAGATGCAGAACACAACTGTATGCATCCAGAACTAGTTAGCTGCACGTAAGTTGCACCGAGTTCAATGGGATCTAAGTTCCATTTCCTTCAACAGGACCCAAGTAAGACTAACTTGCTCTGGATTTAAACCCATATTTGATACCTGCAGTATTCTCCAAACAATTAATACTTGAAAACGTATGCCAACCGCAGCCTCTTAAACTGAACTCCTGGCCACAGAAAAGAAAAACATGAAAGCAGAACAGTAGAGAGGAAAGCAATCTTGTTAGCTAATTTAAAGAGATAATTAGCTGGAGTCAACTAGTTTACTGAATATGCATCTTAAAGGGTAACATCCCAAAAATCTGGTTTGCTACTGTTACTGGTTTGCTCAACAGAACAGCTTTTTGCTGTGAATCAGGTCTGATGGCTTGAACCACTAAAATGAACACCGTTCACCAAGCTACTTTCTGCTTTTGCCATTTCACAGAAAAGTAAAAGTGTAAATCACCACTATTTTCTACATTGCAAACAAATAAACCTGCTTAACACAACAAGTACATGAAAGATGAATGTCAAGACTATTATGCTTAAAACAACAAGCTGCTCAAATGCTTGAAAAGTTGACATTAACAGCAGCACGTCATAAGCAAGTGTGTTTGTGTATTTTGTATCGCCAAACTGATCCTTTTAAAATGATACACATTTTCAATGACACAACGCAGATATAACATTCCCTCTTGTCTGACCACGGTTAAGAGATTGGCTGTGTGTTACGGACTCATAATCTCCTTTCCTGCTCCCACACAATCTTTGTCACAGGAAGAAAGGCGACGGACAGGAAAACCTTGTAGTTTGTCACGGCAGGCTGGCACAGCAAACAGGTCCAGATCGCAACTTACCACCAGCTAGGCCACCTTTTTAATTCAGTGAACCCTTTGCTGGTTCAGCTCCACCTCTGCCTTCCCAGACACCCCTTGGGAGGGGGGGGCTTTATACTAGATACCACCAGCAACAGCTTCCATATAACCACCGTTCAGGCAGGTGAATAAAGGAGAGCTCCACGGGGCCTCCGCTTCCTGCTAGCAAAGCCCAGGCACAGTTGAGTAGGGGGGACACCACTTCTTCATCCAAACCCTGGTCAGAGTGGCAGAGTAGGGATTTGGTTGCTCTGTAAGAACCTATCACTCAAAAAATAATAATTCATAACACTAATAAAACTTTTCCCCCAGATTAATCTCATTCATAACTTTGAGGGTTTTCTTTGAAACACACACACACACACACACACACACACACAGTGTAATATAGGATTGGATCCAAAGGGGCACTCCCAGTGATAGAGCACTAAAGGAAAACCATGACGCTTAATCCTGGCAAGCAACGTACACAGCTGCTTGGATCCAACGCATAAAACTTAGGGGGGAACCACAATTTATACTCAAGAGAGGGCTGCTTCTGGCAATGGCACAACAGAACTGGTCCAAACCTTTTTGGGTTTGAATGTAAATCCTAAAGTTGACCTTTAACAGAATCCAAGTATATTCTTCTCATGATTAGACACAAAGGTAGCCATATAAAAGATAGCTAACTAGGCTGCAAGCATTCAGATTCATTAGTGGAGAAGGTTTGAAGAAAGCTCTAACATTCAATTTAATTTAAAAGAAGAGCAGATCACAGCAGCAAAGAAAAAAGAAAAAACAACCATCCCTGAATATGAAGTTAGACAACATGGATAAAACAAATTAATCAGATGTCAGAAGATATCAGGCTTCTACAAATATAAAGCTGTACATTTATATTGTCAATTTAATGTGGGCTTTTTTTTAAAAAAGGATTAAATTATTATTTATCCATGTTATCTTTAAAAAGAATATGGAAGCAAATGTTTACCTGTATCCAAACGCTTTACAGGGGACTCATCATCCACCTCAGAATCTCCACAAGCACTCCTTGATCTTTTCCTGGGCTGCAGTAGTGTCTCCAACCTTGGAAGGACTACAGACAAAAAGGTTTTGGTCCCTAGCTGTGGAGAAGTTGGCTGGGTTTCAGTGTTCTTTGCAGACTTTGGGGGGCTTACACTTTTCGATTTGCAGAAGAGAACAGAAGTACGTCTGTTTACATCAGTTGATGACTCAGCTACAGCAGAAACGGTCGACTCACTGAGATTACTGTCAAGTAAGTGTTCTGGAGTGTGTCCATTTATTTCTTTCTGAATGGAAGTACTATACAATTCATTGTCAAATTTTACTCTTTTGTAAAGTTTATTCTGCTCTGGATTGAGTTCTACAGGTTTGAGGGTTGGTGGCTCTGAATTAGTCTCCGAGTTTGAAGGAAGAGGTAATGCATCTGATGGTTCAAGTTTAGGGGGAGATTTATCTCCTGAAAAAATTAATAAAGTTGGGTTTTTGAAAACTGATAGTTATAAGAGCTACTACAGAAAACTTAGTATCAAATATGTAGCCCGCAATAATTATTGTTGTTTGATACAAAGTATAACACATAAACTTTAAACCAACTGTCCTAGTTAGTGCCTGGATTTAGGGGAATATGGTAAGTGTGGAAAAGATTGGCTCTAATCTTCAATGTATTTATTTCACAGCGAGTCCCACTGGAACCAAAGGACTCACTCTTGCATTGTGGATTGAATCTTAAGAGTTCCAATTTGTGCCAAAGTTTTAAGCCTCTAAAATACTAATACCTTTCAAATTGCATAGCGTTTCATGACGTAAGCTGTTTATAAAAGTACTTAAAATACAGTAAGCTGAGTAATATATCCACCTTACCTGTTTAAACTTTTTCAGTTAGTTTTTTTTAAAAAAAAAAACACTTTTGGAGCCTGAAATTGTTGACAATTAACAGGGGGCTTTGAAAGCTTTGCTAAATTAATATATTATTGAGCACTGCAAAACAGCTTAGAGTTATGGTTACCAGTTTCAATTCAGTAAAACTTGCACTTCTATCTTAATGGCAAAAACCCGACACGAAATATCATAGGTTGGCTCCAGACTTAAGTCATGCTTGCAATGAACCCAACCCTAAGGATGACATTCTGTAGTGTACCTGACTGATCAGTGGACTGCTTACATGACATTGAATTTCACCCACTGACTATTTGGAGGATTTTCTTTTTTAAAAAAAATCATTCCTTCTACCAATTCATCTTTCCCCCTACTATTTAGTTTAGCATCGTTCTGACATTCTTTACAGGAATTATTTACCTGGGAGAATGCCTGCTATTTGGGTCAATAAAGTCTATCACCTTTGTTTTCAAGCACAAGAGCTTCTCTTACTTAACAATCCATACACATTATCTACAAACTCCATGCAGAATGAAGAGGACATAGAAAAAGCAGCTATTTCTACCGAAATATTTTGTCAGTATCTTACACCAACAGTACTGAGTGGATGCTTTTGTGACTTTGAGGATTAGTATCCTCAAACACTTCCCACAGGTTTCTCCTCTCGTGCAATTTGCTTCTACACACAATGAAAATACTAAGCAGCTCCCCATTTAAACTTGCTTTGGATTTTAACCTTTTCCATATTTTTGATTTAAAAAAGGATCCAGCATACATTCTTTAGTTACATCTCAACCTTTTAATTTTTCTGTTTTTCCCCTTTTTTGCAGTTCACCTATAAAACCTGCATGGCCATGACTGTGAAGACAGTAGACATAGCAAACATGTGCACCTGAGCTATAAACAACCGCCTTATCGGGTGTATTGGGAGCAATTTCCAATGCGACAGCAGGGAAAGAAACTAGCCACTAATGAAAATATGAAGGCCCACCGCAACAAATGCAACTTTCTACGTAATGTAAAAACTGGATAATCACTTGGAAACAGATAAGTGCAACAGTAAGCTTCTTTAGGCACATTAGATTATTCTCACCTCTTCAATCTACTCTTATTTTTTCCATTCCTACATGCTCCCTTTTAAACTGGATTATAGCGATTTCTAGCTTATCTGGAAAACAAACTTATTTTACTGCTGCAAGAAACTGAGCAAGGATGCACAAATATGGATTTTCTGGAATCTCTTAATCCCTGTGCAATCCTGCCAGCATCACTCTGATATTATACATGTTTACTCAGAAGCAATTATTTGTAATTCATTCATTGTAGGATTAAGGTACTCTTGGAATCTGGGCAGGGAACATAAGAGAATAAAACCTTTTTTTAAAATACCCACCTCTGATTATATACTAAACAAATTAAGTTTAGATTCCTAAATTTGTATTTAGAACCTACAAAAGTATACAGAAGTGCAGGGCTTTTGATAACACTAAGTAATTTCTTATCCCCTTTCACTCAAGGATTGTGGCAATTTCTATCAACTTTTTATTAATACTTGCTTAACTTAATACATCTTACCTTCTTCGCCTTCTTGTTCTAATACTGCATTTTCTTCTTCAAAACTTCCAATACCTGATTCAATCTGAGAGGGCTGATGCTGTTGCTGGCTTATCTTGATGCGAATCAAGTTAATTTCTTTCTTTAAAAGCTTTGCTCGCTTACTCCTAGAACCACTGGATTTCATTGCACAGGTGAGATCAAGTTTTTCTAGTAACTCTTTCAGCTGTTCTTCCAAAGACATGTGCACTCGGTTAGCAGGATTCAGTAACCTATCCACTGAAGTTAAAAACATAGACATTTGAACAGTGTTTTTCACCCTATAGCATTAAGAGCACAACTAAAACAGTGTGACACGGGTGCAGCAGAAACACTTGATAAATTGTAGGATTCTGTTCTCCCACTGCAGCTGGTATTGTCCCAACAGCAGTTTTCACTAAAATCATTAAAACATACCTAGGAAATCTCTAGGATTTCAGACAGCAGTGCAGTGGACGTTCCTCATGCAAAGCAGATGTTCCAAAGTACAGTTGAACCTTGGTTCTCGAACAGTTTCTGGAAGTCCGTTCAACTTCGAAAACCAAAGGGCGGCTTCCGATTGGCTGCAGGAGCTTCCTGCACTCAATTGGAAGCCGCAGAAGCTGCAGTCGGGATGTTCGGGTTCCAAAGAACGTTCGCAAACCAGAACACTCACTTCCTGGTTTGTGGCGTTCGGGTGCCAAAACGTACAAGTACCAAGGCGCAACTGTACTAACTTTGCATGCCAAAGGACCTAGGTGTAATCACTGGCATCTCCACTTGAAAGGACCCTCCATAGCAGGGCTGGGCAAAACCAATGCCTGAAACCCGAGAGCTACATCTAATCACAATGAACAATACTGAGCAAAATGAGCCAATGATATGATTCAAGATGGCAGTGTCAAATATTCAATGCTAAGACTGTCCTGGCAGCTCCACAAGCTCTATTGATGATCTCATTCACTTTCCACATGCAGCCCCTCTGCAACATGAACTGAACATGAATTTTATGTTCTGAAGGGCACAAAAATGCCTTTATGAGTTATTGTATCAAACCTACTAATGTATTTGGCCATCCAATCTGAAACGAATTCTATGTGTAAGCCTTTATGCAGAATTTCCCTCCCTGTGAATTTCTCCACAGATTTAGCGACTCAAATTTACCTTGCACAGGTCATGAAACAGCACTGATACATTTGCTTTCTGCTATTCTTCCACTCTGCATTCCAGGGATTTGTAAAGACTTCTGCACTGGGAGTATGTGTTTTTGCATTGCTATAAAAACTCCTTTGCCATCCCCGAAATCTCATATGAATGTATGAGTAGTGCTTTTTCTCAAATCTCACGGCATAATAACAAATGGATTACTATTGCAGTACTGCTAGTTTACATACATGCTTTTGAAGGAAGAAAGCCTACCACAGGTTTAATTAACTCTCTCGACATATACATTAAAAATTGCTTCTGTATGTGCAGAAGCTGAAATCAAGATTCCTTTCTTTTCCTAGGAGGCCAGAATGATAATTATGATACAGGCAGGAATATAAATCATATCAGGGTAGGAGTGAGTAGATGGGGAAATTATGCAAATTAATGGTAGAAACAGGAAGCTGTGGCAAAAGCAAATAGTACATGTTCTAGAAATTCACTATAAACTGGAAGACAAACATAACAGGCACTGTCAGTTAATCTGTGGAAGGAATCCAGAATGAAATGAGGAACATCCATTCACCCCTAGTTTAACCTCCCATGTTAAAATGTTTTGCCTTCTTTCTACTCTAAATTATTTTTTATTTTGCTTTATTATGTTCTTATAAGAGGTTTTTTTTTTACTGCCCAACACTTTTTCCCTATTCCAACACCTACATTCCAGAAGCAGAGTCCACAAAACATGCAAATAAACAATAGGATTTCAGTATTTACTTTCCTAAGAGCAGTCCTCCTGCTTCACATCACAAAATGATCTTTAATCTCAGAAATACAAATAATTTGTGATAGGGCTTTCTACATTACAGCAGTCCCCACGATGCCGCAAGTGCAGGAAACCCTTGCCATATCCCTAAAGCGCCACACTTTGGTACGAATTGCATATACTGCTAAGCCATGAAGCTTCATTTATCAAACCACACTGCATATGCTGCCTAACTTCACTCCTTTGTTCCTGGGAATGAAGCGGTCCTAGCTTTTGTGTTTCGAACCTGAGATCATGTTGTTGTTTTTTTAATGGCTAAGCCAACAACCATCATTTAAAGCTGGCTATAAATTGTGGCTTGTACTTAACATTACATGCTGGGTTTGGATATAACATTAAACTTTCCACTTCATAGTTTCTTTCCACTTGTGAAAGAAGAGGAGTGACATAGGAATGCCTGGGTTGCACATAGCTCATGCACAGTAGATTTTAATAAACCACGTTTAAGGGCTTAGTGCTATAGGCAAAGATGAGCTTTGTGTGAGAAACACACCTTGTTTAAAAGGCTTCAAGAATTCTGAACAAGAATTGACCCACTCAATAACCTGAAAATATTGTATCAGCATTCATTCTGATGCGTCCTTACCATCTTCCCAGGTAAAAGGTGGAGGAGATTCAAGTTTAGGCCGTTCAGGTAAGTGCATTCCAGTTTCGTTATTATACCCAATTGCCTCCGCATCTCTTCTAGCTTGTCGCAGAACAATACCTCCTTGATCTCTTAACCGCACAGCAGCTCTATAGAATATTGTATCTTTTGCATTGTATTTCATACAGTTTTCAATGATAAGGTTAAAATCTTCTTCAAACTCGTTGAGATTTTTATAAGCTTGGGCATCCAACCGTTTTCTCATAGTAGAAAAATCCATAGGATGTTTAATATGATCCAAATAATCTGGAACCTGCAAGTACATTTTTTTAAAAAAAATATTTTTTATTCTTTGCTCTTTGATTGAAGCAGAAATATAAATATACTATATCCTACACCATATAGTATATAGTATACTAAGCAAAACTTACTTAGTTTCTTCCTAAAAATATTGAATGATATACGTAGAAATGTATAAATGTATAGATGTGTACGTTTGTGACCTTGATAATTTGAAGCTTTGCACTTTCCAAACCTGTTCCCTTAATCTATTTTTAAAGGCAACCTTTATTTTAAAGTGACCTGGGCACAGACAAATTAATTTTAATATTTAAGCTAGAAAATAATCTAAAGTACTCTTTTTGATATTTGTAGGATTAAATGCTATCACCTGGTTGAAGAATCAAATATTAGGGCTGGATTGAACTAAACAGTTGCACTAGCAGGAGCAGAAATCCTTGCACCAACAGATACTGGATTCCTCCTTTAATGTTTAATTTTAACAAAATAATTATTTTTATATTTATGCTTTCACTAAGTCTAGAAAATGAAGGTATTAACATTTTATTGTTTGCAAATTAAAGCATATTATCCTTCATGTGCAAGTCTGGTGATACCAATTCTTTTTTTACCAGGTTCCACATCCTGCAGTGTATTTCTATGCTGATGGCAGAGGGGGACTTTTCTTCTCTGGCAACTCCCTCAATCTCTATGCTAAGTGCAGAGGAGGAATGGAGTGATCTGTCCATCCTCAGCCAGGTTACTCACTCACCTGCATGAAATTCCATGACACCTATGGCTACTAAGCTAGCGCTTCAATACAAAACTGATCAACTGTATCAGAAATATTAAAGTTTCACCTCTTTAAGATTCACTGGTTGAGCAAATATGCGAGCAGAATCCTTTTCCTGTAGTTGGTCTAGAACTGACCGCAGTAGTACAGTAAATGGAGTTAGCTGAAGTTCCATGGCAACCTGTTCCACTTTGATCTATGCAATGGAAGACAAACAGAACCCATTTCATTCATGGATACGATTGCAGACTGTAAGTATGAAAAATTGAATTTATCAGTCCTAAGCAACTGTATTCAGAAATAAATTCCAACAAGTTTAATGGTGCTTACTCACAAAGTAAGTGTAAACAGGACTGCAGCTTAAATGTTATATGTGATGTATGTTCAATGTGCACTAACACAGGAAGCAAATTGATTTGCCTGTATCTGGCAATGTTTACAGCTTAATTACAAAACCTTGTGTGCTTTTGGCAATACAACTAACGTAGAGCCATAGGTAACATTCAAGAGGAGAGTATACCAATGAAAACACGACACATAATCATGGTGCTCTTTCAAAGTTTGGCACCTTCCCAGTTATGCCACACTTCCAAGGTGCTCTAAGGCTGTTCCAAGTTGCCCTGAAACATGCACAAACACCTACAGAGAAAGTTAGGGATCTTGAGACTAAGGCCTATTAGGAAAGGTTGAAGGAGTTGGGTATGTTTAGCTTGGAGAAAAGGCTTTTAAAAAATGACACGATAGCCGTAGTCAAATATCTGAAGATGGCCATCACATAAGTAACAGCAAATTTGTTTTTTGTTGCTCTAGAAGGCAGGACCCAAAAACAATGGGTTCAAATAACAAAGCGGGGGGACGGGACAGAATTAAACTAAACATTAGGAAACAACTTTCTGACAATGCAAGCTGCTTATTCATTAAAGTGTTTTAATTCTTATTAACTCTTATTTAACTCTTATTCATTAAAGTGTTTTAATGCTGGATGGCCAGCCATCTGGGATGCAGCGCTAGGTTTGCTGGAACTAGGCAATCTTTGGGGTACCTTCCAATTCTATGAGCAAGCACAGTACAAAGGCACGAGATCTCTGATCCCCAAAGCTCTAAGATTGGGAAGAGGGTAGGATTCATGCACATACACTTTGTGGGCGTCCAAAGTGTTTCAGAAATGGAGCATGACACACGCTTAAAAAACCCCTGGAGATTAGAATTTGAGAAAGGGGTTCTTCCTGACAGTTCACCATGCTTCAGAGATGTCCTCCACATAGTGTGATGTCAGATACAAGGGGATCCCACCCCTCCCTCATTATGAGAAGAGCAGGTTTCTGGTAACTAAAAATTGTGGCGGCTACCAAGGCCATCCAAGATTTGTGGGTCCCCGAGTGTGTATCCTTTGAATCAATCCTGACTCGGCAACGTTTCCCTTCAAAATCCTAATAAATAAAATTACTCATATACCTGTTCTCTTTTTAACTTTTCTCGTTTTCGTATAAGTTCTATCAGCAGCCGTGCTCTCTCCAGATCATGACGGAGCCTTTGCCAGTACTTCAACTTCTCCTTTAAGGCTTGTGTTTCTTCATCATCTTCCCTCTTACGAAAGAAAAGTAGTAGTTTCTATGTTATTCTGCTCTTAACTCTACAGCTAACAGCAGCTTCTAGCAAGCATTTCAAGAATAATTTTGAGTCCAGCTAGCCTGTGAAGTTACTTACAATTCCAGGTATACTATTTTTCTCTGATAGAACAAAGATAGGAATTAAACTTTCATATTCATTTTCACTTAATACACAATTATACTGTTCCTAGCTACCTATGCCATATATTATCAACTCAAATCACATGAGCAGTTTAATTATGCTGGAAATTACGGAAGATACATACCTGTTGTGTGTTTCTTTGTGACTGCAAACTAGACTGCAGTCTTCTCAATAAAGGGACACCATTTCTGGACAACCTTTTAAGTAACCAGTAACTATGTACTCTTTCAACAAATTGCTTCTTTCGCTGAATAGCCACCTGATTCATAATTTTATTTAATCTAAAGCATAGGGGGGAAACAAACATATTAATTTTTGTAACTCAGCGCTGCATATTTTAATTAAGAAAGAAAATGGAATACTTCTGAATCGGAAATGTTGTTTTGAAATGACACCAACATTTACATGGGCTGGTGTAAAAAGAACTTCAGGAAAGCCAGGTGTCCCCCCCCCCTTTTTATTTTGGATGACACACCTATGTTACATCGCAAACTTGTTTTGGAATTCCCCTTGATTTCAAAAGTTTTACCATGCACTGCGGGTAAGGGACTACTCTCCAAGAAACACTAACTGAAAATTCTTTTAGGTACTTGGAGCTAGTCACACTTTTAGAACCAGGGTATTATAAACAGTTCCATAAATCTTACAAACCTGATATAGCTAGAATGTTATTTTCACCTGTTATTTCCTAGTGGAATGTTTCACAATAAAGACCAAAAAAGAAAAGAGCCTGAACTACATACATACCCTAAGACCTTTGACAAATCAATACATATTCATTGAACTTCTTTCTTTGATTAAATTATTTAACGGTTTTGCTACTGAAGTTATGTAGTGAAGCCTGGGAAGCAAGTTTACAAGACTTATAGTATCACATGTCCAAACACATACCTGTTAAGTCACATTTGACTGTGTAATACTAAAAAAAGAATCAACTCTCTTTCAATTAACCTGGTTGCCTAGAGATAATTCTCAACTGATATAAGATCCAGGCAAGTTGCCATTTACAAGTTTGATGTATCAGACTGCTATATTTCTATTACTATGCCAGCTGTGTTTGCTTCATCTAAGTACCAACAGGTGCATCTTATTTCCACTAGTTTTTTTCTTCTTCATGGCATGCCAATCTGGATAATAGGGGATTGCATTAGGAATGTTGAGACAGAAATAACCTTCTAGTAATTAGCCAAAATATTTTTTGGGGAAAACAAATTTACAGTTGAGTGCTAAAACTGTTATTAGAAACAATTCTCTTTACACTTCTGCATGTAACTTCACTAATTTTATTCAAGGGATATACAAAGGTATTAGAACCGCATATAGCATCCAAAGAACTGCACATGCACATATACAAGGTGGTTTTTTTGGCCACCCATCCTAATGTAGCCCTCACTCACTCTCTCCAAGTGCCTATTCCACTGCTCCTGAAGGTTGGGAACCATCAAGAGTAAATTTAAATTCAGAATTAGGAGCTATAAATCAAAAGCAAGATTGGCAACCCTCCCAACCTCCCTGAGTACAATCGGACTTGGATCTGGGCCATTGGTCTGTATGTGTGATTATTTCATAGGCAGTAGTACACTATTAAAAGCACAGGGGAAAGGGAAATATTTAACACTTCCTAATATCAGATAAAATACCGAGATTAGATCAAATAGTCTGCCCGGTAGTTTTCTGGGTTGAGGCAAATATGTCCCAAGATATTACACCTGTTAGGGTTGCCTTTAAGAATCAATTTCTCAAAATAAACAAAGTCAATATATGAAATAGTAGAAGTGTGCAGCACCCAACCTTCCATTTCCAGTGTGGGTATCACATCACACACAGTAAGTACCCTGGGCTCCTCTGGGGACGAAGGCAGGATATAATTTTAAAATATAAAGAAGCAATATGTAGCCAATAAGGATACTTTCTAAAATTAATGAGTTCCATGAAAGTATTTAAATATATACATGATGTTTTGTGTTTAACCCCTCTGAATGCTTAGAGGTTGACACCATCATACAAACAGGAAGTCACTCTTGAATAGCCCCCCGATTCACAAACCCAACTCCACTAACATAGCATAGCTGGAAAAAAACAGGTAACCCCATAAAATAAAATAAATTCTAACTGCTAATTGAGGATGTAGGCAACCCCTTTTTCAGGGCTGCATTTCAGTGGAGAACAGAAACAGAAACGATGATGGGTAGAACTAGAAACATTCACTAGATGAATGTGAGAATCAAGACCATTCTGTGCAAGTCTACTCAGAAGAAAGTCTCATGGGACTGTGACAGGGTTGCTCTCAAATAAGCATACAGGGGATTTTTTTTAGAACAACAGATTAATAGCTGTTGTTTTGGAAAGCAAGTAAAAGTAATTCTTTCGATGGGTCACACAAGCAGCAAAAGCCTATCCATTTGTTCTCAGACATCCATTTCCTCAAGCCATACAAGCAGGGGAATTTATTTTCTTTAGAGAAACAAACATAAATTTAAATTAAGCGAAATACTGCCACTTGCAGTTGCTCCGAAGCTACATAAGGAGGGGAAGAACACTTTGAAAAACAAAGAAGAGTAAGTAGGAAATGTATGAGCAGAGAAGAAATGTTGATGGGATGGGGAAAGGTGGCAGCTTCAAGAATCACTGAAGGCTGAATAAAATGAGGTCAAAGGCTACAGACCGTCCACCTGTGATCTAGGCAAATAATTTAAAGGTTTCCTGTTCAATTTACCGTATTTTGCGCCCTATAGGACGCACTTTTTCCCCTCCAAAAATGAAGGGGAAATGTGTGTGCGTCCTATGGGGCGAATGCAGGCTTCACGCAGCTCTCCACAAGCTGTGGGAGCCCACGCCGGAGAGTTGTCTGCATGCTGAAGCCTGGGTGCGCTGAGCTCAGCGCGCCCAGGCTTCGCGCAGTTCTCCGCAAAGCACGGGAGCCCGGCGCTGGGCTCCCGCGGCTTGCGGAGAGTTGCCTGTTCTGGGGGCTGGGGTCGGGGGAAGCTCCGCACCGGGGGGGGGGGAAATAATCCCCCCCTTTATTTCCCCCCCAAAAAACTAGGTGCGCCTTATGGGGCGGTGCGTCCTATAGGGCGAAAAATACGGTGTGAACTCAAACCACAGCAATGATGACTCTGAAAGCTATCCTCACTCTTCTACAAAAATATTAAGTTACTGAGTTAGAAGATTAAAAAAAATTCTATTAACTTGTTTGTCAAATAGTGTCAAAGTATTGCAGGTTTAATTCCCTATCAATAAGCTGACAACTAAAAGAAAATTAAAATAAAGCAAATTTAACTTTAACGTACTATTAAGGTAAATAAAGCATTGACTTCTAACGTTTTTCTTACCTCTGAGGAGGGATACACGGAGCAGATACTGCAGGCATAACTGTACAGGGTTCAGCCGGTGTCTTCTTTGACTTTTTAGCCTTTTTTCTGACCTTTGATGTGGACCTTGTTTTGGCAGAGCCCTCTTTTCTATAGAGGCCATTTTTCATTTCAGCTTCTCCATAAATGTTCAGAGGTCTCCGAATGGAACCTGGTGGTGTATGTACATCACAATATGCAGTCTTTTTTACTGAGAATGTCGTGCCACTACCAGTTAATTCTTTCACTGGTTCCATTTTCATATACAAACCAGCTTTTTGAGCACATGTAACATGGAATGCTGTGTAGCAGTTTGCTTTGTGGCACTGAATACAGGCACCAACACCTTTCTGTTTACAGAGGTAGCATGTTAACTTCCATCGGGCAGGGGGAATGTTCTTAACTCCATCTATTGGCTCAATAAAAACTGTATTGGCAAATCCAACTTCCGGAATCCAAAGAGCACAAACAACATGTCCCCATCGATCATCATCTGTCTTTTTAAAGGCACCTCCTTTGTTTGGACACAGTACACAGTCTACAGGCCGTGAACGGGACTGTAGACACTGTCTGCAGAGCCACTGGCCCTCAGGTATATATGGCACCCCATAACACTCCTGATGCACTGCTAAGTTACACATATCACAAAAAAGAATTACATTGCTGTTCTGACACTCTCCATCCATGCAAATACAACAAACTGCATCTTCATCAATTAAAGACTGATGCTCACCCTGTTTTTGAGTCTCACAATAAGATTCTTTCTCAAAACGGTCCATAAGAAATTCAAACATGTTTTGCGATACAACCGAGAATCCATCACTCTTTCGCTTTTCATTGATTATTTCTAGCCACGCATAATCTTCTTCATCCATATCATACTCCACTTCATTATCCAGTTCTTCCGAAGACTTTTCAATAAATTTATAGTACGATGGAGGCCTCCGGGGTGCAGAAGGTGGACTGTACTCAACAATATGCACTTTGGGTTCCGGAAGAGTACTTGCTGTAGACGGGATGCCATGCGCACTCGGAGACGTTTCATTTTTCTTTTTAACTTTGTTGTTTCTATGCCTCTTTGTTCTCAGAAAGATTGGTGGCCTTTCACTATTTTCTTTATTGCTGTTGCATTCACTTAATTCTTGGGCTGTAAGATCATCTTCTAATATAATTTCCAGGGGTTCAAAGATACTGATCCTGTGCAATCGCCCTTCAATTTCTATTTCTACCATTCTTTGAGCCTGGGCATAGGTCAAAGTTTCTCTAGTAGGGGAGTGTTTAATACTGCATGGAGAAGAAGAGTGTCTTGCTGAAGATACTCGATGACATCTTCCTTTCCTCCTCATTTGGTACTGATTACCTAAAATTAGAAGCATGATTGTAAGATGAAATTGTATATTTTAATATGAAAACAGGAAAGACAAACGGAGAAACATTTTTTTACCTACTAGGTGGTTTCTATGATAAAAATTAAATGTAGTATCTTGAAGGCATTTAAAAACTATGAAACAAAATACTTTCATAAGACCACAGTAAGAACTCCACACATTTTTGTAATTTAAGAAAACTCTTAACAATTCATTTTATAAAACATCCCTGCAGTTAAACAGATGTGTGTGCTGTCATTAAGTCAGCCTTCCCCAACCTTAGCTACCCAGATGTTGTTGTACTACAACTCCCATCATCCCTGACTACTGGCCACAATGGCTAGAAGTGATGAAGATTGTAGTTTAACAATATCTGAAGAAACAAGAGTTATAGCATGATCTAGTAGCATGATATATTTACTGGTTTGCTGGTCACTGGTATTCAAAATGAGTTGGATCCAGAGAACTGTGATTGAAAATCTGCTTGTACAGTAGGGCTTTCCTGACTACAACCACCCCAAAGCTGCTCCTGAGGGTTGAGAGCCCTTGTCTAATGGCTTGGGATGAGAAACAGGAAGTTGCAGCAGGGCAGGTACATTCAGAATAATTCAGCAAGATTTCAGAAGCATTTTTCTACTCACACAAGACACAAACAAGCCCATTTCTTAAAACTAAAGAGTAGTTTATCCACTTATCATTATTCCATTTATCTGTTGCATTTTTTTGTCCCAGGCAGGAAAAAGTCATTTTTTAAAAACACATAAAACATTAAAACCAGAAATGAAAAGAAAACGTTAAAGTATCCCATCCCCTCTAAAAGGCTCTATACTGTTAAAAGTCAAAGGCCTGGTTGAAGAGGAATGTTTTCACCTGAAACCTGAAGCTATTAAGTGATGGCAACAGAAGAGCCTCCCTGGTGACAGCATTGCTTAAATCCTACGCACGCTTACTTGGGAGTAAGGGACACTGAAGTCGATGTAAATATTGTGCTGTTAAAAATACATGCATAACACATTTTGCCTGATATTAAATAAAAGGAGAAAAAAAAGACTAACAGCATGTGATATGCAGTACGTTCATTAGTAACTTGAACAGACGATCGGTGAGCCTGTCTACAGTCCAGTTCACATGTCATTTTAAAACATAGTTTAAAATAAACTATGGTATAAAGCAGGCAGGTCCAACAGGTAGATCGTGATCTACCGGTAGATCACTGAATGTCTGTGGTAGATCACGGGTAGATCACTGTCTCCTCCCAAAGAAACTCAACAAGTTTGACTCCCCTAAAAAAGCTCATCATTTTCGCCCTGCTCCCCCCAAAAAATGGGCCTTCACCCTTCCTAAAAGCTCGGCAACTTTGACCTGAACCCCCAAAAAGGGGGTAGATCACTACCAGTTTTTAACTGTGAGTAGATTGCAGTCTCTTGGGAGTTGGCCACCCCTGGTATAAAGTGATCAAACAGTGTGTTGGAGCACATTGATCGAAAGACTGTGCTTTGTTTTTGCCTTCAGCATACTGGAGAAGAAATTGGAGGGTGGCTTCAAGTTACTTACAAACCAGTGGTTGTCATTTGCCCAAACTCGCAAACACACCACACAGTGTAAGCCAAATATTTGCATACTGCTCATTAGGGCTGGCCTTTCAACACTGTGATATATCACCAGCTAAACAATGCAATGTACTGATATATCACAATGTCTGAAATAAGGATGGAGCTATGTAGAGGCATTGGATGGCTTCACGGTTTTACCTACACTGTGATTTTTGCACAGCACACACACACATATCACAATTTGTAAAATATTGCAAGGTAAAAAATTATGAAACTGGTATCACAATATGGACTTCAAACAGGTTTTTGCACAATATATCGCCCAGCCCTAACACACAACATGATTCATGATATATTGCCCGGTTAAAAATTATGAAACCAGTATCATTATATGGACTTTAAAACTGTTTGGGACAATATATCACCCAGCCATACTGCTCATGGCTTGTGTGGGAGGAGGGAACAAACCATTACTTCTGGTTCATGCATGATGGAAAGCTAGCTTCTGGTTTGCTTTCCTGCAACTAAGGACTGGCAGAAGCAGAGGGAGAACAAAGCACTTGTGCTTTCAGAATGTGAACCAGTCCTTCAAGCAATAGCAAGCTTTGAATGCAGATTTGTTTATTGGAGAGATTAATGATTCATTGGGCATGCCACTTCCTACTTTCACTATATATATTTGAAATAGTGAGCCACTCCTTAATTCACGTTCAAACAACTATCCATCATTCACAGGTGTAACATAGCATAGCATAAACTAAAACAAGTACACTTCACTGACACCAGAGTCCTATGCACAGGCAGAAAAAACCCTTCTGCTTGTACGGATTAGGGCTGCCAATTTTTGCAGCATTTCACAGCATGAAGAATCCTGAAGGGTCCTGTGACTTCCAAAAGCAAGGAGGCAGAATGGAGAAAAGTAAGAGAGAGAGAGAGAGAGAGAGAGAGAGTTTGAATGACAGAGTGAGAGATAGTACACCTGCAATGAAAGGAGCTAGGAAGCTCCAATGCATTTGCAGAATACTGTGCATAGCCTTTTGGATCAAACACTTTAACATTATTTGGAAAGTTTATTTTGCACTTATTTGTTTTATTTAGATGGATTATCCTGAAGACAGATATTGAATTACCGTATTTTTCGCTCTATAGGATGCACTTTTTCCCCTTCAAAAATGAAGGGGAAATGTGTGTGCGTCCTGTGGCGCGAATGCAGGCTTTTGCTGAAGCCTGGAGAGCGAGAGGGGTTGGTGCGCACCGACCCCTCTCGCTCTCCAGGCTTCAGGAAGCTATCCGCAAGCCTTCGGAGTGCGGTGGGAGTTCCTGTCGGGCTCCGAAGGCTTATGGATAGCAGCCTGCAGCCTGGGGAGCACAGTGCCAACTCCCACTGCGCTCCCTGGGCTTCAGGCAGCTATCCGCAAACCTTCGGAGCATTTCTTGGCTTCTGCCAAAGCCACGCGCAGCCTCTCCCAGCTGGAGAGGTTGTGTGTGGCTAAAGAGGAAGCAAAGACAGCCAGCGGGATGGATCCCGCTGGCTGTCTTGGCTTCTTTGCTCTTTGGGGCTAGGGGGGAAATAATTTTTTTTTCTTTATTCCCCCCCCCTAAAAACTAGGTGCACCCTATGGTCCAGTGCACCCTATGGAGCGAAAAATATGGTATACCAGAGCTTGAAATTTTGGTGCAAGGAACGGAATGGTACCAGTAAAATACAGCCTGTAAATGAAGGCATCTAAGGCTATCATTGGAGAGGTGATAGCTATACAAGACAATGTTCCATCAGGTAATCCCTGGGGCCTCCCACCACTACCAGTGCGAAAGAAAGAAAAGAAAAATCTATCACCTTGTTTCTAATACAGGATGTCTTGAAATATTTTTTAAATGGACCTCTGCAAAAATGGCTCAAAGAAATGTGAAGTGAGCATCAGATGCTGATTTCTATGAAGGATTTGTTATAGCAACTAACTGACAGATGTCAACAAATACTTAACACTTTTTTATTCTCCTTCGCTCCACAGTATTGAGGATTGCATTCTACTCTTCTATCAAGCAAAATGGGCCTCCAATTATGAAAAATGACTTGCACAAGGTCTTTCATGCAGTGGTTCCTCACCGACTCCTTCTGACTGCAACCCACAGAGCTCTCCAAAGCCAAGTAACATGGGATTGCACATGGAGGGCTACAGTGAGAAAAGGATCTCTCCCCACACCAACTGCGAGGAACAGATTTTAGGGGTAAAGAAACAACTCTGTTGCACGAGTAGCCTAATTTTTCTCATGGTCTGGATCTAAGCCAGCACATGAAACCCACAGAATTAAATCCAATGTTGAATTTGTAGATATTTTTGTTCAACTACAATATATACATAATTCATGATTGTGACCTATATTACTTTCAACAAAGATTGTTTTCATAATGTTCTTATTTTTCTAATGTGGAATAGGAACCATTTTACCTGATGTTATAGGATTTCACTTGTGTTTATGGTTGTGTAGCTTTTAATACATACTGTCTGGAAATTATACAGAGGATGGTATATTTTGTGTACGTATCTCTTTTACTTGCCTCTGAGAAAGGACAGTTTTCATAATGAAATATAGCAACACTTTCAGGTTCTGGGTTAAAGCAGACACTGATACAATTTGTAGTTATGAACCAGCAAATGTTGTGATGCAGTGTAAATGAGCCCATAAAAAAATCATTTGGAGAAAACTTGGAGGAACATAATTATGACTGATATGCTTGGGAAGAAGTGGGACATTGGTGCCTTCCCCTTTACTGAATTGCTTGACTTGCTCATCAGTAGAAAAATGATATTTGAATGGCTCTGTCTTGTAATAGGGTCAGAAATTTGCTGGAAAATGCTGGTGTTTAATACAGTACAGTACACAAATGCAAGTACGAGGCAGCACCTGTGAGGGATCCAATGTGCTTCTAATGGGGAACAGGGCAAGAGAGAAAAAGAAGAGTTATGTTGTAAAAATTCACATGTCAAAATGTGAAAGAAAGGAAATACAGTGAGTTGATTTCAAAAACGAAAGGAACAAAATCACACCTTGGCCATTTCTGTGAACTTTCCTGTTTACAAACAGTGTAAGCAAATTTTATTGTTCTGTATACAGCAATTATTTTTCATTCAATAAATAAACTCTGTCAAACTATCTGTTGAACAAGTATTCAGTTAAGGCAGATTTTCCAGATGTTTTGATTACAACTCCCATCAGACCCAGCCAGCATGGCCAACGGTCCAAACTATCTGGAGGACAAAAGGTTGGAGAAGACTGTCTCACAGCATCAGATTCTCTCCCCAAGGCACCAACCTTCACTGCCACAGGATCAATTTTACTCTTTCTATCAGGTACAAAGCAAGACTATGACTACTAGACAATAAAACAAAGTATTATCTGGATAGCCTCAGTGCTATTTTCCAGACTAAACTACAGCACAGTCAACAATGAATTAGCTTCTTTGAACATGGACCACAGTAAGTGGTCAACTTGTTTTAATAAGTAAAAAACTGTGGCTAGCCTTGATCATTTTGAGCCATACAACCATTCAACGTTACTAAGGAAAGCTTTGCTCCCCGAGGATTAGAATAATTTCATGCAGTTAGTAAAAGCATATTAAATTAAATAATTTTTTCAACCATTATCTAAGTTCACTCAATTCCTCTGAGAGGTTTGATAAAAAGCTAATTATTTCATTTCAGTAAGTGCACAAGAGGGTGTGCATCAAGTGCGCTGAAGGGCTTATGCCACCTACACAAGATCACATATGCCTACTCCAGACTGTATTTAATTTTAAATGCCCACATCACCAATAGCTCATGTGCATTCACGTATTCACCTTAAAAAGCATGGGAGGTAAAAATCCTTCTTTGTATGTACACGTACACAGAATCCCCCAAATGAACAGGGCAAAGGTCCTGTATTTCCATGTCCTCCGGCTCAGTATATAAAAACTCAGTGAACTAGGCTGTTATGGGAAATATTGGTCTGTGTACAACTCTCATATCCACAATATAGTCAAGGAAAATGAGTTCGTGGTTTGGGAAGCACACATCTGCGAGTGGGGTGTAGCAGGACAGAAATAGTATGGGTATCCCTTGCCTTTGCGGATGCTACAACCACAACAGGAAGGTCCATGAACCCAGATGACAAGTATGCCAATGGAGTTAAAGTTGTAAAGGGTTACTAGTATTTGGTAATCTTGAGCAAAGCACCCTATCTCCCTTCCTCCCACTGTTCCCCCATGGACTACAAAGCTAGAACAGACACTTAAAGGAATGAATGCCTAAAAAAAACTTGCTCAAACATTTTATGGACACAGGCCCCAAGTCCTGCACGCCTTCACATGCAGAATGATTCTTAGGTCACAATCTTTTTTGTGCTATTACCCAATAACTGGTTGTGTTTGTGGTTTATTTGAGCTTAGACTGTCGTAATTTATAAAGCTTCTTATACAGCTTATAAAAAGAACTGAAGCACAAAACAAAATAGTATTTATAAAGTTATCACTGCAAAATTTAGCTTTGTTATATTACTTTAGAAAACTGTGCAGACTGCAAAACATGTATCAGAAAGCAATTCAATAGGCAACAGCTGCTTCTTAAGAAAGTAGTAATAGAAGACTACTGGATAGTAATCATCATTTTCTTTTCCAGTAACCGCAGCTGTTAGTAAGAAAAGAATAGGGTAGCTGTGCAATGATATCTGAAGACATAAAACAAGCAACACTCAACAAATGTCTGCACTGGGGAAAACATTTTACACATATTCATGGGTAATGCATGGCACCAACTCTATTTGAAACATTTGTGTCAATGCCCACCCTTCAAATAACAGTTCTCCCACTTCCCCATGTTACAGAGGATGAATATTCCTTATTTTCAGATTGTGTTGACATTTTTTCCACAATAAGCACTTTTGGGAAGTGCAAATATTCCCACTAAATCTTTAATCACAAATACTGAGGGGTAAGAAAGAGGAGCAGAAGCTACATGAACTTTGTGAAATTGCAGTGTTTTAATAGCTAGTTCATCGAGTGAACACCCAAATGCAAGAGGCATCTATTCAAACCTTCATCAAAATTGGCACTCTTATGAAACAGCCACTCATACCTGTTCTGGTAGCTTGCAACTCATCTCCCACCTCCCCTGCTTTTTTTTTTTTTACTGGTTCCAGACTGAACTGCATCAAATCCAATGTCACATTTCAATTTTTGTAACAGAAAGAGGGCTATGTTTGTGTGTGTACACAATGGGGAGCATTTCTAAGCTTTTTATAGAGAGCTATTACAACATAATTCTATGGCTTTCCAGTTCAATGGGATTTACCCATCACAGTGAATCAGATTGAATCCTTAGAGAACCAACTGACTTAACAACCTTGTGAGGTAGGCCACTACTTCTCTCATTTTATAATTAGTGAACAGATGACAGAAAGACCTCTCGCATCCAGACATTTTTAGATCCAAGCAAACTTTTAAAATACCCAAGCTGTGTTTACAGTACTATTTGACAGCCATAATTCATTTCAAAATCTCAGACATTATATAAATGAAAACCAAACTAAAACTGTGGAAGAAATTATCGTGCTAAACTACAACTATTTCCCCATGGACTTTAAAAACAAGAAAAATCATGAGAAAAGGAAAAACCATGCAAGTTATTCTGAGAGCATATTCCTCTATCATAAACTAGATAAAATCTAGTTCAGAGAATGAATTCCACGTCTAGAAGAATGACAGAAAGAAATGCTCACCGTATGTGCAAACAACTATCTGACTTTTAGAAGACATCTGAAGGCAGTCCTGTTTAGAGAAGTTTTTAATGTTTGATATTTTATCCTGTTTTTAATATTCTGTTGGGAGCTGGGGTGGCTGGGGAAACCCAGATAAGATGGGTGGGGTATAAATCATCATCATCATTTCTCGAAGTTCAGCAACAGCCAAAGCGTCTTAAAAGTGACATTTTAGCACCAGACCACACAGCCAAAATAAAGCCTTCCTCAAGAAGCATACTGTTTGCGAGGCTTGTACTATAGTACTCTAGTCAGGGTTTACCCTATCTGCAGTTCCCTAGGGAACGCAAAATAATAAATCACACGTCCATTTGCGGAGCGTCTTACATCATCTCTTGTTACAGAAAGGAAGATGAAAGCCTCTTCCAACTGCATGCCGACGAGTTAAAAGGCCCTGGTCCCTGGGAGGTAACGCTCCTCTTACAAACTGCGGAACCCGGTGCACTGAATCCGGCCGGGCCAGCTCCCAGCTGGGAGTTACAACAGAAAGGCGAGGGGGAAGGTGGGGAAAGTCGCGCTTCGCCCCGAAAGCGAAAGCGAACTCCCCAGGAAGTAACCCTTTCCTCCCCGACGGGAACGAGGCGAAACAGGAAGACTCGATCGGTTTGCGGGAGGCGCGGGCCACCCTCCCTCTCCCCAATCCTCCCCGCCCCCTCCTCGGTTTCGCGGAATGGTTGCGCCCTGCACGAGATTCCCGTACAACCCCCGCCGCCCACCCCCTTCCCCGAACGTCGCCTTTCCCCCGCCCGCGACATCAACAACAGCGGGCGCCCCTCCCGCTGGCGCGCCGATGGTTCCTTCCCCTCCCCCACCGCCCCTCCCCTCTCGCCGAGTGGTTCCTCCCACGCCAGGCCCGGCGCCTTCTCCTTTGCGAGGCCCTACCTCTCCCCGCCGGGCCCGCCTCGCTTTTCCTCCTCCCCCCCCCACCCGGGACAATGCTCGGGCCGCAAACATGGCGCCCGCCCGCCCGCCCGTGAGGTGGGTGGTGGCGCGGAGGGGGAGGGGGTCGCGGTTTGACGGCCCGCGGGCGCTCACCTGAGGGAGCTGGCCGACCCCTCCCTTGGCTGCGAGACTCCGGGGCTAATGGCGGCTCCCTCAGCTTGCTAACGCCGAGCGGCTGTGAGGAGACTGAGGGAGGGGCCTGGTCGTCCGCGCTGTCCCGGCCGCCTTGGGGCTCCCGGTGGCGGCGGCGGCGGCGGCGGTTGCTGTCTCCGGCTGCCGCGACGCATTCGGGGGCGGAGGGCCGGCTGCGGGTTGGTCGCCGAGGCTCCCGTGGCCGAGAACCTTCCCCTCCTCCTCCTCCCCCCTTCGGCACAAACAATGCGGCGGCTTCACCACAGCGCTCGCGCCGGCGGGGGAGGGGAGGGAGGGAGGCGGGGGAGGAGCAGCAGCAGCAGCAGCAGCGGGACGCGAGGGCGCCAGGCACCTCCCAGCCCCGCGGACGACGACGACGCGCGTTCTGGGGGCGGGGCCACGGAGGCTCCGCCCGCCGTCGTCTTCGTCATCCGCCCGCCGCCAACCAATCCCCGCGAGGTGGGCGGGGCCGAGAGCGCGTCGGGTTTCTTAAGAGCGCAGGCTGCCGCCGGGTTCAGGAATGGACGCGGCGGATGGGAAGGGAGCACGAGGCTCTTTCTTGGGCGATCTTCCGCGGCGTGGCGTTTTCTCCTTGCGGAGCCAGGTGCGAGGAGAATCTTTCGTAGAATCGGCTGGGGAGTCAGGTTCTTTGGCGCTCCAGATCCCACTGTATTTGGGACGATTAAACGGACCCAAGCCCCTTAGATCTTCATCTTTTCTGAAGCCGAGGGCTTTAAAGCCAGGATTCGGCCCCCAACTTGGGGCCCGCCTTCACTGACATACTTTTGGCACTCCCGTGAAAGCTCACCTTTCCAAGTTTTCATGGATGAAATAATGGAATACTGAATGGTATAGGGCAGGCATGTCCCACTCCCAAGAGACTGTGATCTACTCCTAGTATTAAAAAAACTGGCAGTGATCTGCCCATTGTCATTGGAGGGAGGAGGAGCGAGCCTGGGATGGATGGCTTGCCCAGAATTTCTTTAGGAGGGAAGTGCCCAGAGTTGTTGACCTTTTTTGGGGTGGGGGGGTGGGGATTGCACAGAGTTTTTTAGCTTTCCCCCCATAACTTTTTGTACATGATAAGGATCCAGTGATCTACCAGGATCAGCTGGGGATCTACCGGTAGATCGTGATCTACTGCTTGGACATCCCTGGTATAGGTTTTTTTATATAGATAAAATATGCAGGGATTTGTGATACGTGAAATGAACAATGGAAAGAGAAGAACGGAAGTCATTGATATCTTAAGGACATAACTCTCTGACTTTTAGAAGACATCTGAAGGCAATCCTGTAGCTTGTAGATCATAGTGAAAGTACATGAAACTATTATATTTCATTGGATGGTAAAAAATGCTTTTAATTATATGATTAATAATAATAATATACTATTTATACTCTACCCATCTGGCTGGGTTTCCCCAGCCACTCTGGGCGGCTTCCAACAGAATATTAAAAAGTTAAATAAAAAAAATAGTTTACTATATTGAGTCTGTCAATGGAGGGGAAACATTTTTAATGGTATGCATTGCCACAAGTTCTGTTAGTAACATAAACATTTGTATTCTTTATGTTACTGAGGATATTTTCTGTTTCCACAGGCAACATCTCTATAGTATTAGGATTTACTACTGATACATTGTTATTGGAATATTGCCCTTTGGCTCCTTAGATGTTGGACTCCCAATTTCTATCAGTCTCAGCCAATATTGTCAAGAATGGTTAGAGCTGTAGTGCAATAATACTCTTCAGGGCTCAAGGTTCCCGTATCCCTATACTGCAAGCTTTGTGGCAATAGTATGTGGGCACCCCTGTTTATCTGCCATGTGACAAGTATCTGCATGGAACCAGGTCTCAAACTGAATTAAGTAATGCTCAGGACTGTCACACAATAAAAGAATAAAAGTGGGAGAAGTAAGACTTTAGAACCCACAGTAAGATGCAATTCCAACATGTGATGCAAACACCCTTATCAATCAACAATCTTAAATAAGAGTTTGGAAACAAAGGGCCTGAAGTTAGTTTGTAGCAAAGATGCCCAACATATTCATATGGCGATAATACAAATAAAAAAGAAGCTGAATTCTGTCTATATTATGTTAATTTTAGGGAATGGCCAGCTGTCCTTGTTCTCAAGGGATTCTTGCAAAAATACTAAACTATTTCATTCCCTTATCTGTAATTACAGCATTCTAGTACTTTCAGTTACACTTTTTAAGAATTACTTTCTGTATAAAGGGTAACATTCATTGAAAGATAACCAAGTATTCAAAATACAGCTCACACTACATATTTCAGGCCTACATGACATTACAACAGCCTTTAATTACAAGCCTTTTTTTTATAAGTCCTCAGCTATTGATAAAATTATTTAAGTTAAATAAATGATTCAAATCTGTCATCCCCGTTGTTTTTTAATCTTCCTCTGACCTTCTCAAGTTCCTCCATATCACTGCATTTTAAGCCAGCTTCCTTCTGCTGGAGAACTAAAAACAAAGCATTCCTATTATCAGCTTTATTAGCAACTTCAAGCTGCATCCACACACTTCTTTGCTATGAGCAAAGTATGTTGCTGAATGCTGTACTTAACAATCAACTCTCCTTTTAATTTTTCATTGAAAGGGTTAGATATAACTTCATTTAGATACAGCAGGGGGAAATCAAGTGTAGGACCAGTGCTTCTCCTCCCCCCCCAAGAGGATACGCAAGGGTACTCAGTATGGCACCTTTTTGTTGTTAAAAAGTGTGCTACCTACTGTAACAACTTCATTGTGAGTACTGGCATCTATTTTTCTAGAAAAAAAGCACTGTGCAGAACTAAAATGTAAAGGTAAAATCTAAAGCAAACAGTAGGGTCTTCAATAAGGCCAGCTACCATGTAACAAAATAGTGAGCACATTTTTAAGTTAAGAACTGTTAATTTAACACACACACACAGAGAGAGAGAGAGAGAGAGAGAGAGAGAGAGAAGATGAAAAATAAAAAAGATACAGGGCATTACAAAAGCCCCAATGTTTCATATCCCGAACTATGTTTTTTCTTGATTCAGGTAGGTAGCCGTGTTGGTCTGACACAGTCAAAGTATATTAAAAAAATAAAAGAAATTGTCCAGTAGCACCTTAGAGACCAAGTAAGTTTGTTCTTGGTATAAGCTTTCGTGTGCATGCACGCTTCTTAAGATACCTGAAGAAGTGTGCATGCACATGAAAGCTTATACCACACAAAAGCTTATACCAAGAAAACACTTAGTTGGTCTCTAGGTTGCTACTGGACAATTTTTAAATTTCCCCCCGTTATTTCTTTGCACTCCCCATTTTGTGTGTGTTTAATAACTAGCCTGAGAGTTCTAGTTTTGCCTTATTTATCCTTTGGGAGAGAAAGGGAATATTTTTTCCCCTCCCTTGACACAGAAAGGCTTATTATTAACAGTGTGAAAAACTCTGCAATACAAATGATGGAAAATAGAGTAAAGCCTAGCCACATCAGTTAAGACTCATTTCATAATGTGCTTGTTTAATTTGTTAGTTCAGGTGGTGGGCTTTACCTAGTTACAGAAAATCACTGTAAAACCAAATTAAATATATATACAGAAGCTGTTGTATGAGTCATCTTGCCTAGTGTTCCCATCACAGCTTTATCTTCCTAATTTACAAAAGTTTATTACAATTTCTTTCAGAAACAACACCCAATTTCCACAGACTATCTGGACCTAATTAATCAACATCTTTTAAGACTTGAGACAGACAAAACTGCACCACACATACAACTCTGTATCCTAAAGAGATCTTTCTCACACAAAAGAGCTGTGTGATGTTTTCTCTTGGTGTACGTCCAAAGTCATACAACAGGTCTAGCAAACTAAGGTAAATTTCTGTTATGTAAGATTTTAAAAGTACAAGAGCAGGGAAAAGTTTGGATTGAGAGTGGTGGTACTGGTAAACCTCTTACAAAATCTTTTGCATGCTAAACAGACAAATGTTGAGTCAACAAAACCCATAATCTGTTAATTGCATGGGTGAATCCAGTCTGATGGTGTGTGTATTTAGCCAGCATACAAATGTCTCTTCAGGATGCTAAATATAAACAGGTATTGGTTAGTGTCAGAACATGTGGTCTTGCCTGCGAGACAAAGTCTCAGATTTAACTGGTATCTCTTGCTAAAAGTTTTCAGCTATTAAAACTAGAAAAAAACCGCTCTGCTGAAAAGCTGCTGTCTGTCAATAAGTGCTATGCTAAATGGATCAATCTAATTTGCTTTAAGGGTACACTTTCCCCACCACCACCACCACCATTGACAGTTTAATTATAAAAATTAAACTCTTATCCCCTTAAACAAAGAAAACATAATGCTATAAGGGTACTCTTATGCTCATACAATAAATTCTGGAACAATACCAGTCTTTGTGCAAATCTTAACAAATTCTACTGTACATCATGTCTCCACACACATTCACAGGCTGAAGTCACACATGCAGACTAATATCCAGGAGTAAGCAAGTACAGGCATACATGTGCATAGGACTGTAGTCTTATATGGAAGATCTGTGTAAGTGAAGTGAATCACCTTTATGTGATTAATTGTAATATTTAAGATCCAAAGAGTTTCATTTCATTCTGGGTGGAAAGTATAAATTATGTATTAAACTTGCTATACCTCCATGTCAGCTCACAGAACAAGCATTGTCAAGGAGAGGGCACACCTAATATTTATGGTGCTCAGATGCGCCTTTAATAATTGGATAGCAGCAAGAGTTTGGGCAGATGTAGGTTGCAAGGTTATAGCACCACAGGGCTTGAAATATCTGCGTCTGCAAGAACATCTTTCCATGAATTCAAGATGCCCCACCTTCTATTGCATCCAGTCCTCCTTCACCACTTCTGCCTTATACAGCTCTAACAGTGCCATCACACCTCAACTTACAGTGCAATTATATGGACGTCTACTCAAAAGTGAACCCAGAAAACAGCCTTTACAGAGTTTTATTTAGTTCCTTCCAGGAAAGTGTGCACAGGGCTGAAAGCGTTCACAACATGCACCAAGTGACCAAGAAGCACAACCTACACCTTTTCAGCCCCACAACTGCCATTCAGCTGTCATGAGTCACAGACTCTGAATAAAAGCGAGAAAAGACATCAAACCCATGGATGCCCTCAGGAAATTTCCATTTTTTGGAGTTAACAACGTTAGCATAACAAGTTAACCTAAACGGCTGTAGGAAGGGCTCAGCAGACGACTTCGGGGCGGGGGGGGGGGGACTGTTCAAAAGAAGAAATCCTGGCGCTCATGTACCTTCCAAGACTCCGATATGTACGCAGCTGTCAAGGCTGCAATCGTATGCAAAAATTACTCGGGCAGCGAGAACTACGGTGCTGGTCGAAAGTATCAAGTTATAAAATAAACCCCACCCTTCCGCCTTCGTACATAAAAGAGCTTAATGCGTTGGGAGTTTCTCGCGGCACAGGAGATCCGAATTACCACTGGGGGAAAGCGAGCGACAGAGGCCAGCCGCAAAGCGTGAGGAAACCTAGCCAGATGTGCAGGGTATAAATAATTACTATTAATATTGTTATTACTATATACCCTCTGAGTCGAGCGGCATTAACTCTCGGGTGAAAACATGCCTACCGGGAGCCCTGGCCGCCGGCGAAGCGCTTCTTTTCCGCCCCACCCCGTCTGGCCCTCTCAGGCGGGGGAGCGCAGAACTCGGACTCGGGCCCCTTCGGTTGGCCTCCTCACCCTCACGGCAGAGAGAGAGAGAGGAAAACAACCACCACCACCCCAGGCAACAGCCACAACTGGGCCTGGATACATTAGTCCATTATTATTATTATTATTATTATTATTATTTATACCCCACTCTGGACGGCTTCCCACAGAATAGTAAAAACACGATGAAACATCAAACATTAAAAACTTCCGATCTGACTATTCTCTCCCCCCCACACACACATCCACCGTTGCCGGCCATTTTGTCCGCCTTGGCGAGGCGCGCGTCGCTCTCCCGATGACGCGCCACGTCGCGCGCGACGACGCTCCCCTCCGGCTTCGCCCGCCTCCCTTTTCCCTCCCCCACCGGCCGCGCGCTGCGCGTGGCACATGCGCAGTGCGCGGCGTGGTCGGCCGAGCCGGGTGTATGTGTGTGTGTGTGTGGAGGGAGGGAAGGAAGGAGGGGAGTCGGCGTCGTTCGGCGTCGCGGCGGCAGCGGGCGAGGCGAGACAAAGCGGCCGGGGAGGCGGGCCCGCGTCGAGTCGCTCCGCGCGGGAGAAAGACGAGGTGAGCGAAGGGAAGGGTCCGGCGCTCCGTAGGTAGACATAGATATATATATATATGTGTGTGAGGGAAAGCGAAGCGCCTGTCTCCTCAGCCTCCCCACCCCCAACCCCGCGCGGACTCCTTTCGGCCGGCGAGGGACGCCTCCTGGCCCGTCGGAATCCTTCCGCTGGGACCAGGCCCACCACCTCAGGAGAGAGACACGGCGCGAGGGGGGGGGGCGCCTTTCAGAGGCCGACATCCCCCCTTCCAAATAAGCGTGCGCCGGCCTTATTGTCTGTGAGGAGAGCCTGAGGGGAAGAGAGAGAGAAACTCCATTCACACACTTAATTCATTCCTGGGCCTTGAGGAACAACCCCCCCCCTCCCAGCAGCAACGCCTTATGTCCTCCCACTCGTCTCCCCCCCCCTCCAGTGCCGGATGAGAAAGGGCTTCTCTCTCCACCCCACCCCCCCTCCAGAAGGTGCTGGGCCGCCGCGCGTCCCTTCCTGGAGCGTGGCTTTGTCTGCCCCTCGGTTCGGTTCCTTTCTCAAACCTTTCCCAACCCCCCCCCCCCAGCAACCACCACCACCACCCGCTTTGAGTTCTCTTTCCCCTGGGAAACGCCCGTGGAGTATGTCACACCCCCCCACCCCAAATTTTATCAGTTTGATCCATAGGGGTCTTCGGCCTCCCCACGATAAAATATTTCAGACAGACAGACACACACAGACACCCAAGTTGATGGGCATTGCCATTCAAATGGATCCATAGGGGTCTTCGGTTTCCCCACAAAAAAATCCTTCAGACACACACCCACACCCAAGTTGATGGGCATTGCCATTCAAATGCCATTCAAGTTGATCCATGGAATCAATTCATTTTTTAATGCTTTTCAGGTTTACACGTTTCCCTAATTTTACCGTCATTTTAACATTTCAAAGCTTGGCTTCCCTCCCCCTCTTTCTGCTGTTGCTTAAATTTATTATTCATGGCTTCTGCAGATCCAAATGAACTTAATTTGCTCATTTGTTCATCTACTTTAAATATATACTCAGATCCATGGGATCAATTACTTGAGGTGGGGCTTACCTGGCTGCCCCCCTCCCCCAATATTTTATTCAATTTGGCACGCACACACTGAACCAATGCAGTAGTCCTCTTAGCTATGTTTTTTTCCTTTGGGGGGGGTGTCCCAGACACACACTTCATGGGTGGTCCCAGAGTGCTCTTCCTCCACCCTCCACTTACTGGAAGAGGAGGTAGATGGGCTGGCAACACACCTTTTCTGACAGCAAGCTTTGCTCCCCCCTTGCCCATTTTGCAAGCAGTTTCTCTCTCCCCCCCCCCCCAGTGACAAATGAGGGACCCTTGTGCAGAGTCTAACAGCAAAAGGTGCTAAGCTCTATTGGGCTAATCCTCTTAGCTTCCCAGGCAGAGGGGGAGGCACTTCCAGGGATTGTTTCTACCATAGGGATGGGAAATTTAAGGCCACTTCCAGCTCTCCAGCAAATATATGTGCATCTGTGCAGTTATCACAGACCTAGAGCATTCAGCCTGTGGGGTTGTGGTTTGATACTGATTTCTTAAGGTCTTCACAAGTGTTGGTTAAGGGACTCTGTAATTTATTAAATCACCCTGATGCAGAGTAATCAGAGTGTTAATAGCCATTCTGACCTTACAATTCAATCCATGGCATCTCCAGTTACAAGTATCTCAGATATCAGGGGTGGGAGAGACCTCTGCTTGAGACCTTGGAGAGTGGCTGCTTGTCAACATAGGCAGGATCAATGGACTGAATTAGGGATCAATGATCTGGCAGCATTACACAACTTTTTAATGCATGCACATGCACACTAAGGGACAATTCATCCCCCACTTCAGCCCTCACATGGAGGTAGTCATAGACCACTTCCCAATGGCAGCACCATGGTTTAAACTTTTATTATATGTCATCCCAAATGCGTGAGGTTTCTTCATGCAACATCTTGCATCCCATACAACCAACTAACAATTGCTTGGAGTTGTGTATGTTTCAGCCAGATCGTGGACTAGGGAACATTTTAAATATTTGTTTGCTGTTTGGAGAGTCATAACAAGAAAGTGTTTTTTGCAGCCTTCATGTTTCATTTAAACTTGCCCTAGGAGAACTTGAGTAGGTGAGGGAATCTTATAGATCCAGCTTGTGTTAAAAAACAACAACAACACTGCTGGAAGAAAAAATTCTTTGCTTACTAATTTCTTTCTTTCTAAAGTTGTTGGTCTTAGGGATTCAAAACAAAAATCTCTAACAATAGCAGTTGTGTTTGGTTTGATTTCAATCTACTGGTAGAGTTTAGCCTCGTAATAAACCTCCCAGACTTGAGTCTATGGTCTAGAAGTCAGGTTCAACTTGTTTCCTGATCAAGCTGTGGAACTGCTTAATCATTTGGCTTGATAAATAGACTAGTATAAACTGTCCCTCAAACTGAATTATTTATTGTGGTGGGAGGACCTTGGTATTTTGAACTACAAACTATTTTCTATTTTAATCATAAATTAAAATAAAGGAGGAATAACCTGATTGTTCTCCTTTTCCTTTCTTATATGCCAGATCACTGCACTTTTGCACAGGATGCAAAGTTTGCAAGCTTGATTTGCTTTGTATAATGTGTGTGAAGCATTAAAGTCTCGTTTCTTTCCATCTCATAAATGATACTTCAGTGCCTGTGTTTCTAATGTCTGTATTATGCAGATATCGTGCTTTTGAATGCATATCTAATAGGCAAGTATTACAGCTCTTTTAAGTGATTTAGAAAGCTGTCCAGTGCTATTTGTTAAGGAAAAAAGTATAATGGCTCATATACTGGGACCTCCCATCAATCCCAGCCAGCATCAGTGATTGGCCGTGGAGATGGAAGCTGTAGTCCAACAACATCTGGTGGCTCCTTCCTCTAATATCATAAGCAGAACCATAGAAGTCTGAAAAGCTGTCTTATGTAGGCAAACTAAGGCCCGGGGGCCGGATTCGGCCCAATCGCCTTCTAAATCCGGCCCACAGACCGTCTGGGAATTGGCGTGTTTTTACATGAGTAGAATGTGTGCTTTTATTTAAAACACATCTCTGGGTTATTTGTGGGGCATAGAAATGTGTTCATTCCCCCCCCCCCATATAGTCTGCCCCCCCCCCACAAGGTCTGAGGGACAGTGGACCGGCCACCTGCTGAAAAAGTTTGCTGACCCCTGTAGTAGGAGCTGCAATTGAAATATGGCTTCCTTGTGAGTAGTCCTGGTGAGAAGCTGGAATTCTGTCCTGTGGCTCATCAGTGTATATGCATCCTGTGTGAACGCTTTCTTGAATTTTTTAGCTTTTGTAATACATGAAATATACAAATACAAGTATAAAAATAATTATAATATTCTTTGCTTCCATTTAAGAGTACATAGAATTGTAGCCTAAATTTGAAACGTGAAACTAGTTAATTGTAACTAAATCAAGTCCCATTTTTAGCATCCCCCCCCCCCAGAAGTAAATCTCATTTTGTTCAATGGAGCTTCCTTGCAAATAACTGTGAAAAGAATTGTAATCTTAGCTTGACTGGTAGAGCATAAGAGCCCTTAATTTCAGGGTTGTGGGTTCAAACCCCACATTGTGGGAAAGATTCCTGCTTTGCAGGGGGATAAACTAGATGACCCATTTGCCCCTTCCAGCTCTACAATTCTATGATTCTGTGACTCCAGCTGGATGGGGTCCATGTTAGCAATTTCAGAATAATTACCACTACTGCCTCAGGTTTTCGATTCGGAATAATCAAAACAGACCTCTTTTCCACCCTGAGTAACAGCATACTAGGGTGTTGAGGAGTAACCACCCAGATTAGAGTTGCATATAGTTAGCAATTTGTTAACATTTTCGAAATAACATTTTCGAAATAGGAACTTCAGCGGATTATCCATGTACTTAGGTCAGCCTTGTATGTAACAACTTGTCTTGTAGCCCTAGATGACCAGGAATTCAGTGCAAACAAGTTCATGTGGGCTGACAGAGGAGGAACAGATCATTTCATCCATCCCCTTTTCACCTTCCTTCTAAACCAACATGGAAATCCAGCTGGCTGGAGAGGACAGCTGGATCATTGTCCTTTTTTCACCAGTTCCCTTGGCAGAAGGCTTTTTTTGCTAATCGGCTAAGAGGCTAGTGTTTCCATATTGGTTGTTGCTTTGTAGCCAGCACAGAAACAGGTTAGTCATTTAATATTTATTAATTAATTTGCAGTGTAATAGCACAATCCTGTCCATGTCTAGTCAGAAATAAGTCACTTTTGAGTTCAATAGGCCTTACGTCTAGGTAAACTTATATAAACTTATTATATAGGATTGCACCCTAACATTTGTGTACTAATTTGCAAGGCTGACATATGTTGATAGAAAAAGTCATAGTTGTAAACAACTAAAAGCCCCTTCATCCATTGCCTCATGGACTTATACTAAAACCCTGGGTAATGTTATATCTGTGGTGGGCTTAGACACTCTCCTTTAATTTACAGAGACCACAGACTGAAAAAAGTGTTGATTAAAAAATAATAATTTTGCATTGTTATATTTTACACCTATTTTAGCACCATCATCTCATCTCCTCAAATTTCATTATTTTAATCTTCCAGTAGTTTCTAGATTTTGCCTGTTAAAAGAAGAATATTTATTTACATCCCTGTAATTTTTGCAGAACTGGATAGTGTAGCCCACTTCTTCTTCTTTGGTGATCACTCACAGCTGAGTAAGATTGTTCTCCATAAATACGGTTTTACCAGTGAGTCCTTAAGTGACTGTGGAGGCCAATTCTGGATCCACACGTCCTTCCACAGTGGGGACATAGGTTTCCGGGTGGGAGTTGGTCACAATGAGGGTTTGCCAAGCGTGCCTTCCTCTTAGCACATTTCTCCCTTGCGTCCTGAGTTTGAGTGTTCTCAAAGTCCACGACACCTTTGGTAAAGGCTGTTCTCCAATTGGAGCGCTTGCAGGCCAGTGTTTCCCAGTTGTCGGTGTTTGTACTACATTTGTTAAGATTTGCCTTGAGAGAGTCTTTGAACCACGCCCAAAGTAGTTTTATGGGTTGCTTTTCAGATAGGCTTTGGATATACTTGTGCTTGAAATTTGGAAGTGCAATATTTGTTGATAACAAAAATATCCTGACCAGTTTAGAAACGATGAACTATGGGATGACATATAGCCTCCAGTATATATGCTCTTTTTCTGTCCATCTTTACAATCAATCAATCAATCAATCAATGCATGCTGGAACAGTCTCTGGTTTCCAGTTGTGTACCTGTTTCCATTCTGGATCTATGCAGCTTCATGCTTCATTATGTAAATTTATAAATGATCTTTTAAATTTCATATTGTCACAAAACAGGACAGTTGTTGTGTGCTGTTCTAAGATCTTGCTCACATACGATATTTGTCTGATATCCAACATTAGTCATATTTGGAGTAATCTCATTTGAATCAATACATTTTAAGTAACTTGACATGGCAGTGGTGAAGGATGCATATTAAAAGTTACAAAAATAAGATGTGAGTAAGGTTTGATGCATTAGAAGTGACTGTATGCAGAAAAGTGGGTATCTTTTATACACTTAGGTCAAAAACAAAGGGCATAGACTTAGGTCTCTCTTCTTTTCTTTCTCCCTCTGCCCTTCCCCTCCAGATCCGGAGATTGTCTCTGAAATGAAGCCAGGGGAAGACAATAGGCCAAATAGGTGAGTGCCCTGTCAACCATATTTATTTTCATTGACTTGCTACATTTTCCACGTGAAATTATTATTATTTTTAAAAAATGTATCCAGCCTTCCCATATGTGCAGCTCTCAAAGTGGATAATGCTGATAAAAACAAATAATAATACATAGTATCACTAGAAATAAAACTTCTAACAGCATCATTCAAATACAAAAGCAGCAAAACCAGAAACAAATCCCAGTAAGAGAGCCAATCTGCCTATCACCACAGAGGACAAAGGCATGTGGAAATAAGTGTCTAGTCTGGTTTCTAAAGACAGGGAGGAAGAACAGTGGCTGGATATTCTGAGGCGAAGAATTTCATAAACTAGGTGTCATAACTGTGGGTGCTTTTCTTATGTATCCACCTGCTCTTCTTCAAGAAATAGTGGGAAATAGAGCAGGGGCTCTAAAGAATGTGGGTGGGTTCGTGGGGGAGAGATGGTCTTAAAATATCCACTGCCTAAAGTATTTTTAAAAATCAACGCCAGCATTTTAAAATGGACTTGAGCAGATTGACATCAAGTGAAGAATGATGTAATCAAAGCATTGAGTTGCTAGCAGGCTGCTTTAAATCCTTTTGTCAAATTTTCCATGAAAGTTAATTATCTGAATAATTCAGCATGTTTCTTTTTGGTGTGCTACTTTGATGTCCAACTATATTAGGTGATTTCTAAATGCTTCACCATTTCAGTTGGAGCTTCTTTCTTAACTTGAAGGTAGTTAAATTGCTCAGTTTTTGAATTAAAATAATTGCTAATAATCTGAGTGATACATAGTTCAGACGCTGCAATCAACCATGGCTTGTTGTGAGGAGAGAGTGCATTACAGTAGACCTCTGTGTTCCCTTCTTCCTTTACCTGTACCAGGGGGGTGGGGTATTTTAATACTTCAGGTGCAGTTTGCAAAACAAACCACATTTTCATGTTTTGTTCAATTATGGGAAATTAGTTTGTGCTCAGATGAAACTGGAAGTTTCATAGTTTTGAACCTCATTCACTGCACATGAAGGAAGAGGTTTGTCATTAGGTCTGAATTGGGTCTTACTATCATTCCTAAGAGAATGATGCCTGGATTAAAAAAAAAATCATTAAACCTACTCAAAAGTAGTTAATGCAGAATAATGAGGAAAATATAAAATGAGTGTTATTTGTCTTTGTACAGGGTTTCAGAGAATGCGGACATCTTTCTTCAATAAATCAAAGAAACTGGAAAATTCCAAGTTTGTCTATCCACATGGGCTTAATGAGAAGGATGAAGCCTATAAGGTAGGTGAAAAATTACATAATGCACCAAACATTTTCAGATTGCTACAAATTACTACAAATTTGGGAGGTAAATTGAAACTTTTGTTTCAAATAAAAAGGGATGCATTTAGGAAATTGCAATTTAGAGGTTTTTATTGGTCTTATCTTAGCCTCTTGCTTGTTGAGGGGAAGGAATTCTGCACAGTTTCCTCCTTTAGTAGTGAGTGCCTTCCTGCTCTGAGCCACCACTCTTTACCCTCCATGCATGCTGAATTCTATGGGAGTCAGCATTGTGAGAAAGTAGATGAAATGAAATATAAGAAGCTAGGGATTTTGGCTTAAAGGTAACATGATTTATGCTAGAAAGCAGACTGACTTAGCAAAAAATCTTGAAGATGGAGACTGCTCAATTGCAATGTAAACCATGGCATGGGCAGTCTGGCATTTCCATGTGCTCCTGTCTCTTAAATTGTCCTCTAGGGTAATTATGGATAGTTCTGCTGATTGCACTTTTCCCAATAATAAGTAAAATGCAGACTTTACAAATATCATTGTTTGAAGTGGTTGAGAGCGGAATTGAACAACTCCCGGATTTATCACAACAATTAAGTATTGGAACTTTCTTTAAAGAACATGCATATTTTACCAACTCTGCTATTCAGAACTTCAAACTATGTATGAAGAAAAGGGGAATATCAAGGGGAAACAGCCCTCTTAATTAAATATGTTCATTCTTAGCTGATATCTCAATGAAAACAAACTTAAAAGAGAGAAGATTTGATAGGAACATATCTGTTTAGCCAATTTAGCCTCACAGACAAATGGTGAATGTTTTGTGGCTAATAAAAACCTCATTAAATGTTGCTATTAAGTATTTTTATTATAAGATCTAACACCTACTCATTTCAGTTAATATTGAAATTAACAGTTGAGTCAGCATGAATGTCATTCCTTTTTGATAGTTGCTATGGACTAGTAGCAATGGAATATACTCCCATGAGTGATAGTCTCGGCATGGAAATTAGACTGTTTTCATATTAAATGGATAGAAATTCTGGAATCTTTGAGAGATGCAGTTAAAAAACCCCCACAGAGTAGACCATAGTCCAAAGACATAACCTACAGCTTTAGGGTTAAGCTTGTGGAACTAGACTAAAACATGAAAAGTCCCCCCCCCCTTCCTGTGGTGCTTATCCTCTTTTGTTTCCTGTCTGTTTGCCTTATTTTATTAGATTAAACCAAGTTGCTATGTTAGTGTCCATGTCTCTGCTTAGATAGGGAGAATCCTGAGTATTATAGCAAGGAAACTAGGGAAACTGTAAACTAGATGGCCAATGTACTCTCAGCACCAAATTAACATGCCATGTCCATTCGCACACATGCCTCCTTCAAAAACTTACTAAAGGGGAAGCAAGAGTTGGGGCTGTTTCCATCACCTTAAATTATGGAGTGAGAGCAATGGCGGAAGTAATGAAAGTGGGAATGGTAGCATAACTTTGCAACCAGCTTTCTGTGACTTAGACTGATCAATTTTTAACTCCTGGGCCTGTACAAAGGCAAATTTACTGAATCTAAAATGATCTGGGCCTGAATGGGAGAATGCTTGGAAATCCTATGTATTCTTCCTTGTACCCTACTGAAGAAAGGGAAGATATATGTAACAAATAATAAACAATTTTTGGATGGGAGAGAAGCTGGAAATAGATGGATTATCTGTACAGCAACCACAAAGTGACTCCACCTATTTCTCCATTCTTTCCCACACAAATAAAAAAATAAGATAACTGTGTAAGTAATAAAACGTACAACAATCGCCTGGTTCATTCCCTTTGTTCAGCTGACATGTAGATTTTTCAAAGTGTTTATCTGACATCAGTATGTCATAAGCCTATTCTGCTTCTCACTCATAATGGTTTTAATTATTTGTTGAATAAGTTCTCGTTTATTTTTTCTACAACATTTAAGCTTAGATAGTTTTAAGTAGAGACTGTTAATTGGGTGACAGACAAATAATAGCTGGGACCAATTTTTTTTTTGACTAAGGTGTTTTTCACCTTTCTTTCTCAAAGTTCCCATATATAATGTATGCCAAAATGCTTTTGAACAGGACTGTACCTGCAGAGACAGCTTGTGAAATGTTAAAGAGTGTTCACCAAAAAGGCAGGGTTGATAACGGTTCATATCTGGCATGATTAAGCTCTTGGATACATCTGAACTAGTTGTTTGGGTTCTGGCTGTTACATATACTTTCTGCAAATTTATTTTCAGATATACTCTGAATACAGAGATTTTGTGGAATTAAGTTTCTTCCGAAATGTGTGTGTTCTCTTTTCTCTTAATTTATAAGAGCAGTGATGTTTAATGGCAAAACGTGGAGGTAAATAAGTAATCATTCATTTTAAGCATATGAAGTAAGCTCAGTTGAATTGATGGAGTTACACATTTTCTTTTTTCTTTTTTTCTAGATGATGTGAGAGGACTGAAATTTGAAAAGAATATATGATTTTTAGAGGAAGAAACTCAACATGATTCTAATGATCCTCTCATTAGGTTTTTTCCCATAACATGAAACATTTTGCAGCATCGCTCATCAAAAATAATACATGACCTGGAAATCTCATGATCCTGGGGGAGAAATGAGATTATGTGCATTAAACCACATGCTCTTTCATAAGTTTGTGTAATAAACATTTCTTATCAAACTACAAATACAAACTTATGTTCCACATCCTTCCTTTTGTATGACTTAAGAGATACAATTTAAACCCAATTTTAAGAATTCACTAAGTTATGAAGAAGCAGGAGAAATAACTGAGGTCAGTCATGGATACAAATAGGTCAGATTCTCCACAAATTGATGATAATTTTATGATGGATAAAATCAACAGTTTAAAAGTGGAACCAGAAGATGATAGTAATTTTGCTTTAGAAACAATAGATATAAAAACTGAGCAAGAGGACTTGAGACAGACAGATAGCAGTGATGAACAAGACGATAGAGAAAAGAATTTCATCCATAACAATTCAGGCAAATACATCTCTGCAGAAAATGAAGATGATTATGGATCTCTGTTTTCCCAGTACAGCAGCACCCTTTATGATGTAGCAATGGAAGCTGTCACACAGAGCCTTCTTTCAAGCAGAAATATAAGTTCCAGAAAAAAGTCTCCTGCTTGGAACCATTTCTTCATATCTCCTAGAGACAGCACTAAAGCAATATGTATGTACTGTATGAAAGAATTTAGCAGGGGCAAAAATGAAAAAGACCTAAGTACAAGTTGTCTCATGAGGCATGTGAGGAGAGCTCATCCCACTGTGCTCATTCAGGAAAATGGAAATATGGCGTCTATCTCTTCCTTTTCTTCACCTACATTATTAATCCCCCCACAGCCTGCCGATGTTGGAGATTTAACTAGTGTGCTTGCCCCTATAAAATTAGTTAAGAAAACCGTTTCCAAGATTCCATCCCCAGATCAAATAACTGAGGAGTCTGTTCCTGTAGTTTCTACTGAAGAGATGCCTTCAGACATGTTACATCCTGAAAAGAGCAATAAAGAAGGCAGTGGTGGACTGTGTCAACCCTTTCCCAACAACCAATGTGAAGAAACGGTGGAAAATGTAGCAGAGAAAACGGTCCAGGTTCCTAAGAGTACATCTGGGTCCAGAAGAAGGTCTGCCGTCTGGAAACATTTCTATTTGTCTCCTTTAGATAATTCAAAAGCTGTTTGCATCCACTGTATGAATGAATTCAGTAGAGGAAAGAATGGGAAAGATCTTGGAACCAGTTGCTTAATACGACACATGTGGAGAGCCCATCGTTCTATTGTTCTACAAGAGAATGGAGGTGGTTCAAGCATACCCCCTCTGTACTCTGCTTCTCCAACTTTGTTGCAACCCATACTGCCTTCAGATGGCGATCCAAACTCTGGGTCATCTCCTGCAAAAGTACCTAAAGAACCAACATCTATATGTTCTTCTCCGGACAGAATGGCAGAAGAAAACAATTCTTCTCTTCCTTTGGGGGATACACTTATGGAGGACTCCTCGTTGTTGTCGTCATCTGAAGATATAGGTGAAGCTTCTTTAGTTTCTTCCCCTGAAAAAAGCCCTTTGATATTTGAACACGGCTCTGTTTTTCATCAGAATAAACGAATGATGCGAAAGCTGAAGTCGGAGGTATGGCATCATTTTTCTTTGTCTCCAGGCGACAGTCTAAAAGTTGTGTGTAGACACTGCAATTGCATTATAAATCGCGGGAAAAAGGGTGATGTAGGCACAAGTTGTTTGACGAGACATTTATACAGACGTCACCCTGAAGTCGTCGGGATCCAGAAGAGCTTTATAGATGTGAGTTTAGCAAATTCTCCTTATGCTACCTTGGCTTCTGCAGAATGTTCATCGTCAAAATTGACTGACTTACCCACAATGGTTTCTAATGAGAGACAAGTCATATTTCCTGTCAGTAGCAAAAAGACCTCAAAACTGTGGAATCATTTTTCAATTTGTTCTGCTGATTCAACTAAAGTAATATGTATGCACTGTGGACGTACAATAAGTCGAGGGAAAAAGCCAACCAATCTAGGTACAAGTTGCCTTTTAAGACATTTACAACGGTTTCATAACAATGTCCTCAAACCAGATGCCTCCGAGCCAGTATTGTCCTCTTCTGCAAATAGTCATGTGCCACTGAGCACAGATCTGTTGGGGTCGTCATCCTTCGATGAAACCAATGACAAGTTTTCTGACACTCACCCTGTTGCCAAAAAAATTACCAGTCTTGTAGCAGAAATGATTGCACTTGACCTTCAGCCATATTCTTTTGTAGACAATATTGGCTTTAATCGATTGCTTGAATTCTTGCAGCCTCAGTATTCGTTGCCTTCGCCATCTTATTTTTCTCGTACTGCAATTCCTGATATGTATGATAGCGTAAAAGAAATAATCGTTTCACATCTGAAAGAAGCTGAAAGCGGAGTAGTCCATTTTACATCGGGAATATGGATGAGCAACCAGACTCGAGAATATCTTACCCTTACTGCTCACTGGGTAACGTTTGAGTCTAGGGTTCGACCACAGTGTGAAGATTACCATTGCTCCGCTCTTTTAAATGTATCGCAGATTGATTGTGACTACAATGGCATCAGCATTCAGAAGCAGCTAGAATATTGGTGGGAAGCCTGGATCGCATCGATTGGGCTTCAGGTTGGGATTACTGTTACAGATAATCAGACTATTGGAAAGACTCTAAATGAAGGGGAGCATTCAAGTGTGCAGTGCTTTGGTCACACGGTTAACCTCATAGTAACCGAAGCTATTAAAAGCCAGAGAATGGTTCAGAACCTGCTTAGTATTGCAAGAAAGATCTGTGAACGGGTTCATCGGTCAGCAAAAGCAAGGGAGAAACTGGCAGATCTGCAGAAGGAGTATCACTTGCCGCAGCACCAGCTGATCCAAGACGTTCCATCAAAGTGGAACACGTCCTTCCATATGCTTGAACGCCTAATTGAACAGAAAAGAGCTATTGATGAAATGTCCGTAGAGTGCAGCTTCAGGGAGTTAATAAGCTGTGATCAGTGGAAAGTAATGCAGTCTGTCTGTCACGCACTTAAACCGTTTGAAGTGGCAAGCCGAGAGATGAGTACACACATGTCCACTCTAAGTCAAGTAATTCCAATGATTCATATACTCAACCGGAAAATTGAGCTGCTGTTTGAAGAAACGATGGGCATCGATACCATGCTAAAGTCCTTGAAGGAAGCTATGGTGAGTAGACTGTCCTCCACACTTCATGATCCACGGTATATTTTTGCTACACTTTTGGACCCTCGTTATAAAGCTTCCTTATTCACCGAAGAGGAGGCGGAGCAGTATAAACAGGACTTAATCAGGGAGCTGGAAATACTAAACGCTACCTCAGATGATGAGAAACCTGTTTCCAATGGCTGTGGTACAGGTTCGTCATCTAAAAACTCTTACGGGGACAATAATCTTTGGTCACTTATGGAAGACATGAAAAAAGCAAAAGCTCCAAAAGAAAAGGGCAAGTTGCCAGAAGAGATGGTGCTTTTGTACTTGGAGGAAGAAGTACTTGAGCATAACTGTGATCCCCTAGCTTACTGGAACTTTAAGAAATCATCTTGGCCAGTACTGTCGAAGTTAGCAGTTCGATTCCTCGGTTGTCCTCCAAGCATTGTCCCATCCGAGAGATTGTTCAGTACATCCAATGAAAACATCAGCTTTAGTCAGTCAAGGCTAGCAATGGAACACTTTGAGAAACTTATATTTTTGAAAGTAAATCTTCCTTTGATATACTTCCAGTATTGAACAAGCTGCCAGTCTAAAAAAGTTGTTGCTCACTGGGTAATTACTGTATTTGTAACTTGGATTGTTAAATTGCTCCAGAAGGGGCCATGTATGACATCTTAATCAGTGACTGTAGTTCCAAATTCTAGTTTTATTTTTAAGCTTTCTATATGTCTACATGTGCCTTATTAATAGTCCTTCAGGCCAGATATTGTATATATGTTGGGGGTTTTTTTAAGTTCACATTAGAATTTAGACATGTCTTTGTCCTGATAATACAAAATCATGTTGGTTTTAATTGAGAATTGTAAATGAAGTTTTAAAACAGTTTGAATAGAATGGCAAAGAAAAAGATGTAAACAGTTCAATTATGTAGTTTTTTATTCAATTATGTAAAAACCATAAACCAGGTACTGTATATTAGTTGAAATTTGCTTTAATTACACAAAACATTTTGTAGCTGTCAGAAGAAAGCTGTACATAAAGGTGGAATTGAAGCCATCTTTCTATTTAGCAGGTTTTAACTGCAGGCCTAATGTACTTAAAGGGTAATGATGATATTCAAGTGTGATGTATGTGTACTAAGGGTGGCTATTGAATTAGTATTTGACTAAATTAAATTTAGAGGTATTACGGAACATCAGTTATACAGTAATCTATAATCTTGCCATTCAGTGGTCCCTATTCAGGTTTTTTTTACACTGTAACTGAATTAGAGCTTGAGTATTTATAAGGTCTTTGGGATGTTTATTTTCAATTTTTTCCAATTAATGTTTGTTATTTAATACAGTTTATTGAAAGGTAAAATATAAAGAGTAGGTATTATGCTAAAGCCTTTAAAAATTGAGTGCAACAAGACATCTGATACTTCTTGGTGTAAAAATTAAGTCTTGGTTTCCCATGTAATTGAAAAATGTGCATGACATCCTCTTGCATTCCTGTTAAAAGAATATGATTCTCTATGAATATAACCCTTACAGTTTGGTGCCCTGCCTAGAACATTATATAGTAGATCTGACCCATAATTGACAGTGTCCATCAGGCAAGTAAAATATTGTAGAACCCTTTAAACCTCGAACTGAGGTAAGAATAGCCAGCATTTTAATTGTAAACAGTATGGTCTCAACTTTTTTTTTAATATTAAGATTTGTCTCCCCATTTTTTGTGCATTGATGAAATTCTTTAGGGGAAATGAATTGACTATGACCTTTAGAAAAGATGTAGTTTTGTTAAAATACTGTACCTCTGCCTAATTTTTGCATTTACTATGTTTTAGTGTATTTATAAATGGTGAACTCAGTTTCTGAAATTAAACCTCTTATTTGCAATTTTTAGAGTGAGTTGAATTACCCTATTTTCTCTTTAGAGTGCAGTGAGGATTTCTGGTGGAAAAGTACTTTGAAGAATATGCAGAAGTATAGCAAGTGTACGGGGTTACATTAAATAAGAATTGGGGAGGGCACGTCTGCAATCTTTCAGTCAAAATTTTCTTACTTTCTTGTATTATTATTTTTTTGTCTCAGTTGGATTCCATTACTTAAACTACCAATTGCAGAAAATGATGTATGTGACCTAGCAGTTGCATTAAGAACATACAGTGATAAGTACTGGTTAGAGATGTCAGTCTGCAATCACACATTAGAACACAATGTTGAAGAGCTGCTTTACTTAAAAAACAAAGCCAAAACATTTTGCCATACGATATTCTGTTTATTCCATTCTATTCTAAATGCACAATATTTAGAAACACTATATAGACTAGAAGGGAATCAATTTATGAAAAAATATTATTTAAGAAAATGCATTGAAAACACTTTACTAACAGATGCAGGACAACACCTAAGGCAGATGAGGGTTTCATTTTCATACAGGTCTAAATTATGGCTGGTTTTGCCTAACCACAGGTTGTTTAAATGTATGAGCCCAGCCCAGCAACCATGGTTTGTTTTCTTCCAACAAATTTGTTATTATAATATGTTCAAGTTCTTACCTGCCCTTCACTTCAAGGTCCCAGGGTGAACTGACTTCTTAAGAAAATGGCGTTTGGAGTTGCTGGGGCAAATAGTGGTGATAGGGGATGAAAATACTAGATTGTAAATTGTTTTACTTGATTTTTAATCAAAAGAATACAATGGGTCCTAAAAATAACACTCTCTGGAGTCAAAGGCCAGGGTAAAGAGGTGCTTTCTTCAGCATATGATAAGGTACCAGATACATGACTCTTGGAAGAGGGAATTTCACAATGAATATCCTCTTCCGGGTTGCCACAGAAATACCTTCCCCCAGATTGCCATCCCCAAACTTGAGTATAGTGGAACCACAAAGAGGGGCTCCTCTGCAGATGTTAACACCATAGGGTCTGTAGGGAAGGAGGTACTCTTTTAACGTGAAGCCATGGTTTGTTGTTGGCTTAGCTTATGGACAATGACTTGTTTTAATGATGGTTTGGCATTATGTCTGAATCCTGTAACCTTCCTTAACTGGTTTGTTTGAGTGCTCCACCCCAGACGTCCACCAAGCTCCAAAGACATGAGCAGCTAGAAAACCAACCAAGATTTGGAGAAACAAGCCAACACTTCTTTGATCTGTGGTTTGTTGAATAAACCATGGCTAACCATGGCTTTCAGGGGGTAAAGTTATTGCAGCCGGAGGGAAAGAGTCAAACTGCCGGTGACCCAACATCAACTTGAAGTGCGCTGAATGGCTTGCACATTTCTGCTGGTATTTCTGACTCTGAATGCTTAGCATATGGTATTGGGAAGGCTGCTGTTTTAACAACAACAAAAATTGAGAACACCGCAGTCTTTATCCTGGCCTTCATGCTTGAATAATGTGATTCATAAAACGAGTTTTGTTTACAAACAGATAGATATTACCTATTCTATTCTGTCATAATTATTGAGGTATAACCTCTGTATTTAAAGTACTGTTTATTGAAAATTAGAGTGGGGTACAGAAATGCACATTGGGGAGTAAATCCATCAAAGGTAAGCAGTTGTGGATCCACATTTAACCAGTGACATGTTTTATTTGGATTTGGGCTAACAAGGTTGCAAAAAACCTTTCCCCCTAGGCTCTGATGTTGGGCAGATACCTTTCAACTGACTTCTTAAGAAAAGGGCATTTGGAGTTGCTGGGGCAAATAGTGGTGATAGGGGATGAACTGCTGGACCTTATTGGCAAATGGAAGACATAGAAGATACCTGGGGCCAAATGGGATCCATCCAAAAGTTAATTAAGATCCAGGGGGAGATCCAGGATATTGGGACAGCTTAACATCTGTTATGAGTAGATTATGGGGTTTTCAGGAGCAGTCAAGAACACTGACTCTCAAAATGGGGACAAAGATGGCAGTATTAGCAGCCAGGGCTATAACCATATTGATGGTCCTACATGGAGATGTATCAAGCAGCATCAGATGCGTCCTTGGGAGAAGGCAAGCAATATTTAAAGAAGTCTACCATTTTCCATTGGGACTCAGCCCTGGGAATCATTTAACGTTCCTAACTTCAGAAAGGGGGGGGGGGATACCTGTCCGTACATCTCATGGACTCAACAGATATTTGAATGCAAGCCAAATCTATTTTGGCTTGCATTAAGCTCTTATCCAGGGGTCAATAAACACATGAGGCATAACCGGCTGTGTTCTTAGATAAATAGGATAAATAGGATATACTATTCATAGTATTTGATACTATTCATAGTATCAAATTGTAAATTTCAACAGAAGTAACTCATAAAGTTCAACAAACGAACAGAGCAGAAGACCCAGTGGATCAGTTCATTCTATAGTCAGATCATGCATAAGGTCCATCCGTGTAATGGTGTCCATTCCACCTGTCTGTCCATAAAGTCCAAACCATCCACATGAAAGGTTGTTACAGTTCCACAAAATCCTTTCACAAAGTCTGAGACAAGGATTTCCGGAATATTGGCCTTGTTTCGCCGTCCTGGGCTTCATCAGTAGTTAAAGCTCATAAGTGATATTACGGGACAGTGGATCTTATGGCACAGTAGTAGCTGTGTAGTTACGTCTCGTGTGTTTATTGAGTATGCTTTACGTGACCATAGGTTTGTTGTTGCTTATCCAGGGGTCAGCAACCTAAGACCCATGGGCCAGAAGTGGCCTGAGGAGGTTGTTTGACTGGCCCACGAGTCGCCCCTGAACAGAGTTGTGCACTGTGCTTGGACTCGCTTCCGTGGTGCCAGAAATCACGTCTGCGCAGACGCCAAAAATCGTGGGCACGTGCATGATCCCGCCCATGGAGGGATGGGATGGCCCAGGCAAAATAAACCTTACTGATCCCTGCTGTTACTTGTCGTCACAATTAGTGACTGCACATACTTGGAGCAGCAGGTATTCCCCAAATTGTGTAAAATAGCATGGGAACCAGCAGTCGTGGAAGGGGTAGGCTTTCTCCCCCGGCAGTAGGGACTGGCATTTGTTTAAAAGGAGTTATTCCAATCGGTGTTTAAAAAGGAGTTAATTCAATAGGTGTGTCTTATTAGCAAGGTCTGGTACAGTCAGCAAGACTACAATACCTAATATTCATGTTACAGTGCTGGCTGAAACAGCATTATTATAGCACATAATGCTGCTTCAATGTGGGTTACTACCTCACCTGCCCTTAGTGAAAGCAGTTGCTGCTGAATACCTGAATAAATAACACACCAAGGAAAAACTATTGCACTCTTCTCTTTGACGCAGAATAAAATTGATCACATGTGTGGCAGAGGGAGCAAGGGAACTGCAGGACAGTAGGAGAACTGGTTTTGCAGGTTGGCATTTGATGCATCGAGATAAATTTTCACCCTGCTCATGCTGTGCTAAGGCTACGCCCAAAATTATGAACCCGCGTACTTAGCTCTCTTTGAATGAAAATAAAGTTCGTATGCATAATTTTAAGAAGCATCTTAAAGAATGCTTAAAGAATACAGAAATGCCTTTTCCTCAAAAGGGCAGCTCAGTGTCCCTGCCAGCTGGTTTCAGGCTATTGGCACAATTGTTAAGTTGACTCTAAACCTATTTCTTTCCACGAGGTGCCGTATTGTGGTCACACTGAAAATGTGCTGCAATCGCTAATCTGCCTCGGTTGAAAGTTCCCACTGTATTTCTCTACCACTTGAAAAGCACCACATTTTTTAAAAATTAAAACAAGCAAGGAAATGTTGGCTTTATTAAAAGGTGGCTTCGCCACGACGACGGATTAATGAAGCTTTGAATTTCGCAGCCGGAATTCCCAAAATGAGTTGTGATGATTAAAACACGCACAAAAATTATCCCCAGCTCAGCTGGGGAGAGCATTGTGCCAATAACGCCAATGTTGCAGGTTCGATCTCTATATTGGGTCAGACCAGATGATCCTCAGGGTCCCTTCCAATTCTTATGATTTGATGCTTCTGTGAAATGGGATATGGTATTTTACTCCTAATTTACGTTTGGATAGCTCTCATTAGCACCTTGAAGGTGTTAGCTTGATTTTTTCCTTTTCTGAGGAGGTCGTCCATTGTGATATATTAATTAAACTGTCGCCTGCTTGCAAAAAGACTAGGGAGCTAGTTCAGAAATGTTACCGGTAACAGGATACAGGGAATGTGTTTGCACCGAACGTTAAAACTCCTGTACTTGGGCCCAGCACATGGCTGTCATGTTTGAATTGTGCCTTTGCACCTTCAGTAGATACAAGCATCAATCACAGTCACATCACAGATTTTATTACACAAGCTTTCGCCTCTGCATGTTGGATTTCTTGCATGCAGAGGCTATTCAAATATGACACCTAGACATGTCCACCCAGAAAAACAGGCACTTTGGGCAATCCTGCTTTCCCACACCGCGTAGCCAATCAGATTGTCGGAGCAAGCCCAGAAAAAATTTAAATTTTAGATGCCGTAGTCCCTAACAACAAGGTGTAGAGGATTCCCTGGTCCTGAATGGGGTAAGTGTGCCCCTGAAGGACCAGGAGCGCAGCCTGGGAGTCATTTTGGACTCACAGCTGTCCATGGAGGCACAGGTTAATTCTGTGTCCAGGGCAGCTGTTTACCAGCTCCATCTGGTACGTAGGCTGAGACCCTATCTGCCTGTGGACTGCCTCGCCAGAGTGGTGCATGCTCTGGTTATCTCCCGCTTGGACTACTGCAATGCGCTCCACGTGGGGCTACCTTTGAAGGTGATCCGGAAACTACAACTAATCCAGAATGCGGCAGCTAGACTGGTGACTGGGAGCGGCCGCCGAGACCATATAACACCGGTCTTGAAAGACCTACATTGGCTCCCAGTATGTTTCCGAGCACAATTCAAAGTGTTGGTGCTGACCTTTAAAGCCCTAAACGGCCTCGGTCCAGTATATCTGAAGGAGCGTCTCCACCCCCATCGTTCAGCCTGGACACTGAGGTCCAGCACCGAGGGCCTTCTGGCGGTTCCCTCATTGCGAGAAGCCAAGTTAGAGGGAACCAGGCAGAGGGCCTTCTTGGTAGTGGCGCCCTCCCTGTGGAACGCCCTCCCACCAGATGTCAAAGAGAACAACAACTACCAGACTTTTAGAAGACATCTGAAGGCAGCCCTGTTTAGGGAAGCTTTTAGTGTTTGATGTATTACAGTATTTTAATATATTTTTTGAAGCCGCCCAGAGTGGATGGGGAAGCCCAGCCAGATGGGCGGGGTATAAATAATAAATTATCATTATTATTATTATTATTAACAACAACAAAGGTTTTTACCTAGCAGTCAGCTGTGGAAGGTGGGGGATGGGGGACGGACACACGCAGTTTTTTACCTTTCACATTTACGTAAACGCACAAGAAATAACATAAAAACACGACACATCTGTCAGATGTTTCAAAGTGTGCATCACATCTTTCTGGGACACACAATAAACAACTGTCTGCACAATTTTTTATTTTTTGGTATCAGGTTTTAGTTGTGTGGAAATACATATTGACATATAAATGCACGTCTATGCGATCCTCTCGCAAGAAAGGGGAGCGGGGGGGGGGTTCTCTCAATCTTCCACAGCCACTGCGTTCCATTTTGCAACTGGCGCAAGAGCATTTCTCTAGCAAACGTACGCGGCGCTTGTTTGCAAAATTACGTTCCGGCCGACGTGGGGAACTTTTCCAACAAGACTAATTTGGATTTCAAGTTCAAAGAAACAGGAGGCAGCACAGTAAAATTCAATCTGATCCCACTGGTCCCATGTATGTGCGCCAGCACTCTGTGAGTCTTCTCGTAATGTGACAAATGAACAGGGTTCATCTCCATAAGTATATGTGTGTATGAAAACATGAGTGGGTCACCTGGCATGAGGTCTTCCCGTTTGTCATACCTGTTAAGGGAATAAGCAATAAGAAACTGCTATTAGTTTTTTTCTTTTCTTTTCAAAAGTAAGACCATTGCTCCAGTCTGGAAATAAGCAAGTAGTGGGAGCATAATAAAACTATCATCATTATTATTATTATTATTATTATTATTATTATTATTATTACTATTATTATTATTATTTTCACATGCGGGGGAAATGGTTGAGAGTGTTCCAGCGTGGAAGGATTTGGGTTGTGGTGGGGCTCCAGAGCCACATTTTCTCTCTTTCGCTCTCTCTTGCATATAACTTTTATTAAATTTTCTGTTTTACTCATTTTTACATCCCTAAACTATAAATGACTTCCTTTCTTCTCTTTCCACAGTTCATTTTGCATATCATAAATCCTTGCATATTTTACAGAAACTATACCATTCAGCATTCCATTATAACATCCATCAAAACTTATTTACACTGTTGAATTTATCTTAATGCTGCCAGCGTTTTCAGCTGTACACAGTTATTCCCCATATATTCAATAAGCGTTTTCCAATCTTCTCTAAATGTTTGATCTTCCTGTTCTCATAGTCTATATGTTAGGTCCGCAAGCTGTGCATATTCCATCAGTTTAAGTTGCCACTCTGGTTGGGACCTCGCTTGTTTTCCATTTTTGGGTTAATAAAATAAAAGGTTGCAGTAGTGGCATACATAAATAACCGTTTTTGACACCTGGGAATTTCAGTCTGAATTATCCCCAACAGAAAGGACTCTGGGTTTTGGGGGGAAAGTACTTTTAAACATTTTTTTTTTCAAATCATTATGGATCATTCATTTCCCAATATAGTGGTACCTCGGGTTAAGTACTTAATTCATTCCGGAGGTTTGTTCTTAACCTGAAACTGTTCTTAACTTGAAGCACCACTTTAGCTAATGGGGCCTCCTGGTGCCACTGCGCCGCCGGAGCCCAATTTCTGTTCTTATCCTGAAGCAAAGTTCTTAACCTGAAGCACTGGGTTAGCGGAGTGTGTGACCTGAAGCGTATGTAACCTGAAGCGTATGTAACCCGAGGTACCACTGTACACTTTTACCCTTTTACAAATCTACCACATATGAAAGAACATTCCCTCCATCTCTTTGCATCTCCAGCACCTATCTGATTCAGTCTTTATACATCTTAGCAAGTCTACTTGAAGTTAAATACCATCTGTAAATCATTTTCAAGTAGTTCTCCTTCAAAGAATAACAGCATGTTATTGGAGAGCCACATTCTCATAAGGACAACCTTCACACGCACAACTCCCCATCCTTTTTCCGGGCAAGAGAGGGGCATCATCATTCAAGGTCACATTCCAGTCCCTCAAAAATGACTACAGAAGGGGGCAGAGCACAGTCTGAGAGACAGAGTAGCCTAGGCAGTTTGCCCAGGAGAAGATAGGTCTGCGAACCACATTCAACTCCTGGGCCATAAATAAAACAGTGTGGAAAGAAACATGGGAAGTTATCTATGATGTTCTAGGGAGCAAGGAAGATTTTTTTAAAAAAATGCCAAACTTGGGCAATTTTTTAAAAACTAGGCTGTTTTGCCTATCTCATCGCCCTACTGTTTTGTAAGTGAATAGCACAGATACTTATTTGCACTATCATTTCTTTAAAAAAAATAAAGGATCGTGGCAGCTATTGCAGAAAGGGGAGGTGCAACATTAGACCTGCAGACACTGAAATCTGTCACTATCTACCCCAAAGAGTATCTAGCATAGATGTCACGAATACAGTGGTACCTCGGGTTACAGTCGCTTCAGGTTACAGACTCAGAAATAGTGCTTCAGGTTCAGAACTTTGCTTCAGGATGAGAACAGAAATTGTGCTCCGGCAGCGCAGCAGCAGTGGGAGGCCCCATTAGCTAAAGTGGCACCTCAGGTTATGAACAGTTTCAGGTTAAGAACGGACCTCCAGAACGAATTAAGTTCTTAACCCGAGCTACCACTGTACCCAAATCAATTGTGTAGGACAAAGTGGGCATAGGTCGGAATGGCACGTTGAAACACGACTGGAATGGGCTGCCAACCGGCAGTGGAAGGAGCTACACCACGGCGAGCCCGTGATAGGGGGCATCAAGCCTTTTCCATGGGGCTGAAGCGGCAACAGGGCACAGCTACCCAACTTGTAGCAATGGCAGAATGCCTGTGCGCATTGACTAAATGCAGCCCTGCCCACTATTCCGATTGCAAAAAGCTGCACATCTTATTCGCCTCCCCAAATCCTAAGCAACGTGTACTTCCCTTTGCTATTAACAATGCCCAAGAGAGAGGCATTAAAATTGAAACAAGTTTCTTTGGGGATGCTTCAGGCGATTTAGCCGCATTTTCCAGACAGAACGGAGAACATGATGTGCACATAAAATACTGGTCCAGTAAACATCTCATTAAATCTACCTCATTTGCAAACTGTGTCTACGGCCAAGATGTAAAGAGCGTTTTGATGTCTTTATTCTTTTTAAAAAATTAAAAACTGGAACCTGCCCTTAATGCTAAATCAGACTTGAGGTTTGTGAATAACAAATAGAACTGCATCCCTTCCATCAGTCTTGGTCTATTCCAAAGCATCTGAGATTAGGACAATGATTTCAAGTTCAGCGGATGTGATTCCTATGCAGCATTGAGCCTTATTTTAGACACAACGCCTAATGGTCAGTGGAGGTCGCTACTTTATACACACCTAACTTGGAGTCTAGGACACGGGTGGCGCTGTGGGTTAAACCACAGAGCCTAGGACTTGCCGATCGCATGGTCGGCGGTTCGAATCCCCGCGGCGGGGTGAGCTCCCGTCGTTCGGTCCCAGCTCCTGCCCACCTAGCAGTTCGAAAGCACCCTTAAGTGCAAGTAGATAAATAGGTACTGCTTTATAGCGGGAAGGTAAACGGCGTTTCCGTGTGCTGCGCTGGTGCCGGTTCGCCAGAGCAGCTTCGTCACGCTGGCCACGTGACCCGGAAGTGTCTGCGGACAGCGCTGGCTCCCGGCCTCTAGAGTGAGATGAGCGCACAACCCTAGAGTCTGTCAAGACTGGCCCGTATGGGCAAGGGTACCTTTACCTTTTTAACTTGGAGTCTAAACCACTGAGCCTCTTGGGAAGGTCAGAGGTTTGAATCCCCGTGGCAGGGTGAGGTCCCGTTGCTCTGTCCCAGCTCCTGCCAACCTAGCAGTTCGAAAGCATGCCAGTGCAAGTAGATAAATAGGTACCGCTCCGGCAGGAAGGTAAACGGCGTTTCCATGCGCTCTGGTTTCCATCATGGTGTTCCATTGCGCCAGAAGTGGTTTAGTTATGCTGGCCACATGACCTGGAAAGCTGGACTTAACCGTCCACCCCCCCCTCCCATATTTCATCTTCACAACAACCCAGTGAGATGAAAAAAGTAAAAGGAACCCTGGGCGGTTAAGTCCAGTCAAAGGCGACTATGGGGTTCTGGTGCTCATCTCGCTTTCAGGCCAAGGGAGCCGGCGTTTGTCCACAGACAGCTTTCCAGGTCATGTGGCCAGCATGACTAAACCGCTTCTGACGCAACAGGACACCATGATGGAAGCCAGAGCGCGCAGAAACGCCATTTACCTTCCCGCTGTAACAGTACCTATTTATCTACTTGCGCTGGTGTGCTTTCGAACTGATAGGGGAGGAGCTGGGACAGAGCAACAAGAGCACACCCCGTTGTCCGGATTCGAACCGCCGACCTTCTGATCGGCAAGCCCAAGGGGCTCAGTGATTTAGACCACAGCGCCACCCGCGTCCCAGGTTAGGCTAAGAGATGGCAACTGGCCTAAGGGCACCCAGAGGGCTTCACTGTCTGATTGGGGATTTGAACCCTGCTCTCCCAAGGTCCTAGTCTGGCACTCTAACAGTTACGCCACCCTGGCTCTTCTCACAAACCGCACAGAAGGTGATGCAAACTTCTGTAGCAGACCACTACGACTCTTCCTCGCTAGCAATGGGTGACAAATTGTTCTGATTGTTCCCCTACTTTTTCACCCTTGTGCATCAGCTCTGCAACACTCGCTTGGCTTCCTCCGGCATCAGGGAAAGGTAGGCTGTGCATAGACACCCGGGGAGCTAAGGGAATAGCCAGGCTGACTGGCTCCAGTTAATCGCACCCATTAATGTCTTCAGCCCTGTGTTAGCAGCGCAGCCTATCTGAACTACAGGATCTGCAGCCCAAAATATCTAAGAGGCACCAGGTTGGCCAAGGTCCGGCAGAAAAGAACAACAACAGGGCAGTCTGCTCCTCAGAATAATCTCCCTCCATCCCTAAGTATGAAGAACACGTCTTGTGCAAAACAGTGCAGACTTTTTTGTTTGAGGAACCTGGCCCGTCACTGGGCAGATGCTCCCGCCCTCATAAATTGGGTTGCAGTTGCCAGCTGCACGTAATCTAAGCTAGCTGCTAATTGAAACACTAAGTATGGGATGCTTGCAGGAGAAAACCAAACACCTGGCCGACTCCTGGAGTAATACTTTGCCCCCGGCTACTGAAGAAGCTGTCATTAAGGTGCAAGCTCTGCCAAACACTATTATTCAGCCCCGTCCTTTCATCCTGGTTTTGCCCAGATGATAGAGAGCATGCCTTGCGTTAGCATGTCTGTCAAGCTGATGCGCCGTCAGTCACAGGAGGAAGACAATCAGCCACCAGCCATTTTTCTTGAGGCAGATTTGAGGCACGGCGATGAAAAGGCAGCTCAGGTGTCCTATATGAGTCACTGAGTTTATGTAGGTGCTCAGAGCTGAAACACGGGCTCCTGCCGAAGGGCCGAGGCTTCTCACACACATCTTAATCGTGCTGACATCCATTTAACTGAATTTAGGCAGTTCTGAAGGCGAAGCGCTGCCCAGTTTGGGAAAAAGATTTGCCTAGATTTCCATTAATGGGAAATGGGAAGATTCCTTTGTGAACTCTGGCGATATAGTAAGCCCACAACTTTACTGAATTTGCAGATTGCGTCAAAAGCCAAAACTGCATCTAGAATAGAATCCTAGTTCTTATTCGTATTAAGAAGAATAAGATATCAAGATAACATTTTCATATTATTATTTTTTACAAAAGAACGGAAACGGTTTATTGAATATTTACCGATAAATTATAAACAGATACAGTGGTGCCTCGCAAGACGAAAAGAATCCGTTCCCCGAGTCTCTTCGTCTTGCGGTTTTTTCGTCTTGCAAAGCAAGCCCATTAGCGGTTTAGGGGATTAGCGCTATTAGCGGCTTAGCGGGCTTAGCGGATCAGCTGATAAGCGGCTTAGTGGCTTAACGGATCAGCTGTTAAGCGGCTTAGCGGATCAGCTGATAAGCGGCTTAGTGGCTTAACGGATCAGCTGTTAAGCGCCTTAGCGGATCAGCTGATAAGCGGCTTAGTGGCTTAACGGATCAGCTGTTAAGCGGCTTAGCGGATCAGCTGATAAGCGGCTTAGCGATCAGCTGTTAAGCGGCTTAGCGGATCAGCTGATAAGCGGCTTAGCGGCTTGGGAAAAAGGGGGGGAGGAAAAAACCCCTCAGGAACTCACAAGACATTTTCGTCTTGCAAAGCAAGCCCATAGGAAATTTGTTTTGCGAAGCACCTCCAAAACGGAAAACCCTTTCGTCTAGCGGGTTTTCCGTCTTGCGAGGCATTCGTCTTGCGGGGCACCACTGTAAAAACATGGGCAGGATTATGGTAATAACCTGCAGTTTTATAAGAGTATATATTTAAAGAAGATGAATAAATGAGTAAATTCAATTAATTTGGATATACAGAAGGTACGATAAACAAATTTAAGAAAGTGCAGAAAGAGGCAGAAGGAAATCTTGAAATGTCAAAATGACTGTAAAATTAGTGAAATGTATAAACTTGAAAAGCATAAATAAATAAATTGTTTAATATTAATGATAAAATAATAGAATCCTAGAATTGTAGGGTTGGAAGGGACCCCAGGGGTCATCTAGTCCAACCCCCTGCAATGCAGGAATATCAGTTGTCGTGCAACACTTTACAGTGGTGCCTCGCAAGACGAAATTAATCCGTTCCGCGAGAGTCTTCGTCTAGCGGTTTTTTCGTCTTGCGAAGCAACCCTATTAGCGCCTTAACGGATTAGCGCTATTAGCGGTTTAGTGGCTATTAAAGGCTTAAAGGCTTAGGGGATTAGCTGCTAAAAGGCTATTAAAGGCTATTAAAGGCTTAGCAGATTAGATAAAGGGGGGGGAAAAGCGAAAAAAAAATCTCAAGACTCGCAAGACATTTTCGTCTTGCGAAGCAAGCCCATAGGGGAATTCGTCCTGCGAAGCACCTCCAAAACGGAAAACCCTTTCGTCTAGCGGTTTTTCCGTCTTGCGAGGCATTCGTCTTGCGGGGCACCACTGTATCTAAATTATACAATTCGGAATTTGAACAAATGGTATTAATAATTGTATTATAAATTGGTATAGTTATAATGAGGCTGTTACTGGACTGCAATGGAAAACTAATAAAAATTATTATTATATTAAAAAAATCTTACTTCCAATGCGAATTCACTTCTAAAAACCGAGACACTCCGGTCTGCGCTGCAGCTACATCGATATGGACGGAAACATCTGAGGAGAGAACGAAACAGTGCTTCTAAATAAACAGGAGCTCAAGACAGAAACGCTTGAAGGGAAGGAGTAAAACTTAATCAACACTGGGGTAGGGAGAATTTACATGCTTTTTAGTACAACCCCGTGTGTTGTCCGCCAGCTGGAGCCTGGTGTAAAATAATGGACATATACTTGGAATTACACTGGCTCCCAGTACGTTTCCGAGCACAATTCAAAGTGTTGGTGCTGATCTTTAAAGCCCTAAATGGCCTTGGCCCAGTATACCTGAAGGAGCATCTCCTCCCCCATCGTTCAGCCCGGACACTGAGGTCCAGCTCAGAGGGCCTTCTGGCAGTTCCCTCACTGCGAGAAGTGAGGTTACAGGGAACCAGGCAGAGGGCCTTCTCGGTAGTGGCACCCGCCCTGTGGAACGCCCTCCCAGCAGATGTCAATGAGAAAAACAACTACCAGTCTTTTAGAAGACATCTGAAGGCAGCCCTGTTTAGGGAAGCTTTTAGTGTTTGATGGACATCTGTATTTTAATAGTTTGTTGAAAGCCGCCCAGAGTGGCTGGGGAAACCCAGCCAGATGGGCGGGGTATAAATTATTATTATTATTATTATTATTATTATTATTATTATTATTATTCAGAACATGGTACCTCTGATCACAAGCCCAGCAAAATAATTACTTTCCAGTACCAGAATCGAGCTCAGAGTCCCTCCCTGCAGAAATCCATTTCCGATTTCCTCTCTCCTCCAAGCTTTCCTTATTTCGTCAACCTATTTTATGTTATTTTGTGGGGGGGACGGACTTTATTGTTGCCGCTGCTGTTAAGCTGGCGGTGACCACCGTGCTGCCCCCCCCCCAATGTTGTTGGACCCTAACTCCCATCATCTCTAACCACTGGCTGTGCTGTCTGGGACAGATGGACCAGCGATATCTAGAGAGCACCACATCAAATGAACAACTGAGAGTCAGGATTTTTTGCTGACCTGCTACAAAGATCTGCCCCTCAATCTACCTGCCGCCCAGGGAATTTAAACCAGTGAATTCATAGGTGGCTACTTAACCTTTTCCTCAGCCACTGGCCACATTTTAAGCATACATTTTAAGCACTGTGATGTCATCCTCCTCACTATGATGTCATTCCCCTCCCAGAGCTGCGGTCCCCACGAGTTCCTAGTGAAGAGGGACTTTTTAAAACCACTTTGGGGAACCGTAGCTCCGGGAGGACAACAGTGGTCTCCTAACAACTCTCAGCACCTTTAACAAATGACAGCTCCCAGAATTCTTTGGAGGAAGCCGTGACCTCAAAGTGGCATCTTGGCCTGGGCAATGCATTGATACATCACCCGGGGCTGGTTTGAGGACCAGAGTGCGATGGCGTCCTTGCCTGGCGGTGTATCGCAGGTGAAACTGCTGCCATTCCCAAGTCAGGAGAGGTGCCGCCGTTCACCCACGATATGCCACCAGACTTAGGCGCCATCACGCTCTGCTCTTCAAACTGAGAGAAGAAGAAGAAGAAGAAGAGGAGGAGGAGGAGGAGGAGTTTGGATTTGATATCCCGCTTTATCACTACCCAAAGGAGTCTCAAAGCGGCTAACATTCTCCTTTCCCTTCGTCCCCCACAACAAACACTCTGTGAGGTGAGTGGGGCTGAGAAACTTCAAAGAAGTGTGAGTAGCCCAAGGTCACCCAGCAGCTGAATGTGGAGGAGCAGAGACGCGAACCCGGTTCACCAGATTACGAGACTACCACTCTTAACCACTACACCACACTGGCCGCAAGGCGCCAGAGTCGACGGAGCTCGTTTTTCCCTCGGTGTGCCAGGTGTTGGGATGGACTCACTCTGATGTGTGCAGAGGAACAGGCCACCTCAGGCCGGGCCCCACGAGGCACTGGGGTGACTTTGCTGTCACTCCCGCTGAGGGATCAGAGGTTGTCTCACTGCATTGTGTCAGGCTTCGGGGAATCAGCTTCCTCCCCCATGGCCGATCAAACGAAAGGGAATTCTAACCAGTTAGCTTCTTTAATAAACACAAGGAAGGACAAAAGAAAACATCCAACCAGAATGGCGGTGCTCCCAATTAAGGTCATGCCCCGCTCCGTCCCAATTAATGTACGTCACTCCTACCTCTTGTAATCTGTGCTTGGAGCCTCTGTGTTTTCTTTTGTGACACTTTCTGAGCTCTCCGGGACTTTGGGGAAGGGGAGTGGGTGTTGCCCAGAGACTGAATCTGTTAACTCTCTCTCTCCTACTGTTTCTTCTGCTAGCTCTTCCCCATCCAGTATTTCCCAGCTTCTGCCTTCTGAACTATGCCCCTCTGCAAACCACTCTTCCAATTCCAATAAGCCACCCAGAGTGGTTGGGGAAACCGAGCCAGATGGGCGGAGTATAAATAATAATAATAATAATTATTGTTATTGTTATTGTTATACTGTCCTCCTGCTCCTGAGAAGATTCAGGATCAGGATTAGGAGGAGGGGACCCTCCTCAACATGGTCCCTAACACATTGCCTTGCAGAACCAGACCCGACACAGCTCCTTTCTTCACCAGCTTTTCAACATCACAATGTATCACCGTATCACAACATTTGGCTGGCGATACATCGCAGTGTTGAGAACCTGGTGCCGCTCAGCCGCAGTGGCATCGCGGTGTATTGGACATATGCGGTGAACGTAGGACAGTCGCTTCTCCATTCCGAGCTGCCTCCTCAAAGCAGCTTCCCGAAGCCGAGCAACGCATTTGCAAACGCATAAACGATGCCCCCCATGGACTGTCACGGGACCCGAGCCCAAAAGTCTCTTCCTTAAGTTTCATCTCGGCTTCACGCACCTGCCGTTGGAGACACTAACTGGTGGAGTTTCTGCATGGCGACTCCTCCAGGATAATTGAAGTGGGAAACATACAGCGATACTCCCGAGTAGACAGCATTAGCTAGAAGGTGTACTGCAACAAAGAGAGATGCCAACTTATACAACCAAGACTTCTTGTAGTTGTTTAGACTGCAAAGGAGAAAAGGAGACGAGACTTAGCGGCTGATCTTGTCTTTGTGTATTATATCCAACTCAAACACAGTCGTAACTTGGAAGTCGAACGCCTTGGCTCCCAAACAAATGATTGAAATCCAGAAGTGAGTATTCTGGTTTGTGAACGTTCTTTGGAACTCGGACATCCGACGGGGCTTCCAATTGGCTGCAGGACCTTCCTGCAGCCAATCAGAAGCCAGGCATTGGTTTCCGAATGTTTTGGAAGTCAAATGGACTTCCGGAATGGATTCCGTTCGACTTCCAAGGTATGACTGTACAGGGTGAAAAAAACCGACATTAGGGGTGCTGATCTTGTCTTCCCGTAATATATCCAACTCAAATATTGGGGGGACGGGGACGACACATACGTTGGGGTGGCTGATCTTGTCTTCCTGTAATATATCCAACTCAAATACAGAAAAGAACCCCACACGTTGTGGTGGCTCAGAGAGAGAGGATATGAATGGCTTCTAGGCCAACATAAATCCACACATTTTTCTTCCTTCAGGTCAATTTTACCTTGTTAGGTGAGCCTTGATGGAAGGAGGCAACTCAAAGTGATTCTAAAACTGGCAAGTAATGCATTACCAATAAAACAAAGGACGAAAGGATTAAAAAAATTAAAATCTTAACTTACATTCGTGAGCAGCCTTTGGCAGCCACAATATTGAAGATTGGGAAAGTGTATATAATAAACCGCAGTTCTTTGTGTGGGAGAAAGGAATACAGAAAAATAAAGCCAAGTGTGGGTATAAGTAATATTCGAGTCCTTCTCTCTCCTGCACCTAACGGCATGAATAGAATACTGCAACCCAGGGCACGAGGCATGGCTGAATAAAAATACCACAGGAAAGGAGAAGTCTGCAAAAATGGAGTTAAGGATTTTTATTTTCTTTTAAAACTGCCTTTTGGAATGTTTCCAGTGAAGAAGCATGTTACGTACTCACAGGCCCTGAATAAAGACAAAAGTTCTATTTTAGTGGAATAAAGAAACACTAAGAATGTGTTCCAGTTTTTGAACATTTTCGGAAGCTGAACGTCCAATGCAGCTGCTGGCTATTGTTTCCGTGGCGCCTGCACCAATCAGAAGCTACGCCTTGGTTTTCAAACATTTCGGAAGTCAAACGGACTTCCGGAACGGATTAAGTTTGGCGCTTTTGTTTTTGCTATTTATCTTGCGTTTTCGTTTTTGAGGCTTTTTCGGTTCATTTGTTTTTGTGACTGTGTGGAATCCCAGTTCAGCTACTGATTGATTGATTGATTGCAGAAATGAATAAAAGCTGACTATCATCAGTGCAGGTAAGAAAAGAAATTAAATGTAATTTTTTTTCATCTACAATACTGCCTTATTTATTTTATGGTGCAGTATGATGATTATTGCTTTCATTTTATGGATCAATGGTCTCGCTAGATAGTAAAAGTCATGTTAAATTGCTGTTTTAGGGGTTGTTTTTAAAAGTCTGGAACGGATTAATCCGTTTTGCATTACTTTCTATGGGAAAGTGCGCCTTGGAATGGACGTCTGGAATGGACTGAGTTTGAGAACCAAAGTACCACTGTGTTCCCATATGGCACAGCTTTGTGAAAGGGCAAAGTTTACATAGAATCGTAAAGGGACCCCAGGGGTCATCTAGTCCAACCCCCTATAATGCAGGGATCTTTTGCCCAACATGGGCCTCGAAACTCACAATTGAAAGTCTCAATCAGTCGAGCCAAATAGATAAAATAAGAGGATACGATGTTACGTAAAGCGTGTTCTCCTTCATGGAGAGCATGTGTTGTGGTGGGGGCCGCCAGGACACTCCAAAGTTGTGGGACAGGCTAATTGACCGTTGGCCACTGATACGATTGGGCTTCCCTTGTTGTTGGGAAAAGTTAATGTTGCCATTTGTTGATTGACAGCCAGAAATGCTAAAACTATTTGCAGGAGGCTAGGGTTTCCTCTTTTCGCCCGTGCATCAGATTGCCCGTCCCCCCTCCCTATATTTAGGGATGTTCGCTTTGACCTTGCTGTGCCTGTCATGGGGTCGTCTGCTTTGGGGCAGGGGCCTGGTAGGAATTTTGTCCATCTGGCTGATTGGCTGGGGCCATTTGGTTTTTGCCTACTGCGTAACAAATCGTCACAACTTGTAAGGTTGCGGTTAGGCATTGGTTTATGGATTGGCTGTGCCTGCTCCTCTAATGCTGCTGCTGCGAGGGATTCCGTTAAAGGAATCAGGGGCTAACTATTGCTTGTCCACTCTGTCAAGGGGGCTCGGGCCATTGCAAGAGCTCCTGGTCGCATTTGGTGAGGGCTGAGGGCAGGTTCCCTGCTCTGTCGCTACCCCCAAGTGTATTCCCCTTTTCTGACTTTCACAGGCGTGCGGAATGTCAGACTGTCCCCCACGGTGGGGGCAGATAGTCGCAACCAATGCCTAAGCAACCACTCACTTGTTTGTATTTTAATAAAGTTGTGGCCAAAATTATGCCAAAAACCTTAAACAAAAATTCCGTGTGATGTGTGAGTTATTGGGGTGGCCCTGGGGACCTCGACACGCGATGTGATTATATGTAAAAGCAATAAAAATCAGAGAGAGAAAGAAACTCACAGGGCATCAGCTGGGACGATCATGCCAGCTCAGAATACCTGACTTCACTGATGCTGTACATTAAAGGATACTCCCCAGTTGGAACTTTTATTTAAAACGGTGTTATACCAAAGCACTTTCCCCTCGGGCCACAGAAACTGCCTCCACAACATGGAATCCAAGGCTACGGTGAGGCCTAAAAGAAAGCAAAATCCCAAAGTGAAAAGGAAAACACCTTTTCTTTTCTTTTTCCCACTTGAAGCAATGAATTTGCTTCCCAGATAAGACATAAAACACAATCTGAATTACAGTGGAATAAAAACCTTCACTCTGGGTTGAAGTCGCAGGCAGGATTTGAAATATAAGCAGCAGATTATTGAAAGAATTAATGATATCAGGGCTTAGATAATAGGTTTTAAAACAGCTAATAAAAAGTAGTAAAAATAAACATGGAAAGGTGGGGTGGGAAGTCTAGAAGACGTTATGTATGTATAAAAAAACTATATGATGGTAAGTTATTTGAAATATCTTTGGAGACCATATTGTATATAAAAAAATAAAATAGCTATTTGATGTTAGGTGTTTAAGACTTAGTTTTTAGAAAGGGGTTATTTCTTCACTAGTCCAAAGGTGCATTTTAATTGTTAAATATTTCTAGGGCATCGTCGCTTTTCAGCTTCAATCTTTCAAAGCAAACAATTCTCCCGAGGCAGTTTCCTTTATCGTTATAAAGCAACAACACAATTTCAGTAAAATACTTCAGAACAGTAATTAGAAAGATCTCCGAGTCCAGCCAAGCAATCCATAAAATTAATGAAGCCATTTCGGAAGGCTGTTCAAGACCAGAAATAAAAATAGCTACTAATAACCCACAGCCAACCTCCGGTTCTTCACAGAAACGCATCGACACTAAAAGCAATGTGAAAGAAAAATGGGTCTTCAAGAAAAGACTTACCTAGCCAGAGAGCCCCTGCAGGAACGCTATAGGAAAGCATTTTCACAAAGGAGAGCCTTTTATTAAATAGGGTTATCAGAAGCATAAGACCCAGGAATATGCAGAGCTCAGATCTGAAGACAATAATGGCCAACGCTGAGAAACAGATGAACGAGCGGTGCTTTTGCTGAATCCAGGACGTGACTGCCAGTAGAACTGGTGGACAAAGAAACAAAAGAATCTGTCAAAGTGTGACCAGATTTGGGGTTCCGTTTTAAAAATAACAACATAATTTTCATTAAATTTTCTGTTTTACAATTTAAAACATTGATTTAAACAACCTTAAAATATCAATTTCTTCTCTGCCCATGGTTAATTTTAATTTTGCATACTTCGGCCAACTCTCCCCTAAAAAAAAGGTCAACAACTCCTGGCAATGACAATGGGTAGATCACAGCTGTTCTTCTTATACTGTGAGTAGATCACAGTCTCTTGGAAGTTGGACGTGCCTGGATATTAAGTAATGATTCTAAATTTTTGTCTAAAATGTATAAACTGCTGCTTGAATGGCATTTGAAGGACGAGGAGGTTAAGTCGGTTATGATTCACTGGGCCAAAGATTTTGGGTATAATATACAGCTGAGTGATTGGGTAAAATTATGGAAAGAAGGTTTAAAATTTACTGCATGCAATGCCCTAAAAGAAAATGTGATGCAAATGATGTATAGATGGTATATAACACCTGTCAAGTTAGCGAAAATGTATAAAGTCAGTAATAAATGTTGGAAATGTAAAGAAAAAGAGGGAACATTTTATCACATGTGGTGGGAATGTAAAAAGGTGAAATGCTTCTGGGAGATGATATATAATGTGATGAAAAAAATGTTGAAATATACTTTCATAAAGAAACCAGAAGCATTTTTACTGGGCATTGTGGGGAGTGATATAAATAGAAAGGAATATAAGCTCTTTTTATATGCAATAACAGCAGCAAAAATATTACTGGCCCAAAAATGGAAGCAAGAAGAATTACCGACGTTTGAAGAATGGAGAATGAAGTTAATGGACTATGCAGAACTAGATAAACTAACAGGAAGGATTCGAAACTGGCGGCACCAGAAATTCATGGAAGACTGCAGTAAATTTACAGACTACTTGAAAAGTATTTGTGAAGATCAGACAACGTTTGTAGGTTTGCAAGAAGTTTTGTGAAGAGTATTATTGGAAGTATTGCAAAAATGGAGAAGGGGAAGGATGATTTGTTAAGAGATGTAAAGGCAATATAAAGTTAAGAAATGCATAAGAAGTGGTTTAAACGGTGGATCATCAGAGGTGCTGATGGAAGTCTAAAAAGATTGTATAAGTGATAAGTTTTGTGGTACATTTTATAATTTATATGTTAAAATCAATAAAAAAAATTAAAAAAGGAAGTTGGACGTGCCTGAACTAGACCATTCAGTATTCCATTATTCCATTCATCAAACTTATTTACACCGTTGAATTTATCTTAATGCTGCCCCTTTTCAAATGTACGCCATTCCCCCCCATATATTCAATAAGCATTTTCCAATCTTCTCTAAACGCATGTTCTTCTTGTTCTCTTCTTCTATATGTTAGGTCCACAAGCTGCGCATATTCCATCAGCTTAAGTTGCCATTCTTCTTTGGTTAGGACCTCGTTCGTTTTCCATTCTGGATTAAGCACTGATCAAGCAGCAAGTTATTTCAGCCTAAAGGCAACGGCAGGTAAAACTGCTTACCGACGGGTAGTGCAAACACGTTGGGGAGCGTTCGAGTGCAGTAGAACATCAGGTGGAATTGCGTCGCAGTTATGAGACAGAACATCGTGGAGACGGTCGGACCAAACTGCTTTCTCACTTCTTTGTGCAATCGCCACAAGGCATAAATCACACACAGCCCCAGGCTTCCTCGGACTTGCATGGAAATAAAACAAGGTGGGGAGGGAGGGCAAATGTTATCTGTAGTAGAAATGGAAGAATCGACTGCTGCGTCACAAGATTACTCTGGCAATCTAACTGCATCACAGATTGTAGCAGAGGTGAGGAACCTGTGGCCCTCCACAAGTTTTTTATTTTTACTATTTTCACTGTTAATAATAATAATAATTTATTGACAAGTTTCAATTATTTTCAGAGTTTCCAGTTATAAAGAAATAAAGAGATACAAAGAAAAAGAAAAGAGAGAAAAATAAAAAGCCACAAAAATGTGCAAAGGGGGGAAATTATATAAATATATATAAAAAATACTCTAAAAAAAATACTCTAACCCATAAATATAAATTTGATATTATTATCCTAATACTTATGTAAATATTAATAGCTACTGCATTTTGTGTAACTCATTCAAAGTTTCCAATTATAAAGAAAAAAAGTGATATAATGTAACAGAAAATAGAGAAAAATAAAAAGGCACAAAAATGTGTAAAGGTTGGGGGGGAAACATTCAATGAATATATATGAAAAATACCCTAACACATAAACATAAATTTGATATTAATATCCCAATACTTATGTAAATATTAATGGCCTACTGCATTTTGTATAACTCAAAGTTTCCAGTTATAAAGAAATAAAGTGATACACAGAAACAGAAAATAAAGAAAAATAAAAAGGCACAAAAATGTGTAAAGGTTGGGGAGAAAACATTAAATGAATATATATGAAAAAATACCCTAACCCATAAATAAAAATTTGATATTAATATCCCAATACTAATACTAATACGACTAATAATTTATTACTTATACCCTGCCCATCTGGCCGGGACTCCCACTCTGGGCAGCTTCCAACAGGATATTTAAAACACATTAAAAAATCAAACATTAAAAACTTTCCTAAACAGGGCTGCTTCAGATGTCTTCTAAAGGTCAGGTGGTTGTTTATTTCCTTGACATTTGATGGGAGGGCGTTCCACAAGGCAGGCGCCAGTACCGAGAAGGCCCTATTTACATATTAATATGTAAATATTAGTAGCCTACTGCATTTAGTATAACTCATTCCAAGTTTCCAGTTATAAAGAAATAAAGTGATCTAAAAAACAGGTAAGACAGAAAAATAGAAAGGCACAAAAATGTGCAAAGGGGAAAAAGCATTATATAAATATATACGAAAAATACCCTAACCCTTAAATATGAATTTGATATTATTCCAATACTTATGTAAATATGAATAGCCTACTGCATTTTGTGTAACACATTCCAAATATTGTCATATTTATCCCAGTCTGCGTCTGTAAGCAGCCCGTTCACAAGTTGCAAGTGTTCTCATATTGTCGATCTACTTATTGTTGTTGAACTACAGCTCCCAGCAGCGCCAGTAAGTATGGTCCATGCTAAGGGATAATGGGAGCTGTAGTCCAGGATCATGGTTTCCTCATCCACAGTTTGCAGACTATTACAGAGGCTCCCCCCGCCCCCAATTCCTGAAAAGGGCCTTTCTTGACTTGAGCAACAGATCTCATACCTATCAGCTGGGAGTAAAACTTGGACATTTGCAGCAGCGACAGCAGACAGACGGCTGGGCTGGAAAGCAGGGCGACAAACAAGGGGCCAAGGAATGTCCTCGGGACGACGCCAGGAAATTCGTGATGATCGTACTGTCGTTGGAAAACAAAGAGGCTATAGAAAAGTAGCCGACAAATGTTGCAAATAACAAATACAGTGGTACCTCTGGTTGCGAATGGGATCCGTTCTGGAGGCCCGTTCGCAACATGAGCAGAACGCAACCCGCATCTGCGCGTGCTTGGGTTGCGATTCGCCGCTTCTGCACATGACATCATTTTGCGCGTCTGCGCATGCGGCGAAACCTAGAAGTAACCCTTTCTGGTACTTCCGGGTCGCCGCGGGACACAGCCTGAAAAAGCGTATCATGAAGCAAACGCAACACGAGGTATGACTGTATATGACCCACAAAATAGAAGGCGCAAATATTCTATGGCAATGGCAGTTCTAAATTCGGTGGGTCTGCATAAACGGGGATGCGCTCTCCAAAGTATTTGCTCCAGAGTAGCCCTGCTGGTATTTGTGGCGGTAATTAAAAAGATGAGTAGTCTAATTCCTGAAGCAGCAATTTGCCTAATACAGTACACTTCCCCACGAGTTCCCTCTGGAAGGATTACTATACTTTTCAGTGTATAAGACTACATAACACCAGTCTTGAAAGATCTATATTGGCACCCAGTACGTTTCCAAGCACAATTCAAAGTGTTGGTGCTGACCTTTAAAGCCCTAAACGGCCTCAGTCCAGTATACCAGAAGGAGCGTCTCCACCCCCATTGTTCTGCCCGGATGCTGAGGTCCAGCTCTGAGAGCCTTCTGGGGGTTCCCTCACTGTGAGAAGCCAAGTTACAGGGACAGAGGGCCTTCTCGGTAGTGGCACCCACCCTGTGGAACGGCCTCCCACCAGATGTCAAAGAGAACAACTACCACCAGACTTTTAGAAGACATCTGAAGGCAGCCCTGTTTAGGGAAGCTTTTAATGTTTAACAGACCACTGTATTTTAATATTTTGTTGTAAGCCACCCAGAGTGGCTGGGGAAACCCAGCCAGATGGGCGGGGTATAAATTATTATTATTATTATGGCGGTCTTATACATGGGGAGTGGATAGGGTGGACGTTTGATTGGTTGCCACTGTGGCTGTCAGCGGCTATTGCGTGTGTTATTGGTTGCTGTGTCGATGGGTGGTGTTGATTGGCCGATGATGCAGCAACTGGGCAGGTGATTTGCAGCTTAGCTTCTGCTGGCGAGGGGACAGATGGGAGTTGGATTTAGCGACATGTGTGGGTGAGCAATTTTCAGCATTCCCCCCCATAAAAGCTCAACAACTCTGTGCAATCCTCCGCAAAAAAGCCCAACAACTTTTGGACAATCCTTCCTTAAAAAAAAGGCTCAACAATTTTGTGTCATCTCCCCCATTTACATAAATTTTAGTCCCCCAAAATAGGGGGTGTCTTATACATGGGGGCATCTTATAGACGGGAAAGTATGGTATATAAAATATTGGTGAGGCACCCATGCCCTCCTGCTGTTGCTAGACTCCAATTCCTATCTATACATATGTGGGGATCAGACTTGTACTGAATTCAATCCAAATATTTTGGCTTAGCAGATGTGGAACGGCCTTTACTTCGTCATCTGCGCAAGGAATAATAAAGTGATAAAACATTTTCCTCTCTAAAGGTGAAGGTAAAGGGACTCCTAACCATTAGGTCCAGTTGTGACCGACTCTGGGGTTGCGGCGCTCATCTTGCTTTATTGGCCGAGGGAGCCGGCGTACAGCTTCCGGGTCATGTGGCCAGCATGACTAAGCTGCTTCTGGCAAAACCAGAGCAGCGCACAGAAATGCCGTTTACCTTCCCGCCGGAGCTGTACCTATTTATCTACTTGCACTTTGACGTGCTTTCGAACTGCTAGGTTGGCAGAAGCAGGGACTGAGCAACGGGAGCTCACCCCGTCGCAGGGATTTGAACTGCCGACCTTCTGATCGGCAAGTCCTAGGCTCTGTGGTTTAACCCGCATCCTTTCCTCTCTAGAGGGGCATAAATACGGCTTCTTTTTTCATCCATGCCTCTGAACATGGGATGAGAATTAAGTGCTTAATCTCAAATCTCACCCCAAGAGAAAAAACATAATGGTGCTCCTCTTTTGACTCCCTCAAGCAATGGGTGTTTTTTTCTATTCTACCACGTCCATCGAAACCCAGAGGCTAAAAACGGAAGGCGTTAAAACCTCTCCTTGGTTGCGTGAAGTCCGCCCGTTCGTCCCATGAACCCAGCAACTCAGCAGGACACCAATCGTAATCCCTGAGTATCATCCCGTTCACCTTGTCGAAGTCCAGTTTGTGCCAAAGGATGTCGTGGATGGCCTGAAGATTGAAGCTCTCTTCCACTTTTGCAAACGGGCAGACTGCTAGGTGCACGAAGGCCACAGCGATGATCAACAGCAACAGAAGCTGCTGTCCTCCCGAAGATCTCTTCTCGGCCATGCCGGATACAAAACATCCACCTGCGCATGATTACAGTGTGAGATCGAAAGTGAAAAGACATGAAAATGATGTACAGTGGTACCTCGGGTTACATACACTTCAGGTTACAGACTCTGCTAACCCAGAAATAGTGCTTCAGGTTAAGTACTTTGCTTCAGGATGAGAACATAAATTGTGCTCCGGCGGCATGGCAGCAGAAGGCCCCATTAGCTAAAGTGGTGCTTCAGGTTAAGAACAGTTTCAGGTTAAGTACGGACCTCTGGAACAAATTAAGTACTTAACCTGAGGTACCACTGTACCGATGGTATTTGACTCCTAGTAAGTTAGCAAATATCACTGCAGATGGTAACAGCAGTCACAAAATTAAAAGACGCCTGTTTTTCGAAGAAAAGCAATGACAAACCTAGACAGCATCTTAAAAAGCAGAGACATCACCTTACTGACAAAGGTACGTATAGTTAAAGCTGTGGTTTTCCCAGTAGTAATGTATGGAAGTGAGAGCTGGACCATAAAGAAGGCTGATCGCCGAAGAATGGATGCTTTTGAATTATGGTGCTAGAGGAGACTCTTGAGAGTCCCATGGACTGCAAGAAGATCAAACCTATCCATTCTGAAGGAAATCAGCCCTGAGTGCTCACTGGAAGGACAGATCCTGAAGCTGAGGCTCCAATACTTTGGCCACCTCATGAGAAGAGAAGACTCCCTGGAAAAGACCCTGATGTTGGGAAAGATGGAGGGCACAAGGAGAAGGGGACGACAGAGGACGAGATGGTTGGACAGTGTTCTCGAAGCTACCAGCATAAGTTTGACCAAACTGCGGGAGGCAGTGGAAGACAGAAGTGCCTGGCGTGCTCTGGTCCATGGGGTCACAAAGAGTCGGACATGACTAAACAACAACAACAAGTTAGCAAAAATGTATAAGACAGGTACAAATACCTGAGGGAAATGTAAAGGAAAAGAAGGCACCTTCTACCAAAAGTGTTGGTCGTGTAAGGTAATAAAAGCATTCTGGGAAATGATCTATAATGAATAGAAAAAAATGTTTGAAATAACCTTTATTTTTTTTTAAAAAAACCAGAAGCTTTTTTATTAGGAATTGTAGGTACCGACATCACAAAGGAAAAGACTTTCATGTATGCAACAACAGCCGCGCGGATGCTACCAGCCCAGAGATGGAAAGAAGATACAGTCCTGACCAGAGAGGAATGGCAAACCAAGCTGTTAGACAACGCTGAAAGGGCAAAACTGACCGGAAGCTCAGGAACCAAGAAGACAAAAACTTCAAGAAAGAATGGGGGGAAACTGTAATTTATTTAGGAGGCCACTGTAAGCCGATGAAAACATTAGCAGGGTTCTATTAACACTTGTAATGTAACAAACATTATGGACAAGATGGAGAGATATAAAAATATGGATTATGAAATAATGTGCAGTTGAAAAGGTTGACAATAGGACCCCTGGAGGGGATGGGGGGGAAGTCTAGAGATTCAGAGAAATCTCTAAATATGTATTTGGTATGGTTATAACTCTACGCTGGTAAAATCAAATAAAAATTAGTTTTTAAAAAGGGGGAAGGTTAAATGACCAGTCATCATCTCTTTGCAGAGCCAAACACCATAGGCACAAAGAATAACCGTGATGCTGATTTGGGCACCAAACTGCTCTAAACCAGCACAGCTTCACATTGCAAGCATGTTGAGCTTATCCATTTCTGTTCCCTCTCTAGTTATCTGGATAGAAGGCACTGTTATGAGTTTGTGGGTGCTAGACCCCCATAATGCCTGGGTCCAGTAGGTGTTGGAATTCGATTGTGGAAAACGTTACACTATAAGCCAGGTCAGTTGCCTTGTGGTTTGTTCGGGGTTTTTTGAATAAATTTCATTAAAGAGAAAAAACAGAACTTATGTGCAATATCCTCTCCTCCCCACAAACTGAAACATTAATCTACGTATCTTATCAAAGGAAAAAAGAAGAGAGTAAGAAAGAAGAAAAAGAAAGGGTAGAGAGAAGAGAATAGTAATAAGAAAAAAGAAGTAAGAAAAAGTGGTACTTCTACTTGGAACATGGCACAAAGTCAAAGAATTTCACAGTACCTATGCCACAAATGCTGTTAGAACAAATATACCCAAAAACAAAATTGACCCCTTGCTCAACACAAATTTTCCATAACAAGCAACACAGAAGATGCTTTGCTCACACTGAACATTTCACCATGAGTTAATTCCCCCCTTTTTATTTTTATCTTTTGAAGGATCATTAATTCAGCCAAAGTGTTTGTTGTTGTTGTTGTTGTTGAAACGGCAGCAGATAAAAGGGGGTTGGAATACGAAATACAGCGGAGGTTCTTTTAACAGGGCGCACGGCCTTGTCAAACAGCCGTCTTAAAAACAAAGCCAGGAAAAATCAATGTGCATCGATTTTTACTGGAGTGTTTTGTTGATTGCCTTGTTTTGCTTTTTTGCCCTTACCAGGTCCTAATGGTCCAACGCCAGGGTAAATCAATAAAGGGGAGAACCAATCTGGAGGAAGCGGGGTTAGTGTTTTGCAGCTCAAATCCAAACATTATTGGTTTCTATTGATTTATTGGTTTGTTTGTAGCTCGTATAGATTTTGGTTTTTTTTAATGTTTGATGCTATGTTTTGTTTTTCTGTATGTTTGTAAACTGCCCAGAGTGTCTGGGGAAGCTCAGCAAAATGGGCAGGATATAAATTTAAAACTTATTATTGTTGTTGTTGTTGTTATCTGTACCTTGTACTCAGCACATAACCTGGAAACTGCAATGAATCCAGAATGCGGCAGCTAGACTGGTGACTGGGAGTGGCTGCCAGGACCATATAACACCAGTCCTGAGAGATCTGCATTGGCTCCCAGTTTCCGAGCATAATTCAAAGTGTTGGTGTTGACCTTTAAAGCCCTAAACAGCCTCGGCCCAGTATACCTGAAGGAGCGTCTCCACCCCCATCATCCAGCCCGGACATTGAGGTCCAGCTCCAAGGGCCTTCTGGCAGTTCCCTCACTGCAAGAAGTGAGGTTACAGGGAACCAGGCAGAGGGCCTTTTCGGTAGTGGCGCCCGCCCTGTGGAACGCTCTCCCATCAGATGTCAAGGAAATAAGCAGCTATTCTATTTTTAAAAGACATCTGAAGGCAGCCCTGTTTAGGGAACTTTTTAATATTTAATGCTGTATTGTTTTTAACACTTGATTGGGAGCAGCCCACAGTGGCTGGGGAAACTCAGCCAGATGGGCAGGGTATAAATCATAAATTAATAATATTAACTAACAAGCTAACTGCCTCTATTATTACAAACAACTGGAAAAGTAGCATTATAGGATATCTGCCTCACTTATACAAGATAGAGGGCATTTAGTGTGTCTGTACCTTCATTGTGCACAATACCTGCTCCCCCCCAACTTGGCTACATCCATATTGCCTTTTTTGCAGGGGCATTTAGGGGACAGAGATGCGACATCCTTGCCTCCCTGGCGAAGCACGCATTATTACGTTGCAAACATGCCACCACACTCTGGATTGAGGCGGGCGATCCTTGAAACCCAGAGGGCATCTTTCGATTGCAACTAGCACCGTTGCGACAAATCAACGACGCCCTCCAATGAATCCGATTTATTATTATTTATTGCATTTGTAGACCCAGAGATCGCAGAATAAAATCAAAATACAAAACCACAAAACACATAATCGAAATGGAAGTAACAGCCCAATTTGCCAGCCACCCCCCCCCCGTAAAAAAAAACCAAATTTTAAAAGGGTATCGGATCTTCGATCCAACTCTTCTCCCGGTTTATTTCCGCTTCTGCTCTCCATTCCTCCCTCCTTCCCTTCGAGATCAAGCCTGCCAAGCCCATCCGACGGAAGGATGAGAAATCCTGCCCGATCCGGACTAAGGAGGAAACTGGACTTACCCGCAAGGCACCCACGTGGCCACTCTAGGCAAAGCCAGCCCGCGGAGCACGTGATCCGCTTCAGGGGCGGGGCCGGACGCGTCAGCTGACCGAAGCGCCTGCGGAAGTAAGGGCGCCGAGCTAGCATCCCGGCCATCTTAGGGACTGGCAAAAAGCACAGGGCTTAAATGCAGGGCGCATTTCAGAGCTTGAATGGAGCAAGTGGGAAGGGAGCCTGAGGATTCTAGTCCAACCCCGTGCAATGCAGGAAGAGGCATCTGTCCCATAGGGGGATAGAAGATGCAACCTTAGTAGGGTTGCCATATTTCAAAAATGTAAAAACCCGAGAGTTGTGGAGCTTTTTGGGGGGACAAGCCTAGGGTGAAAATTAGGACGCAGTTGTGGAGCTTTTATTATTATTATTATTATTATTATTATTATTTATTTATTTATTTATTTCTAGGGGAAGCAAAGATCTTGGGGTTGTTGGGTTTTTTTAGTAAAAGCCAGAAGGATTTTGGGGTTTTGGAACTTTTCCAGGTTATTTTCCGAGGCGATTTCCAGGACGTATGGGAGCCTTTGCATTATCAGCACCACGCTCTAACCCAGGCACCCCCAACCTTCGGCCCTCCAAATGTTTTGGACCACAATTCCCATCATCCCTGACCACTGGTCCTGTTAGCTAGGGATCATGGGAGTTGTAGGCCAAAACATCTGGAGGGCCGCAAGTTGGGGATGCCTGCTCTAACCCACTGAGCTATCCAGGCTATGGAGACGTTAAGGGTCAGCATTTCCCCCCTGTCTCTTTAATCCTCTTTTTAAAAAAACATGTTTATGCCCACCATGATAAATCGTAGGATTGTAAGTGCTGCATGGGTTACCTAAAGGGTCATCCAGTCCAACCCCCTGCAATGCAGGAATCTAATAGGATGGTGATAGAGCCAGAAGCTGGAGAAGGGCAGTTTAGACAGCTCGCTTCCTGCACCCTGTCAAATCATCGCAAATCAACTGCTAAGTAGAGGTCAGAAGGCTTGGGCGCACCATGTGCTTTTTCCTTAGCGTTTAACTGAAACAAATTAAATATTAATAATAAATATTAATAATAAATATCAATAAATGATAATAATGCTAAATAATAGTAGCATGCATAAATAAATAAATAAATAACAGAAATTCTCTCTTTACACCTAATTTATTATACTTTGGTGATTAGACATACAGCTGCCCAACCAAGATCGAAATTCCGTTTCGTTTCCTAGGGGTGAATCTCTTAAAAAATCCCCGGTGGGGCAGGGAAGGGATCTAAAGCAGGCATCCCCCCCAACTCAGCCCGCCACCTGTTTTTTCGGACTACAACTCCCATCATCCCTAGCTAACAGGACCAGTGGTCAGGGATAATGGGAATTGTAGTCCCGAAGCGCCTGGATGGCTGAGTTTGGGGGATGCCTGATCGAAAGGAACCCGGAATATCCAAGTCACGCGCGGGTCTTCTCGTTTTTAGCTCTACGGCCCTTCCCGTGCTTTTTTTCCCTTCCCTCCCGCCTCTTCTCGACGTGGGGCTTTCTCATTACGTCTCCCGGAGCGTGGCGGGCGCCGATTGGCCCACGTCGCCGGGCGCGAGGGCGCGTCGGGATTGGCCGGGCCCCAGGCGCGGGATGCCGGCTTCCCCCCGTCAGAGGCGCTAAATGTCCCGCGGTGGCGGGCGAGGGGGAGAGGCTCGCGGGCGGCCATGAGGCGCCTTCCGTCGGGAAAGGCGCGCGGGGCTCCGCCGGGGTGGCTGAGCGGCGCCCTCGGGGCCTTCCTTTGCCTCGCCCTCGCGGCGGCGGCGGCGGCGGAGAAGGAGCAGCGGGTGCGTCAGGCCTGCGACACCTGCCGCGGAATCACGGAGCGCTTCAGCCAGGTGAGGGATGCCGCGACTCCTCAGCCGCCTCCTCCTTCCCCCCCTTTAACAGTGGCAGATTTATGTATAAGCTAAACAAGCTAGATCTGAGGGCCCCACTCTCTTGGGGGACCCCAAAAAATTTAAAGGGAAAAAACTGGATGTATAAGTTTTTTATAAAATATATAAGATAAAAATATAAAAAACATATAAAATAAAACCTACATACGTCAACAGTGTTTTGTGTTGTGTAGGCTCCTATGATGTAAGTAATGGGCCCTGCCTGCTAGCCTGCTCTCTAAAATATCACTGGTTTGGTCATTTCTTATTGATTAATTAGTGTTTTTATGGAGCAGTCAAGTAATTTCGTTGTCCCCGAAGGGGGCAATGACAATAAAGATATTATTATTATTATTATTATTATTATTATTATTCTATATATAGGGTTGTATTTCACTATTAATATCCTTCTTATTTATTGTATTTCAGTTCAACAATTATATAGGGTGCCTATATTCTGCATGGACTGGTTGCATGGTAACATGTGCAAATGGCTTTAGATACCTATTAGGTCCATAAATTGCCATATAACAGATATTCAGCACAAAAAACAGTGACAATTTGCTGTTGACAAAAGACAGCCGGACACAGAAAGGGCCCCATTAGCTTCACTAGCTTAAAGGTAAAGGTAAAGGACCCCTGACAGTTAAGTCCAGTCGCGAACGATTCTGGCTTTACGGCGCTCATCTCGCTTTACTAGCCGAGGGAGCCGACGTTTGTCCGCAGACAGTTTTTCTCAAAGCAAGTCACCTTTCGGGGAAGTGAAAATCTTTGGCTATATGTAATATGGCTTATTGATTTGAATACTTGTATTATACTCTCAAAGACAATAAACCCAACATGCAACAAAAGTGAACAACAAAACATTATACAGTGGTACCTCGGGTTACATACGCTTCAGGTTACAGACTCCACTAACCCAGAAATAGTACCTCAGGTTAAGAACTTTGCTTCAGGATGAGAACAGAAATCGTGCTCCGGCAGCAGGAGGCCCCATTAGCTAAAGTGGTGCTTCAGGTTAAGAACAGTTTCAGGTTAAGAACGGATCTCTGGAATGAATTAAGTACTTAACCCGAGGTACCACTGTATAAGATAAAAAACAAATAAAACAAAACCTACATACAGGTAAAGGGACCCCTGACCATTAGGTCGAATCGTGGCCGACTCTGGGGTTGCAGCGCTCATCTCGCTTTATTGGCCAAGGGAGCTGGCGTACAGCTTCCGGGTCATGTGGCCAGCATGACTAAGCCGCTTCTGGCGAACCAGAGCAGCGCACGGAAACGCCCTTTACCTTCCCGCCAGAGCAGTACCTATTTATCTACTTGCACTTTGATGTGCTTTGAACTGCTAGGTTGGCAGGAGCAGGGACCGAGCAACGGGAACTCACCCCATCGCGGTCATTCAAACTGCTGACCTTCTGATCGGCAAGTCCTAGGCTCTGTGGTTTAACCCATAGCGCCACACACGTCCCCTACATACAGGTAGAGCTTAATAATTATTTCACTATTAATATACTTCTTAATTGTATTTCAGTTCAACAATTACTTTGATAAAATACATATTTTGTTATGTGCAAATTGCTTTAGATTATTGTTATTATTTATTTATTAAACTTGTATACCGCCCTTCATCTGCAGATCCCAGAGCAGTTCACAACATAAAATTGCAATATAAAAAACACAGTTAAGTCCATAAATTACCATATAGCATATATTCAACACTAAAAACAGCAACAGTTTGTGGTTGACATTACCTTCAGTAGCTTAGGGCCTCATTAATCCGGCCCTGTCCCCCTACATCAGGCATAGGCAACCTTCGGCCCTCCAGATGTTTTGAGACTATAATTCCCATCATCCCTGACCACTTTGTCCTGTTAGCTAGGGATCATGGGAGTTGTAGGCCAACACTTCTGGAGGGCCGAAGGTTGCCTATGCCTGCCCTACATCTTAATTTGGATTCAATTGTGACAGGTGAAGGGCCGCCTCGCATCTTTGGCTTGCCTTCTCTCTCCCTCTTTCTTACCCCATCTCCCTACCTCTAGCCTCCCTTTCCCCCCTATCTTGACATTTCAATTTTTAAATCATAATTTTTATTTCATAATAATATAATTTGTTATTTCTACCCCACCCATTTGGCTGGGTTTCCCCAGCCACACTGGGCAGCTTTCAACAGAACATTAAAAACAGGGGAACAAAAACTTCAAACATTAAAAACTTCCCTAAACAATTACAATTTTACAATTTCAAGTAAGCATTTTTACAAACTTAAAAATAGCCAGTGACTATCCTTCTTCTCTTTCCATGGCATCGTGTCTTTATGTAGATATTTAGGTGGATCAAAGCTTAATTCTAAAGGGGGGGCGGGAAGAATAATCAGCATCATGTCTGTACAAGGTACCACTTTATGTAGATCCTTGGTTTTGGGTAGAGAAAGGTAGGATATGGTAGGGCAACTGAAATGATCTAGGTGGATGGAGGAAATATCCCTGCTCCCCGTGAGATGCCTGGCAATGCGATGGAAAAACAGCTCAAAAAACTTCCCCCAGAAAGCTCAACAATTTGGTGGGTTTCCTAAAAAACAAAACAAAACAAAAACAGCTCCAGGTCAATGAAATTATAGGGTTTTGCTGCAAATGTGTACAAAATCTAATAATGTGAACAAAACCTGGTGAAGGATCAATAATAACATTGCAATTTCCCTACTCCTTAGCATAGCTTCTAGCCAGTAGAATAATAACAGAGAATAAATGAGTTCTTGCTGCTCAGTCATTTTGCATTAGTAATTCCTGGCTGTTTCCAAAAGTGCAAGCAGATTAATCACATAAAAAAAAGGGGGGGGAGACTCTAGTGAAGAACACACACAATAAAAATATCCCCTTTTCTCCAAATTAAGAAGGTCCCACATTGCTTCCACCTTACCTCACAAGGATATTTCCTCTGTCCCCCTGGATCATTTCAGTTGCCCTCTGCATTTTCGGCATTGCCTACCATATCATAGCACAGGGGTATTAATAATAATAATAATAATAATAATAATAATAATTAATAATAATAAATTATTTATACCCCGCCCATCTGGGCGGCTTCCAACAAAACACTAAAATGCAATAACCTATTAAACATTAAAAGCTTCCCTAAACAAGGCTGCCTTCAGGTGTCTTCTAAAAGTTTGGTAGTTATTTTTCTCTTTGACATCTGGTGGGAGGGCGTTCCACAGGGTGGGTGCCACTACTGAGAAGGCCCTCTGCCTGGTTCCCTGTAACTTGGCTTCTCGCAGCGAGGGAACCGCCAGAAGGCCCTCGGCGCTGGACCTCCGTGTCCGAGCAGAACGATGGGGGTGGAGACACTCCTTCAGATATACTGGACCGAGGCCGTTTAGGACTTTGAATTGTGCTCGGAAACATACTGGGAGCCAGTGTAGGTCTTTCAAGACTGGTTATATGGTCTTGGTGGCTGTTCCCAGTCACTAGTCTACCTGCCGCTTTCTGGATTGGTTGTAGTTTCTGGGTCACCTTCAAAGGTAGCCCCACATAGAGCGCATTGCAGTAGTCCAAGCGAGAGATAACCAGAGCATGCGCCACTCTGGCGAGACAATCTGCAGGCAGGTAGTGTCTCAGCCTGCGTACCAGATGGAGCTGATAAACAGCTGCCCTGGACACAGAATAATAAGTTAATTATTAAACTTAAATAATAAGTTTATTATTATTATTTATTCCTAGGTTCTAAAACACCAATAAAAAAGCCATAGGATGCTGCCTTATAATGATCCAGACCATTGGTTTATCTTGCTTAGTGTTGTCTACACTGTCTGGCAGCAGCGCCCTGGGGTTTCAGAAAAGGGTGTCTTATCAGTCGCCCACTGTACTGCCCAGTGTGTGGAGCTTCTTAAGGGCAGCCAGTTTTGAAGGAATCCACTGGTCTCAGAGAGTTTTAGGTGGTATGTTTAGTGTTTTAAAAACTCCGTTATGGTGACCACATACTAATCCAAAGTCTGTCTGGTTTTGCAATTGCTCTAGAAAATGAGATTGTCTCAAAATACTCTGTTTTTCAGGGTCTAACTGACACTGCAAAAAAGAACTTTGGAGGTGGCAATACAGCTTGGGAAGAAAAGACCCTGTCAAAGTATGAGTCCAGGTATGGTATGTGTATCTTACTTTTCAATGAGGTCATATCCTTGTCTGCAGCTTGTAAAATAACTGGACTGGATGAAATAGTCTGTGTCAGCAGGGGACATTTTTCTGAGAGCAAAGTTAGCATGCTGCTATTGTAAGAATGTCACATTGTGACACATTTGATACTTTAGTCAAGCTCCATACTCTTAGTTTTGAACATATTGGCACCCTGCTGTTACTAGGTCATAATCGCACAAATGTCTTTCACGCATTTCTGTAAAAAGTAGAATATTGTTCTGGGTTAGGTGTTGAAAACGTCTGTGGCCCAATTTCAGCATACATCTCTGCTGACATTCTCCCTCCTCCCTGCTTCTGTGTATTTTCTCCTTCTTTGGCTATCTCTAACCATACCTTGCCATAACATCTGAAATGGGCAAAACCACAAGAACAACCACCCTTGAGGAATTGTGTCCAAATGTTGCAGAACATTGTTTTGAAGTGAGCTTTCAGCCCACAGTGTGGGGAATATAATAATAACTAATATTTTTTAAAAAAATTATATCCCATCCATCTTGCTGGGTTTTCCCAGGCACTCTGAGCGGCTTACAACATATGTAAAAACACAACAAAGCATCAAATGTTAAAAACAAAATATTTTGTACAAGCAAAAAACAAACATAAATAGAAACCAATAATAACAATAATAAACAGTTCACAGTTATACCCAAATTTAAATAACCGCCAACCCTGACCAAACATTTAACTAATATCAACCCAACAAAAACAAAACAGAGGAACCAAAATTAGAACTGTTGAAAACATTTTAGCCAGTTGCCCCAACCCAAGAATATCTTGGTTAATGCTAACCATAGTTTTCCTAACTCGGATATCACAGCAAACTAGATAGAGCGAACCAAGAATGGGAGAGCTGAAGGGGAGGACCGCACAAATGCAGAGAACAGTCTTCCTGCTGGGACTTTCTACACAAATCCACTGAATTCCTGGAAGACAGCTTAAATTGCTTTGGCTGTTCAAGGGCAGTGGTTCAGTGTAGTGGCAGTTCTGTGGACCAACTTTAAGGTAGAGACGAAGGAGAGAAAGGAACCTTTATAGCAGAGGTGGGATACTTGTGACCCTCACCAAAGTCCTAGCCAGGATGGTCAAGAATCGGGGATGAGCAGAGTTACAGCCCAACAACATCCAATGGACCGCAGGTTCTGCATCCCTGCTGTGAGCCCCGAGCACAGTTTCTTTGCAGGGGAAATACGAGTTGCTTCAAAGAGTCTGATCCAGGACAGAGGGGATGTAGTTGGGAGCAGTAGTGGGGCAGGAAAAGAAGGGAGAACATGGGCTTACTCTTGCGTAGCCCCAGGCTTCCTGAAGCCTTATTGCAAGGATTCAGAAGTTCCTTGTTTGAGAGTTCCCAGGTTCTCTTTCAACACATGCTCTGATATGAATGCTTATCTCTCCCTTTGGCATTTGCTAAGTATATTTCAAGATTAAATATTCTATAATTAAAGCGGTAAAGGCACAGCTTTCTTTGCTCTTGACCTTGCTGGGTGTATTTTGAGCTTCCTGTTGATTGCATATGCTGCACAAAAAATGCTTCAGAATAATAATAATAATAATAATAATAATAATAATAATAATAATAATTTATTAGTATTTATACCCTGCTCATCTTGCTGGGCGGCTCCCAACAGAATAATAACAATAAGAATAAATAAAAAGCAATAAAATTTCAAACATTAAAAACTTCCCTAAACAGGGCTGCCTTCAGATGCCTTCTAAAAATCAGATAGTTTGAGTCTGAGTAGTAACAGATTGCTTTGCTGATCTGCACCAGTAAGGTATCATCTAAGACAATTTTGCTTAAATGTATCACTTCTACCCTGAGCAAAAGTTGGACTTTAATTTTGGAAAGTTTACAGCTGATGGAATAACAGAAATGAATAGTGACTCTAATATTCTTGACCCTTTCTTATAGAAATGTGTTTTCATTTGTAAAGTTAGTGCTGAATTAGAACTCAGCAAAATAAACTGATTTGTCTTGGGTCTTTTCCCCCCACGCAGTGAAATTCGTCTTGTGGAAATAATAGAGAACCTCTGTGACAGTAGTAACTTTGAATGCAACAACATGGTAGAAGAGCATGAAGAACATATAGAAACCTGGTGGTTCAAATGGTAAGAAAGAAACAAGGCAATATTTTTTGTTGTGTTGCGTTCAGGATTGGATTCAAGAGAAGTGTAAATTAAAGACTGGATATAAACTTCCTGGAAAGCAATAAATTTTCAACCTGTGTTGATAAAACCAGCTTCTTGTATATTGTTAGCTTGGTAACTACTAATTTTATGAGATTCACTATAATATTTATTATTATTATTATTATTATTATTATTAATAATACTCCACCCCAGCCACTCTGGGTGGCTCCCAACAGAATTTACATCACAATAGAACATCAAACATTAAAAACTTTCCTAAACAGGGCTGCCTTCAGATGTCTTCTAAAAGGCCCTCTGCCTGGTTCCTTGTAACCTCACTTCTCCCAGTGAGGGAACTGCCAGAAGGAGCTGGACCTCAGTGTCCGGGTTGAACAGTGGGGTTGGAGATGCTCCTTCAGGTATACTGGGCCAAGGCCGCTAGTCATAAGTATATGCAAGGCTTGGTATTGCGTCAGGGTTTGTTCTTTCTCACAGTGATGATTTCAAAATACTTAAAGGCACTTTCACAATCGTGCATGCTAATTGAGGTCCAAATGGGATTGGCGCTCTTGTTTTTCCACCTCAGCTAAAGCACAAGCAGATCAGGGTTTTATTCTGCAGACATCGATCCAAACAGAGGTGGGTCACAATTGGTGATACCACATTAGAGAAGTGAAAATTGCAGTAAGTGGGGAAACCATTCTGAGCTACATTTCTTTATTGATTTCTCAATCTGGCAGTTAGGAAAAGCATGTAAAGCAGATGGCTTGTTGTGTCGAGTTGTTGCATCCATAACAAGTGAACCAGTCTGAGCTTTCGCATGGCCAACGTTGATGGTTGCCAGTCTCTTTTGAGCTGGCTTAGTAACGTGCAAGAAGAACCAATTTCATGCTTGAGTATCTTGTGAAAGCATGGTATGGGCTTGCCTAGTAACCTTTAGGTTACCATTAATGTTGCCTATTAGTGCTGCTGTAATGCACATGTTAACATTCTAGAGCATTACTTAGTAGGATTCCATAAGGTTCTTATTAATTCCAGATCACTTCTGCTCAGTTTGCTACTAAAGAAGATATTTTATCTAACTACCAGCCATGACAGCTCCACCAGGAATCAGAAGGGCAAGTTGTTCCTCCTTTTATATCATCACTTAGCTTTAGAGACTACAAACCGGTGTTCTACCTTCAGTTAAACCAACCTGCACAATTTAACATTTTGTTCACAGAGACTTTTATAAAATGCATACCTGCTTAACAATTTTGTGTGGGGTCCTTAGAATGAGAATGGGGATTCAAGTTAGAATTCAACTTGGTTCTTTTGAACTCGATGGGTTGATGAGTCAGTAAGGAATTTTTGAAAAGCACACAGATAATCATAAAGTAGTTTTGGTTCATCTTTTATGATAATCCAAACCCTTTACCTCTTCCATTATGCCCAGATTACAGTGGTACCTCAGGTTACATATGCTTCAGGTGACATACGCTTCAGTTTACAGACTCTGCTAACCCAGAAATAGTGCTTCGGGTTAAGAACTTTGCTTCAGGATGAGAACAGAAATCGTGCTGCGCGGCGGCAGCAGGAGGTCCTATTAGCTAAAGTGGTGCTTCAGGTTAAGAACAGTTTCAGGTTAAGAACGGACCTCCGGAGCGAATTAAGTACTTAACCCAAGGTACCACTGTATCATAAAAGATGCAGGAGGAATGGATTAATAATAGGACCCACAAAGGGGAGGATGGAAGTCCAAGAGATTTCTTGGAATCTTGTTTTTATAATTTATGTTTGATATATCTTTGTAAAATGTTAAGTTGAAAAAACCAAATAAATAAATTTAAAAATAAAGTAGTGTTGGTTCAAAACAGGGAGGTGGTATGACTGTGCTTAATACAGTTTGGGTGGTGCACACACATTCTTTCATATGCTAGAGTGTGTTGTGGATGTTATTTAAGCAATAAATCTAGAAAAATGTGTGATTATAATGGTAACCAATAGTTACATCTCTGTATAGGCTATTATCACCTCCAAGCATAACATATGCCAAGGTGCTGAAGTTTGCAGCAGCTGACAAAATATCAATTTTGTTGTCGAGATTCATATTAATATTTTCCTTCAGAAATTTCACAAGTTCTCATCCTTAATGCAGAGTTTCTTGTGACATCTGAAAATTTGGGACATAGTTACTTGTGCTTTTGATTGTGTTAATTAGATAAGGAAATGGCTCCTTATTATAATAATAATAATAATAATAATTTATTATTTATACCCCGCCCTTCTGGCCAACTTTCATGATGAAGTTGTATCACCTTTCAACTATTGTTCTTTGGTAACATAGCATTCCTACAAATGAATGATCAGCCCCAAGCACAGCATTTGGCAGATATTTATTTTTATTTTATTTTTAAAAAAGCTTTGTTACATTTAAAGACAAGCCAGACACATCTCAAAATGTTCAAGGCATCCTAAGAGAGATCCTTACTTCTGTCCATTCATCACTGCAAAATAGGTGTAGCCATATGAATTTAATGTCATGAGGGAGGATATTTGTGACTACAGTGGTGCCTCGCAAGATGAAATTAATCCGTTCCACGAGTGTCTTCGTCTAGCGTTTTTTTTCGTCTTGCGAAGCAACCCTATTAGCGGCTTAACGGATTAGCGCTATTAGCGGTTTAGCGGCTATTAAAGGCTTATCGGTTTAGCGGATTAGCTGCCAAAAGGCTATTAAAGGCTTAGCGGCTTAGATAAAGGGGGGGGGAGCGAAAAAAAAATCTCAAGACTCGCAAGACATTTTCGTCTTGTGAAGCGAGCCCATAGGGAAATTTGTCCTGCGAAGCAACTCAAAAACGGAAAACCCTTTCGTCTAGCGGGTTTTCCGTCTTGCGAGGCATTCGTCTTGCGGGGCACCACTGTATTTCTTAACCCACAAACATGAAACATAAAATGAGACTTGCATAGAGGGTTGTATCCAACTGAGCCATACTAAGAGTAGACCCACTGAAATCCTTTTGTTTGTCAGTGTTCTCTCAGGTATGATTTAGTCAGATACACCCCAGAATGCTTAATCTTTTTCTTTCCCTTCCCTTTTTGCAAAGATGTGAATCATTACTGTTCACTTTGATACTAGAACTCACTTAGCTACTATTATTCACTGTAGCTCTTCACAGGGAATTGGCACTCAGCCAACCAAGCAGGATTTAAGCACCTCTCATCAACTGATGCACGGGGTTCAATACCAACCCCTTCCTGAATCTGGCAGCCCAAACCACCTGTGAAATTTGGCCCTATGATGAGGATCTGACCCGTGAAATATGGCCTAATGATGAGGATCTGGCCGTGAATTTTGGCCCAGTGGTGAGGATTTGGCCTGATGATGAGAATCTGGCCATGAAATTTGGCCCATTGATGAGGATTTGGCCCATTGATGAGGTTCTGACCATGAAATATGGCCCAATGATGAGCATCTGGCTGTGAAATTTAGCTCAATGATGAGGATTTGGCCCAATGTGGAGGATCTGGCTGTGAAATTTGGCCCAATAGTGAGGATCTGGCTGTGAAATTTGGCCCAATGATGAGGATTTGGCCCGATGATGAGGTTCTGGCCATGAAATATGGTCCAATGATGAGCATCTGGCTGTGAAATTTAGCTCAATGATGAGGATTTGGCCCAATGTGAAGGATCTGGCTGTGAAATTTGGCCCAATTATAAGGATTTGGCCAAATGATGAGGTTCTGGCCGTGAAATTTGGCCCAGTGGTGAGGATTTGGCCCGATGATGAGAATCTGGCCGTGAAATTTGGCCCAATGGTGAGGATTTGGTCCAATGATGAGGTTTTGGCCGTGAAATTTGGCCCAGTGATGAGGATTTGGCCCATGAAGCCAAAAAACTTTCCACACCCTTGATCTACACTGGCCAGCAGCAGATATCCAGGATTTAAGTCAGGGGATATTCCTAGCCCTCTCTTGAGATGCCAGAGCTTGAACCTGGGAATTTCTGCATACAAAGCGGATGCTGTGTCCTGAGCCCTTCTCCCTCAGCCAAACTGCACCCTGGGGGTAAAGATGACTGTTCGCATTGGCAGAATACCTAGTGCTACATTGGAATGCCACCATAGGAATGTTTGCAATAGTGGTGAGCTTAATATAGCATCTTGCAGCCTCTGACGGCTCGGGCAAAACCAGTAGTGTATTGGAGGTAAGTGAGACAAAGCTGACCAAAGCAGGCTGCCACTTTTAGCTCTCTCCTTCCATCACAGGTCTTTTGTTTCTATTTGAAGATGTGTTTGCTTGACACACTGGACTGTTTGGCGGCTGATATATCAAATTTAAGGTTGCAAATGCTGAAGGTTGAGGCGATAAAGCTGCAGGTTGACCCCACCCCACGAACCCATTTTCACCACACTCTTCCAAAATCCAGTGCCGCCTCTTATCTTAAAAAGTGCCACTTCTCCTGTAGAGAACGGGGCTCAGTTTTAGAAGGGCTTTTCTCCCCATAGCAGGGGAATGAGGAGGTCTGCTCTCTGGCTGAGTGTTTTCCTACCTGTAGTGTGTGTCTTACCCACCTAGCTATGTGTGGACCATATACCGTATTTTTTGCTCTATAAGACTCACTTTTTCCCTCCTAAAAAGTAAGGGGAAATGTGTGTGCGTCTTATGGAGCGAATGCAGGCTGCGCAGTTATCCCAGAAGCCAGAACAGCAAGAGGGATTGCTGCTTTCACTGCATAGCGATTCCTCTTGCTGTTCTGGCTTTGGAGATTCAGAATATTTTTTTCTTGTTTTCCTCCTCCAAAAACTAGGTGCGTCTTGTGGTTTGGTGCGTCTTATAGAGCGAAAAATACGGTATGTTTATGTGTGTTGGATGTGCAATTCTGCACTGGCCAACCCAATGGTTAGGTACCTCTGTCTTAAAAGGTGTCTGTCTGGTGTGTGTGTGTGTGTGTGTGTGTGTGTGTGTTTGCAGACACCCCCAAGTTGCCCTCTCCACCCTGGGCACTCCCAGAGGGGAAGGGAATACTTCTTGTATTTCTATTGTGACATCAGTTGGTGGTCTCTCGACCTCCACTATAAACCTGGGAGCCAAGTTTCTTATCTTGAAAGATGCTAGAAGGTGAAAAAGTACCAGATCAGTCATGATGGACAATCTAATATCGCTGGCTATGCATATTTATTGCACACTGTACCTGCTTCCCCATCTAAACCCTCCTTGACAATTTTAATTGACGTTCTCTAGAACTTTGATTTCAGTAAGTTCAGACTAATGATAATAATACAATTGGATGTGAACAGAACTCTTATCTTCTGCTCAAGAAATACATTTTTATTTTGTTTGTATTTACAGGAAGAAGAAATCTCCTGATTTGTTTAAGTGGCTTTGTATAGAAACAATAGAAGTTTGCTGTCCTGCTGGAACACATGGTCCAGACTGTGTTGGTAATTAAACGACAATAATAAAATATTGGGGTATCTTTAATCATACACAGAAGCTTTCATTTAGTTCTAGCCTTTTACTATCATTGATTAGTTCGATTCAAAATACAATAGAAGGTCTCAGTTTCAATAGCCGGCATCTCCAGGTAAGGCTGGGAGACACTCCCTGCCTGAAACACAGAAGAGCAGCTGCTGGTCAGTGCAAACAGTAGTGAGCTAGATGGACTAATGGTCTGACTTGGTATAAAGCAGTTTCCTAAGTTCCTACGGCTATGTCTGGTGATGTGATGGTGGAAGAAGAAAGATGCTTCTGTGAGCTGCCTGAGCTGCGGTTCTCCCAGCAAACATAGGGAAGGTGCCTAGTAGGCCATTACGGGGGGAGGGGGGATGTGTGCCGAGGAGGGAGCGGTTACAGCCAGTTTAGAAGTGTGGAAATGGTGTATGACGAACATGTGCTTTGGGTTATTGGCTCGCACAAGTGGATGGGCTACTTGGAGCCCTTGTTGGGTCAGTAGCAAGACAGTTCATAGGCATGTGGAATCTCAAAAACCAACAGGTTATATTGTGGCATAGGGTGTTATTGCTAGGGGAGTCTCTGCATCAGGGCACAGTTCGTTGAAAAAGTTGAGCTAAGCTGAAAGGTTTGGAGAGGCAAAAATGCAAGGCATTTTGGGAGGGGGTGGGAGAAAAATCACAGCATGTTCAGGCCACAGAGGGCTCACTGCAGTAGCGTTAGCTGCAGAGGCTTTTCATCCCCCCTGCCCTTTTAGATTCTTCTTCTTCTTCTGGTTGCTGTGGTGGTGTTCCTCCTAAGTAGCTCGCCACCCATTGGGGGGGGCAACCTGCAAATGCGCCTTCAAAAATAGGGACAGAATATTTTCAGCACAGCTTTAGTAAGAAGCAAAGGGAAAAACTTTTTGTGAAGAGGCTTGTGAATGTTGATCAAGAGGCTGCAGCGAGAAAAGTGGCCATGGGGAGAAAATATTGTCCGGCTTTGTTCACGTGAAATTCTTAAACTTGCTGTTTTTGTGTTAATCTAAGCTTGCCGCGGAGGATCAGAAAGACCTTGCCACGGAAATGGCAACTGTGCTGGAGACGGCACCCGAGGTGGCGATGGATCCTGCCGCTGTAAAAGGGAATACCAAGGAGAATTTTGTTTGGACTGCTCCGACGGCTACTACAACTCTCACCGAAATGACACACATTCCGTTTGTACAGGTACGCCTGCATGCTTTACATTTAAAGCCTTTATAACAGTCCGGAGAACTGTAATTGCTTCCGCACAACAAAGGGGACTTTGGACTGGAGTTTCTCCAGGGACATTTTGCTTTGTTGTGCGAGAAGCTGTTTGTGAGCTGGCATGGGAAAAGAAAAGTCAGAAGTCCGGTTAGATATAACACGGAACCGTGGGCATGCCCAGTTGCTTGCAAGATTTCGGGCAGTGCTTTTTACGGTTAAATTGTCGCTAAATATTTCTGAACTTTCTATATTTCAATCCAGGAGTGGTCCGTGAGGAGGGTCGGTGCCATGCTGCTGGAGCCACTGCTGCTTACTAGCAGAAGGAAGGGCAAGCTGGCAAGGGAGGTTGTTGCTAGCCAGGCACGACTGTTAGTCTAGCTCTCTCCCCCTGATGTGTCTTCACAGCACCATCTCAACCCTCTCCCAGTAAGTGGCACCACCTCTCTCCTCACTGACTGCTCCCGATCCACATCCCAGATTAGCTAGAACAAGCACAGTCCATGGAAAGAAGATAAGGTCCCTAGCAGAGAAGAATGCCAGATCAAGTTGATGGACTATGCCAAAGTGACAAGAATCAGAAATCAGGAAGGCCAAAATTTTAATAAGCAATGGGGAAAATTTATAATCTATCTTAAAAACCATTGTAAATAGCTAAAACCATTAGCGGGATTGGAATAACACTTGTAGTTTAGTGGTGAATTTTGGAAATACAGTGGAAGCTCTATTCACAACCAAAGTCTGTTCTGGAGGGCCTGTACTTATGGCGAAATGGGTTGCTGGTAGCAGCGCCATTGTGCACAGGCGCAATCGGCGGCAGCCTGCTTCTGCGCATGTGCAGACAGTGGCAGCCGCTTCTGCGTGTGGGTGAATCGCAGCAAACCCGGTGTTTACTTCCGGGTTTCTCGTGGTCGCAACTTGGAATGGGCCTAACTAGAGCGGGACATAAATAGAGGTTCTGCTGTAATGGAGATGCAAAAGATTTGGATTATTATAAAAGATGCAGGAGGAAATGATTAAGACCCACAAAGGGGAGGAGGGAAGGCCAGGAAATTCCTTGGAATCTTGTCTTTATATTGTATGTTTGTGATTGTAAAATTTTAATTTGAAAAACCAAATAAATAAATTCTTAAAAAAGAACAAGCACAGTCCTATACTTGTCTACTCAGAAGTAAGCCTTATTGAATTCAAGTAAGTGAGAATAGGATTATAGCCGTAATCTCACTTTATTCCGTCAAAGCCAAACTGTTTTGCTAAAGTGGAAGAAGAAACCCATCCTGTGTGTCTTGTTGATCAGAACCCAAAAACAGTGGAGTCATTATTTGGGTGATAACCTGATAGCCTTTTTCAGTTTGCACGCTAACTACTTGTTCCACTGCTTTTATAAGGTAGTGCTTTATGTAACTTCGTAACGTTGCTACTTATTTTACCGCGTTAATTAAATAACATGCCAGGATGTGCAAACATTTCACGAGCCAATTCACATGCAATTATTTGCATTATCGATGCCTCTGAAGTAACCCTAGAATCAGTTTAACTATATAACGTAAACCTAGATTCGGTTTTAAATGTGCTCGCCAGGATCTGAAATGAAGTCTCGAGTCTTTCTCTGTCTTCACAGCTTGTCATGATTCTTGTAAAACGTGCAGTGGAGCAACAAACTCAGACTGTAAGGAATGTAAAGAAGGTTGGACCAGAAATGAAGACGCCTGTGTGGGTTAGTAAGACATCCAATAGAAAACAAAGCATTCAGTTTAGAGAAGACCTAAGACCTAATATATAATATATAACATGTTTATAATCATACACATGTAGATACTTGTCTTTGTGCCATTTCTCCCCCACCCCAGTCATCTTAACTGAAAGTTAAAAAGTACATACAGTCGTACCTTGGAAGCCAAACGCCTTGGCACTCAAACGTTTTGGCTCCCGAACTCAGCAAACCCGGAAGTGAGTGTTCCGGTTTACGAACGTTCTTTTGGAACCCGAACATCCGGCGTGGCTTCCGCGGCTTCCAATTGGCTGCAGGAAGCCACACCTTGGTTTCAGAACGTTTTGGAAGTTGAACAGACTTCCGGAACGGCTTCCGTTCGGCTTCCAAGGTACGACTGTAATTATACATGTACTAAACATGGTGAGACATAAATAGAAAAGAAAAAGAAAAGAAGAAGGGAAAGTAAAGGGCCTTTTCTCAAGCAGAGATGCATTTACATAGATTCAGCTGCTGGGTTGCAGAACACTGTTTTTATCTAAACAAGTTTGGAGCTGGGAGGACTTCTCCGATCCAGGCTTACAGCTGTTGGTTTCAGTTTGCTTTTTAACTAGTTGACCCACTAAATTATTGGTTGACCCTCCTGATTTTGTTACATATGAAGCGGAAGATTACAGAAGTCTGTTGGTTCCTGATGTGCCTTTTGTTTTATTGAATCGTTTCAAGGCTGTTACCTGCCACCTCTCCGTCGAATGCCAAAATACAGCATTTCCAATCGAAAGCAGTTGGAAAAAATCTATCGACAAATTCAAATAACGATCAGACGTTCACCAAGAATGGCATAGTATAAATGCAAGGGTACGGTTCAATAGCGCAATCCCCACTTAACTGCATATCAAAAACAGAAAGCAAGTGCAAAGTCAATGAATGAAAAAGCTAAACCACCCCTTGCTACTACTAGTCTCCTTTGTAAAGCTTGGTTTGAATCTGGATGGGGAACTTCTGGCTCCACAGAATTTGGCAGATGGAAAGGAAAGGAAAATCACATCAATCCAATGCCATTTGGAAAATGGGTTTATCATAGAATTGCAGCATTGGAAGCCCCCCCCCCCGAGGGTCATCAAATCCAGCCCCCTGCAATGCTGGAGTCTTTTGCCCAACATGGGTCTCTACCCTGAGATTAAGAGTCTAGTGCTCTACCGACTCATGACTTTAAAAGATACATTTTTGGTGAAGTAATGCATGCCATTGTAGGGGTCAGACTAGGTCACATGCAAGGGTAAGAAGCTCATGGTTTCCCTCTTATTCATCCTCTGATTTCCTACATTCCTTTCTAGCCTGTGCAAATCACGGTCTCCAAACAATTTGATGAGGCTGAAGTGGGAAAGAAGAATCAACAGCCCTCCCCTTATATGCATAATAAGCACTTTCTGTTCATGAGCAGATCTCTTTGGAACCAGACATTCCTCCCCCCCGCCCCCTTTGAAGCATTCTGTTCATATGGCAATGCTAACTTTCCAAATTTATGTTCACCTTTGCAGATGTGGATGAATGTGCCGTAGAAGAGTCTCCATGCAATACGGACCAATTTTGCTTAAACACAGAGGGCTCTTTCTCCTGCAAAGGTTTCTTTTCCATATATCTATATATTTAACCTTAAGTTGTAGCTTGCTTAATTATATAAGAGCTGAAACAAATGTCAGATTTGTTGCGTGAAAACCATCGATAGATGTTCATGTTTAAAGACAAGCTTGTCACGCTTCCTTTGGCATAAACAGATGTACAGTGGTACCTCGGTTGTCGAACGTAATCCATCCCAGAAGACCATTCGACCTCCAAAACGTTTGATAACCAAGGCTCAATGGGCGATCGGAAAATTACATTGAAAAAATAGGGAAATGCACCTCAGAAAGCCATTCGACTTCCAAGGTGCATTCGAAAACAGAAGCAGTTACTTCCAGGTTGTCGGTGTTCAGCTTCTGAAATGTTCGGCAGCCGAGATGTTCAGCAACCGAGATTTGACTGTATATACTTTCTGGGTTTGGTTTGGAGTGAGGTGTAACTATGGTACATCTCAAGTGGGATGCTTGTTGTGGCTTCCCCACCACCCGAAATTGTGAATCTTAGTGTTTGTCCTCAAGTAGAAAACTACAGTGGTACCTCGGGTTTGTTGGGATACTGCCAGGGAGATAAAGTCCATCATGGCCCCAAGCCGGCTGCCGGACAATCCATCGACCTCCAGTAGTCACGCAGTATCAGCAATTAGCGACATGAGCTCCAGAACATTCTAGAGCCGATGCACACTCTTTATCAGCAGATAATGCACAGCAGAAGTCGCACTCAGGAGAGCATTATTTACAAGTTTATTCAGCGTTGATCAGAACACAGAAAAACATGACTGCCTGCTTTAGTGTCTACGACACAGAGAGAGAAACGAAAGCAATAGCAAACATAAACATCCTGTGAACAGGACATGCGCAGACTCTGTGACTCACAGCCTGCTCCCTTTTAAGGTGGAACGGAAATATCCTAACAGGGTTAAGTACTTTATTCGTTCCAGAGGTCCGTACTTAAGCTGAAACTGTTCTTAATCTGAAGCACCACTTTAGCTAATGGGGCCTCCTGCTGCTGCCGCGCCGCCAGAGCATGATTTCTATTCTCATCCTGAAGCAAAGTTTTTAACCTGAAGCACTTATTTCTGGGTTAGCGGAGGCTGTAACCTGAAGCATATGTAACCTGAAGCATATGTAACCCAAGGTACCACTGTACACGGAGAAATATAATACGTGAGCTACATGGATACACTATGCTGTGATTCAGTGGCTCTGGGAAATGTCTCTGCGATTGCAGGAACCCTAGTAAAGTAATTGTGTAGCAACACTTCTCACATTTAATTTCTGCAGGTAGAATTTGATGTCACACTAAGGTGACAGCACCCACATTTCCCCTTGCCAGATAGAACAATTTCCCCTCTCTCCTTGCCACGTGCTGCTCTGGGGGTTCCCTTGACCCACCTCCAGAGTGATCAGAATGTGTCTTCATGGATATTGGCATCACCAGGGAGGGGGAAGGAATGCAGCTAGAAAGCGATCCTTAGTAAATAATTTTGAGAGAAAGGAAAAGGCACCCAAATAGGGGAGAATGATATGAACAGGGCAGGATAGAAGATAATGAGATCTCAAAAGAGAAGCAAGGAGTTAAATATATTAGTTGAATTGTGGCCATTTTCCCATTGATGACAGTAGTCTTGGAAAATTAACAGAAAGGTTTTTGTAATGTTGTTGCTTCCAACTTCATGTATATTTAGTTGGCTAGCAGTGTTAACAGAAAGCCGAAAGGTTGAACTGCAAATATCTGTTTCCTGCTTGGCAGGGGGTTGGACTCGATGGCCCTTGTGGTCTCTTCCAGCTCTATGATTCTATGATTCTAAGAGCATTCGCACATGTACTGTTCTTTCCGGGGTTTGCGTAGCTTTGCCTCAAGCCTGAGTGTAGCCGTTGTGGTCTTCCAAGTAATGTTACTGCTTGCCTAATTTGTACATAGACATTTGTTGTTTATTGGTTAGATTTCTTACTGCCCTTCACAATCCCTTTGCAACAATATATTCATAGCATTCAATACAAGCTTAAACGGGTTTATAAACTTATAAAAATAAATTAAAGGATTCTGTACGCAAAGCAGCACCATGTAGGTTAAACGCAATAGGTGGGTCCGACAAAAATTAGCTTCAGTTTGTTCTGTAAGCAAGTTTTCACCTTAGTTTACAGTGATTTTAAAAAGTTCCATTTTATGTTTCAGCATGCGATCGGGGCTGCTTGGGATGCACAGGAGAAGGGCCCAGCAAATGTAAAAGCTGCGTACCTGGCTATGAAATGAAAGATGAAAAATGCACAGGTTAGATTTCTACTTTTTTATGAAAGTCAGAGTCAAGACACAACTCTAAAAGCCTGGGAGAACAAAAAAAAGTATTTAATTGCTACCAAAAAGGCAAGAATGTGTTCCTGATTTCCAGGGAGGAGAATTTCATAAGTCATTTTAAGCATGTTCTATATGCTTGAATTTTTAATTCCTACACTTCAAACTAGGCCTGCAAAACACAAATACTCATATTTATTTGTGTTTGTATGTGTGTTTATTGATATCAATAAACAGCAGCTGGCTACGGTTCAATGATTATCGGTGTGGAAATTGCTTCTTTCTGCGTAATCTTTGTCGCTGCTTGTATATGTGAGCAAATAAAGTAAAAGAAACAGAACATTTGTATTAGAACATTTTTATCCGTGTGCATTTGCACCGAATTAAACTTTTCGCGATACTCTTTCCCTTTTTAAAATAGATGTAGATGAATGTACCTCGTCCGAAAAGGTGTGTGTAAGAGAAAACGAAGACTGCGTTAATACCGCAGGGGGTTACAAATGTGTCTGTTCCGAGGGTTTTCAAGATGAAGATGGCTCTTGCGTTGCAACGGTAAAGGGAGGTCAGTGGCTGTTTGTTACCGAAGGTTTTGCAGGCTATTGGTAGGGTAATGTAGCAAATCCAGTGTTAATTGCACAACTGCTGCTGCATAATCGTCTCAGCCTCCCTTGCATTTTCAATCACCGTTCCCCAGCCAGATCTAACCTTTCTCATTTTGATTCTTTTGCATTATTGGTCCAGTGTGATGTCTTGGACTAGGATTGGAAAGGCTAATTTCTAGGTCTTCACCCAGCCATGAATCTCATTGAGTGACCTTGCACCAGTTAATCCAACCATCTTCACGGGTGGAGGGGGTGTTTGAGCATAAAATGTCTTAGGTTGCATCATGCCCACTGCCATGAGCTCCTTGAAGGAATTAGGATAAAAATATAGCAAATAAGTCCTCCACATACACTTCTTTTTTGTATAATTTTTTTATTAAGTTTTTCTGCTTCACATTTTAGAATACTCATTTAAACAACCTTAAAATATCAATGATTTCCATTCTTTCTTTCCATGGTTCATTTTACATATCATAGATCCCTGCGTATTTTGCTTAAACTAAACCATTCAGTATTCCATTGTTACAACCATCAAAATTTATTTACACTGTTGAATTTATCTTAATGCTGCCAACATTTTCCAAAGTAGTAGTAACAGTCATAATTTATTATTTATACCCGCCCATTTGGGCGGCTCCCAACAGAATATTAAAAACACGATAAAACATCAAACATCAAAAGCTTCCCCAAACAGTACACAATTTTCACCCATATATTCAATAAACATTTTCCAATCTACTTTAAACGTATGTTCTTCTTGCTCTCTTATTCTATATGTTAAGTCTGCAAGCTGCACATATTCCATCAATTTTAGTTGCCATTCTTCTTTGGTTAGGACAGCACTCGTTTTCCCTTTTGAGGCTAACAAAACACTCCCTATACACTTCTTTTCCCTACATCTGATTTGAAAATCCATTAATGGTTGGTCTTCATGGTCCAAAAAAATTGTCAAATTGAATGGCAAGCCCCTTGTAGATTCTCAGCAGGGTCAAATTCTTGGCATTGCTTAAAAAACCAAGGAAATTTGGTTGCCTTCTTTTTAAAAAAGGGGGGCTAGATTTAGGGGTGTGCATGATGTGTTTTTTACCTGTGCAGAGAGCCTTTTCAGCCCGCCCCCCCTTTCAGCAGAAGCCCCCCTCCCCAGTTGTCAGAAACCTTCTGGAGTGGTATCCTGTGAACTTGAAGAGCCCCCAGGTGAGGGTTGCCCCATCCACCCTGGGCAGCTTCCAGCAAATTATAAAACCACAGTAAAACACCACACATTAAAACCTCCTGATACAGGGCTGCCTTCAGATGTCTTCTGAAAGTCTGATAGTTGTCTATTTCCTTGACATCTGATGGGAGGGCGTTCCACAGGGCGGGTGCCACTACCGAGAAGGCCCTCTGCCTTGTTCCTGCCTCTTACAAATAGTGTTAACTGTGTAGGTGTTTTGTTTTAACAAAGATGCATTACTTTTGACAGAAGAGGAGATGCCCGCAAATGTATCTTCGTCAGATGCCCATGAGGAGTTATGATCTACATTCCAAGATGACAGACATTGGTATCAAACCTTTAAGTTATTGGACCGAACAGCTGCCACCTGAGATGTAAATGGTATTAAATAACCTCAGGTCGCCAGTAAGTTTCTCTCTGGAACTTAATGATGGATTGCCCTTTCAACTGCATTTCTTTGTGAAACATAAACAATTGTCACTTTTTATACTGCCACTGAACTACCCTAGTAGACGTTGTTGGAGATAGATACGTCTTTCCCCCCGGTGTATTTGGTTAAATTGAACGACTTATTGCCGAGTCCTGCAAAACATTGCTCCTTCTGTAAATGAAAATGAATTGGCTAACTTAAGTACTTTTAGATCAGGATGGATTTTCTACGACCAGCGCTTGTCTTTTCGATACCAGCAAAAGGAGATGCTGTTTTATGGAAAAGGCTCTTCTTGCAAATGAAAGCTGAATGTCAAGTGCGGCATTCAATAAAGATTTATTTTGACTGCTTTGTATTTTGTGTGCCTTGCGTGTTAGCATCTGTTGCATGGGGGTGTGGAGGAATTGTTAGTTTATAGGTGAATCGACTTCTGCCTTAAGTCATTCTCCTGTAGAAATCAGCTGGTCTTTAAGAGAGAAGCCATCTTAATTTTTTGTCCCTTCACCAAAGGAAGATTGTTTTTCTTTGCCTTGCTGTACAGCAGGGGTTGGGAAACTTTTTCTCTCCTGAGAGCTGAAGTCTGTTCTGGAGACCACATGGCAGAGGTGGGCGATGCTAAAATTGGCAGAGCAACAAATGCAGTTGCCCAGTTCCTGCAAACACTCGCATAATCCTCCGTAACCATCTAGACAAAAGGTATTTTCAAGAATGCAGGGACACTTGCTAACCCGACCAAAACACTTGAGGTGCGAAGGAGGCTCAGGGAAGGGTGAGGAGATGCTTCAGTTCAATTGATGCAGAGGGCTTTGCAAAATTTGAAGAAAATGGCTTACAACTTAGATTCACAGACTTTTAAAAGTGGAGAAGAGAACTCTGTGACTGTTTAACTACAAATGCACTGAACTGATTACTGGAGATCCACCTAGCGGCTGCTGGTTCGTCAACAGCTTTTAAAATGCTGCTGTTAATGCAGACAGATTTAGGAAATAAAATACTGCAAACGTAAGCTTCAGGGCATTTATGCAATTAGGTGGAGGGTTTGAGTATATTTCTCTTTTCTGGATGCTTGTGTTATTCTTTGGCTTCACCTGTGTTGATGTCATCATGAGCTCTAATATATTTTCCAAAGAAAGGGAAAAGCTGGAAGGGGCGCAGTTATAATTTATTGCAAAAATATTAGAATCTTATATGGGGGAAGCTCTGGGGTTTTTTAACTTTACACCCCCCCCCCCCAAAAAAAAAAAAACCAACAACACAGAGCACATCATTATTCCTGGGATTTCTTCCCCTAACACACACAACACACACATTTTTCTCTGATGTTTTAGACAAGCCTTTTTTCCTCTCATGCAAGATGGGGACAATGTCATCTAACACGGTGGCTTAAAAAATCCTGGCTGCTTCAGAAATATTGTTTTTACTCATGAGCAAATTATAGATAGATTAATCGATCAAAATAGTAAAACTCATATGATTAATTGATTCCAATAAGTTTAAACTTTTTTTGTTCCGTCAACTGCCCTGAGACCTCCGGGTATAGGGCAGTATATAAATTCAGTAAGTAATAATAATAATAATAATAATAATTAATAATATGCTGTATCATATACAAGGGGTAGGTAATTATAAACCTGAGTCCCTGCCTACAGAACTAAGATGCCCTGAATAAGAGAGTCTCAAGTCATACTTGCATTAATATCAGACTGCTTATTTAGCATGACCAGGTATGTGACACGTGGCCTAGGGCAAAGACTCCTGACTCCAGTGGTTCTAATCTCAAACTTTTCTCTGGACCACACTTTCAGAATTAAAATTTGCTAACGCCACACTGGATTTTTAATTGATGAGAAATACATTGGAAAACGAAAAACAACTGGCAGTTCTTTGATTTAGAACAGAGAACACAACTGCTTTATAATGTGATCATGGGACATCCAAAATGTTTAAAACAATGCAACTACGTAAGATCACGAATCATTCTGAAAATGTAATTATAAATGAGCCTCTTATATATGTACCGTAAGTACAAACTCAGTGAGAGGTGTGAGCTTGCTTTGGCCAGGTAATCTCATTTATATTGGGTCTAATTTGAGACATGCAAGCTCTCATCTCATCAACAAAGAAGCCTTTCTTTTTCCCCCCTGATCCTTCATAATTTGTTGAAACTCCCTGTTCACAACAATGTCGTGGAGAAGCACAGAAGAAAAGTCAGTGCTCTTGAAGAGAGGCATGAATTCTGTTTCTGGTTGTATATCCACATTGCACTGAAATGTTTAAATGTTTCTCTGATTGGCCTTGAATCTCCCCACTACATTTGCTATCCTTTTTCCTGCAACACACTTTGAGGACCGATATAGACTAGCATTCTGTAAAATATATTCAGCTGCAGAGACAGACATAGTTATATGTAGATTTGAGGGGATGCTGGTGGCGCTGTGAGCTAAATCACTGAGCCTCTTGGGCTTGCCGATCGGAAGGTCAGTGGTTCGAATCCCCATGACGGGGTGAGTTCCCATTGTTCTGTCCCAGCTCCTGCCAACCTTGCAGTTCGAAAGCGCGTCAAAGTGCAAGTAGATAAATAGGAACCGCTCCAGCGGGAAGGTAAACAGTGTTTCCATGTGCTCTGGTTTCTGTCACAGTGTCCCATTGCGCCACAAGCGGTTTAGTCCTGCTGGCCACATGACCCGGAAAGCTATCTGTGGACAAATGCCGGCTCCCTTGGCCTGAAAACGAGATGAGCACTGCAACCCCATAGTCGCCTTTGACTGGACTTAACCATCCAGGGGTCCTTTACCTTTACCTATAAGTAGATTTGATGTGGGTGGCTCTGTAGAACTAGAAATTGTTTCCTCTTTTATATGTAGTGAGCTTAGTCGTATCACACAGCCTTTTTCAACCTCACTCCCCATGTGAATAATGTTAAAACGGAAAAAAACTGTCCCAAACTGAAAGCACCGTCCCATCTTTCTAAATCGGGTCAGCAAACTTTTTCAGCAGGGGGCTGGTCCACTGTCCCTCAGACCTTGTGGGGAGCTGGACTATATTTTAAAAATAAAAATAAAAATGAATCCCTGTGCCCCACAAATAACCCAGAGATGCATTTTAAATAAAAGGACACCTTCCACTCATGTAAAAACATGCTTATTCCTGGACCGTCTGTGGGCCAGATTTAGAAGGTGATTGGGCCGGATCTGGCCCCCGGGCCTTAGTTTGCCTAGTAAAGGTAAAGGGGACCCCTGACCATTAGGTCCAGTCGTGGCCAGCTCGGGTTGCAGTGCTCATCCCGCTTTATTGGCCGAGGGAACCAGCGTACAGCTTCCGGGTCATGTGGCCAGCATGACTAAGCCGCTTCTGGTGAACCAGAGCAGCGCACGGAAACGCCGTTTACCTTCCCGCTGGAGCAGTACCTATTTATCTACTTGCACTTTGACGTGCTTCCGAACTGCTAGGATGGCAGGAGTAGGGACCGAGCAACGGGAGCTCACCCCATCGCGGGGATTTGAACTGCCGACCTTCTGATTGGCAAGTCCTAGGCTCAGCGGTTTAACCCACAGCGCCACCCATTTGCCTACCCATGTTCTAAATGGTCTGCAGTGCAGCATTTAAGCGCTTTCAGCCACAAGAGGGCACCCTTCATCTCTTGCTAGCATAACTCAATGATTGAATAGTCTGTGGGGAAACCAGCAATATAGTTACTACAATGTAATAATGCTAATGATGATGATGTTTAGCCTGAGAAAGAGGAGACTGAGAGGACAGAGGATAGCCACCTTGAAATCTCCAAAGGACTTTCACATGGAAGACGGCGCAAGTTTGTTTTCTTCTGCTCTGGAGGTTAGTCCCCAGAAGAAGGCATCCAAAACTGGAAACCAAGCCGGGAACGATTAAGGGAGTTGGGTATGTTTAGCCTGGAAAAGGGGGAACTGAGAAGAGAGATAATATCTATCTTCAAATATCTAAAGGATGGAGAAAGCTTGTTTTCTCCTGCTCTGGATGGTAGGACCCGAACGAATGGATTGTGCCCCGGTATGGACACAACTTGAATGCCTGGAATGGGGTTTGAGACCAATATTCATCAGGGCAGGTGGATGAGAGGAAGGAAGTCAGTTTGCTGGTTTGAATTTCGAAAGAGGTAGGAAGAGCTGTGAACTTTAAGCGTCCTTGAGTCAATCTCCTGGTGCCTGGTGCAGGATTCGCGACAGTGCTGCCTATTCAAAGAGTGTGGCTGCCTCCAGTATGCAAATATTATGATGAAGATTTAAACCCGAACCAGTAGATTCAAGTCACAAGAAAGGAGATTCCGACTCAACATTAGGAGGAACTTTCTGACAGCAAGAGTTGTTTCAATCACAGTAATATAGACACAATACATAGGCTAATAGTTGTTAGAGAATATATAATAGAATAATGATATCATCCAAATAGTGGGAATAAACCAACAAGAGTTCATATATACAGTGTAACAGAGAAGAACATAAAGCCATATGTTAAAGATAGGTGTCAAAAGACAGTCTCACAATAGTCTTTAAAACGTTTCAAACAGAAGACCTCAAAAGTATCAAAAGTAACCTTTCTCAATAGTCTTTCAAAAGTTTCAATGGAAGACGTCTCAAAAGGACAGTATCTCTGGAATGATGCTACTGTTTCGTAATAGTCTTAATCAGCTGGAAACGTAAGATTCATGCTAAGGATCCGCGCTCACTGGAAAGTGTAGCTGCTGATACTTGCAACCCAACCGCATAGGACATATGAAGTAAATCTCAGGTGTTTGTAATAACAATATACTTGAATCTTACTTACATGTTCCTTTGAAAAATATTGGGTTTGTAAAGGTAAAGATACCTCTGACTGTTAGGTCCAGTTGCGGACGACTCGAGTTGCTGCGCTCATCTCGCTCTATAGGCCAAGGAAGCTGGCGTTTGTCCGCAGACAGCTTCCGGGTCGTGGCCAGCATGACTAAGCCGCTTCTGGCAAAACCAGATCAGCACACAGAAACGCCGTTTACTTTCCCGCCGGAGCAGTACCTATTTATCTACTTGCACTTTGACGTACTTTCAAACTGCTAGGTGGGCAGGAGATGGGACCGAGCAATGGGAGCTCACCCCGTCACGGGGATTGGAACCGCCAACCTTCCGATCGGCAAGCCCTAGGCTCTGTGGTTTAGACCACAGTGCCACCCGCGTCCCTATTGAGTACAGTGGTGCCCCGCAAGACGAATGCCTCGCAAGACGAAAAACTCGCTAAACGAAAGAGTTTTCCGTTTTTTGAGTCGTTCCGCAAGACGAATTTCCCTATGGGCTTGCTTCGCAAGACGAAACGTCTTGCGAGTTTGTTTCCTTTTTCTTAAAGCCGCTAAGCCGTTAATAGCCGCTAAGCCGTTAATAGCCGCTAAGCCACTAATAGCCGCTAAGCCGCTAATAGCCGTGCTTCGCAAGACGAAAAAACCGCAAGACGAAGAGACTCGCGGAATGGATTAATTTTGTCTTGCGAGGCACCACTGTATGTACCTTTCTATATATATTCTGTTTTGTATATTTTGTGTTATATTTTGTGTTATTATACAACGTGTATGCAGGTAGCTCAGTTTTGTTATCATTCATTGGTTATATGCCTTGTATTGTATTTCCAGCTGATGAAGACTATTACGAAACAGTAGCATCATTCCGGAGATACTGTCCTTTTGAGGCTTTTGAGACGTCTTCTGTTGAAACATTTGAAAGACTATTGTGAGACTATCTTTGGACACCTATCTTTAACATACGTCTTTATGTTCTTCTCTGTTATACTGTACAGTGGTACCTCTGGTTAAGTACTTAATTTGTTCTGGAGGTCCGTTCTTAACCTGAAACTGTTCTTAACCTGAGGTACCACTTTAGCTAATGGGGCCTCCCGCTGCCGCCGCGCCGCCGGAGCACAATTTCTGTTCTCATGCTGATGTAAAGTTCTTAACGCGAGGTACTATTTCTGGGTTAGCGGAGTCTGTAACCTGAAGCATCTGTAACCCAAGGTAACACTGTATATATGAACTTTTATTGGCTTATTCCCACTATTTGAATGATATCATTATTCTATTATATATTCTCCAACAACTATTAGCCTACGTGTTGTGTCTATATTACTGTGGTTGGTTCTCATTGCAATGCAAGAGTTGTTTGACAGTGGAACGGTCTCCCTCGGGAGTTTGTGGACTCCCTTTCCTTGGAGGTTTAAGCAGAGGTTGGCTTGCCATCTACCACAGATGCTTTAGATGAGATTCCTGCATTGCAGGGGGTTAGACTAAATGACCCTCAGGATCCCTTCAAGCTATGATTCTACAAAGAATCTCAAAGGCTTGCCCTTTTCCAACTGAGAGGACCGGTTCTAGGAGGCTGTAGGAAGTACATTCAAGAACAATTTGGACAACAACCCAACAGTATACATGTGGAACTTTACACTTGCAAATAATGGTTGCGGTTGTTTAATATTTTATTGGTATACCTCCACATTTCTAGGACTCTGAAGAAATAATGCATACAAAACTCTGCGGCTAATGGTGGCTGAAACAGCTCACTGGTAAGGAGAAAATATGCATGGGCAAGTTTTGTGTGTGTCTGCTGAATTTCAACTCTTATAACCTGTTTTGTGGAAGCAATGTGAAGGTTTGGTTTGCATAGACAGCTATTTAAAACATTGGCAACTCCCTGTTACTCACTGTTTAAACAAAGCTGTCTCTTTCCCAACTATTGCTCTAAAAATAATGTGCTGTTTCCTTGGTACAAAATCAATCTTTGCCATTTCGCAACTGCCTTTGGATCTCTCCACCCCTCTCCCCTTGGATGTTTGGAAGTTGTATCGTGTTACGTAACAATACGGTTCGCCAATCCGTTGTTGCTGTAGCACTAGAAATGAGCCTTAAGGTTTAGCAGTTAAATTTGTTTGTTTCTTTTGAAATAATTTTACAAGTGTAGAGCTACAACAATACCAGATGCACATCCATATTTAGAGATTTCTCTGAATCTCTAGACTTCCCACCTTCCCCTCCATGGGTCCTATTATAAACCTTTTCAACTGCATATTATTTCATCATAATTTATTTAACTTTTTTTCCCTTTACATAAATCCATGGTTTGTTGTAGGTCCGTTTTATATTGCTCTGTCACATTTTTCACCAAGACCTTAGTTTCATTTTTATTTAACTTGAAACCTGCTACCTGGCCAAATTCCTGGATCCTCTTTGAGACTCTTGGTATGCTACTCTTCGGATATTCCACAATAATCGTAAGGTCCTTTGCAAAAGCTTTCAGTTTACAGTGGTACCTCGGGTTACATACGCTTCAGTTTACAGATGCTTCAGGTTACAGACTCTTCTAACCCAGAAATAGTACCTCGGGTTAAGAACTTTACCTCAGGATGAGAACAGAAATTGTGCTCCGGCGGCGTGGTGGCAACGGGAGGCCCCATTAGCTAAAGTGGTGCTTCAGGTTAAGAACAGTTTCAGGTTAAGTACGGACCTCCGGAACGAATTAAGTACTTAACCCAAGGTACCACTGTATATGCTTTACTTCCTACCGTTATTCCTCTTACTGTCTCGTCTGATCTTATATTCCTTGCCAGTGTTTCTAACACTAAAATAAACAATAACGGTGATGGGGACACCCTTGTCTTGTCCCCCTTGTTATTTTGCATTTTTCAGTTATTGTGAATTGTGAATGATGTTTAGCAGTTAAATTTGTGATGGGTCCCCCATCAAATCTCAGCACCTTAACAAACATCTCCCAGAATTCATTGGGGGTAGCCATCGCTGTTTGAAGTGTAATGGGCTGGTTTTACGCAGAGGAACCAGCTTGAAAACCATCAATGGAGGAAGACTCGGGCCTCAAGGAGTGGGGTTCAATGCCTATACAGTAGTACCTTGGTTCTCAAACTTAATCCGTTCCGGAAGTCCGTTCCAAAACCAAGGCATGCTTTCCCACAGAAAGAAATGCACAATGGATTCATCTTCTCCAGACTTTTAAAAACAACCCCTAAAACAGCAATTTAACGTGAATTTTACTATTTAACGAGACCATTGAGACATAAAATGAAAGCAATAAACAATGCACTGCAATCACACAATCAATCAGTAGCTGAAGTTGGTTCCACACAGACACAAAAACGAAACAAAAAAGCCGCAAAAACAAAAAACGCAACATATAAATAGCAAAAACAGACAGACCTCGGCGTAACACTCAAAACGGAAGGGTGGCACTCAAATCGGAAGCGTAATACTCAAAACGGGAGTGTCGTACTCAAACTGGAACACGTTCGGCTTCCAAAAAAAGTTCGCAAACCAGAACACTTACTTCTGGGTTTGCAGTGTTTGGGTTCCAAGTTGTTTGAGTACCAAGGCGTTGGAGAACCGAGGTGCCACTGTATGGGGCAGCTGCATATTCTTGCGTTGCTGGCGGTTGGATCCTCAGAGTCTCTTCCAAATGTACGATTCTGTGATTCTTGCTTCTTTAATGTGCTATTCCCCCCCTGTTGTTTGAATTTATATGCTGCCCTTCTCAGGGCAGTTCAGGGAGCCTTTTGGGCTTGATAATTTCTTCCCTCTCATGTCATGTGCCAGTTGACTAGGCCTGAGAAACAGTGCGGAATTCTAGAGTTCAAATGTGCAGCTCTTAAATAATGGACTTGTAAAAGTCCATTTGGAAATAATCCATAATGAATTGATTTTTTTAAAAAAATGTTTTAAAGTGCTTTAAAAGGAACCCAACCAGAGTCCTTTTCGTTGGGGATAATTCAGACAGAAATTCCCAGGTGTCACAAAAGATTATTTATGTATACCACTACTGCGGCCCGTGTTTCGTTAGCCCAAAAAAGGAAAACGAGTGAGGTCCCAACCAAAGAAGAATGACAACTTAAACTGATGGAACGCACACAGTTTGCAAATTTAACTCCCCTTTTCTCATTTTGTTGGGGTTCTGTTTCTGTTATTTGGGGGGGGGACTTTTAAGGGGGAAATGGATTAGTCGCTCACCAAAAACTCTGTCTTCCGTTACAGATATCAGGAGAAAATCCAGGCAGGGACCAGGGGCTGGGGACAGGTGCTCTTAGGCAAAAGCAAATGAAAATGAGCCCACGATCGATAGCGATCGACTGCAACCTCCCGGGGATCGACCAGTCGATCCCGATCGACCTGTTGGACATCCCTGACATATAGAATAAGAGAACAAGAAGAAGGCGTGTTTAAAGACTGGAAAATGTTTACTGAATATCTGGGTGAAAATTGCATACATTTAAAAACGCTGGTAACATTAAGATAAATTCAACAGTATACAGTGGTACCTCGGGTTACATATACGCTTCAGGTTACATACACTTCAGGTTACAGACTCCGCTAACTCAGAAATAGTGCTTCAGGTTAAGAACTTTGCTTCAGGATGAGAACAGAAATCGTGCTCTGGCGGCGCGGCAGCAGCAGGAGGCCCCATTAGCTAAAGTGGTGCTTCAGGTTAAGAACAGTTTCAGGTTAAGTACGGACCTCCAGAACGAATTAAGTACTTAAGCCGAGGTACCACTGTTAATAAGTTTTGATGGATATTGAAATACTTTATTGTCACTTGTACAACTTGTAAACAGTGAGATTACACGAGCACCCCCCACTCAGCTCTCTTAGTCTTAATTCCCCTCATTTACTGACGCACACCCACCAAACCCAAAAGTCAGTTGCCCTGTTGTTATCTTTTCATTCAGCAGCCTAACAGCCCACAGATAGAAGCTGTTCTTTACCCTGTTGGTGCAGCTAACCATGCTTCTATATCTTCTGCCTGGGGCAGGAGATCAAGAAAGTGCCGCCCAGGGTGTGAATCATCCCTGAGAATTTTCCTCACTCTCCTGAGGCAACGTTCTTCCACTATTTCATCCAGCGGATTCACGGGACGGCCCATAATATCTTGTGCTGTATTCACCACCCTCTGTAGGCACTTCCTATCAGTTGATGTCAAACCAGCGTACCACACCGTGATGCAGTATGAAAGGACACTTTCTATTGTTGACCGGTAGAAGGAGATCATCAAATGTTGATCGACATCGTTCTTTCGCTATACTCTGAGGAGATGGAGTCTCTGTTGGGCTTTCTTAACCACATGGGTTGTATTTATTTTCCAAGTAAGGTCTTTACTGAGATAAACTAGGAATTTAAAGGAAGAGACTCTCTCCACACAGCCCTCCCCGATGTACAGGATATAACGATGGAATACTGAATGGTTTAGTACATGTAAAATATGCAGGGATGTGTGGTATGCAAAATGAACCACGGAAAGAGAAGAAGGCAAGTCATTGATTTAAGGCTGTCTAAATGAATATTTTGAAATGCAATTTAGAAAAATTCATTAATTTTACAGAGAGAGAGAGAGAGAGAGAGAGAAAGAAAGAAAGAGAAAGGCAGAGATGAGTCCTGCTGGTGAAAAGTCGCAGGTGTCTCCCCCTCCTGCTGTGATAAGCT